TATTATATATATATATATAATATAGTAGGGTAATATCAATTTTTATAATTTAGTGGCTGAGAGACGATTATAAATATTGAAGTAATGCCAATTTGAGTACATCCGAAGGTTCTAGCAGTAGCTAGTAACCAGGATCCTCAAAATCTATAAGGTTTTGTTTTGGGTGTAGAGTAGGTAGGTCTTTATATATGCTTAATTATTAATTAATTCAGGAAATGAATGTCTGAAAGCAATGTTATAATTTGTTCTCCTTTTTTTTTAATTTTTTTCTAGAAAATATCACCAGTCTATATAATTTTTATAATTAGTCTAAACATTATAATATTGAAGTAATGCCATTTGAAGATACATCCAAGTTCTAGCAGTAGCTAGTAACCAGATCCTCAAAATCTATAGGTTTTGTTTGGTTAATATATCTTTTATATATGCTTAATTAATTAATTAATCAGGAAATGAATGTCTGAAAGCAATGTTATTATTTGTTCTCCTTTTTTTAATTTTTTTCTAAAAAATATCACCAGTCAATTGTTGCATCTATTATTGAATTTACTTCTTCAAATTTTATTAGGACTGTAAAATTTATAAAAGAAAAAAAAATCAAAACTTGAAGCTAGATAAATTATGCTTAGAAAAAGATAAATTCCTAAAGAATTCGTTTGAATTCATAAAATTTGAGCAATAAAATTTACACATTTTATAGATTTTTCAGATTTATTTATTTAATTGAAAAAAAATCATAATCCATAAAATTAATAAGTTTTATCATGTCTTTTTTTTTTTAGAAATATAATTCATTAATAATAAAATCAAGTATTACAAATACTCAATTAGACTAGACATATAACTTATTATCATAATTAATAGAAAGTTCACTGATCCTTCAACAAAAAAAGAATTATCTATATTCTTTTAAATAATAAAACTAAAACTAAAACTAAAAGAAATAATATTAAATTTTTTCGTTTGAAGAAACAATATTGGATTTTAAACTTACTCAAAAGTTTTATCACGACTTTGATTCCGAAGAAAGTGAAATCATATCTTAAAAGTGAAAATTTTCAATTTCATCTTTTTTTTTTATTAAATAGAAACTCCATTGTTTTTTTATTGATAATATAATTTAAATTATTTAATTATATTTCGAAAAATAAATTTTGAACACGTAGAGTTTATTTTGTAGCCAAATAATTGAATTTCATAAAATTTATATTTTATAAACTTTATAAAATCTATAAAAAATTTCATATTCTATCGGTACAAAAAAATTTAATTGCAATTAATTAATCATCCAAGTCAATTTCAATAATAAAAAATTATTCAAAAGAGATTAGTACAATATCTTGAATTAACGTGGCACGCCTATCACAATTCTTAATGTAATCCTATGAAAATTAATTAAAAGAACAAAACAAAACAAAAGAAAGTTAGTATACCAAAGTTAAGTAGGCTAATCTTTATGTGCGGAATCTATAAATACTATTAAGAAAACTATAATAAATAATTATTGGGATGAATTTTTTTTTCAAAAAATAGGAGGGGCAAAATTTAAAAAAAAATTATTTTAAGGGTGAAGATTGAAAATTTTTGAAAGTTTAGGAGATAAATTTTATGGTGAGGGGGGCGGGGGCCTATGCATATAGTAATAATATTGTATGAAAGAGTGAAATTAAGTATGTTGAATGAATAAATTAAAAGTGGTTGGTCTTTTTCATCTTCTTTACATAGACTTAACTTATCAAGTTCCTTTCTCATCAACAAATAACAATCTCTTAATTAAAGAGCTAGTTCTCATGTACCCATCAACATGTCAAAGAATTATTTCCTAAGTAAATAGATAATTAAATAAATAGCTCCCTAGCTATGAAAAAAAATAATCATTTCAGCTAGCTAGGGTTATATATATATATACATTCTAATATTAAGCAAGTGATAAATCCACAGGAGAAATTCTACTCATTGGCCCCCCTTTTTCTTTTTTTATTTTTGAAGAGAAATGTGGAATCTTACCTAACATTTAAAATGACATATTCAACTATATAAATAATATATATATATATATTTGTAATATGTCACCTAATCAATCAACTATATATAAACAATATGTAGCTACAATAGTGCTTCTTGGTAGAGTATTATTTTTTATAAGTGCATTCTTATTTTGTCTTATAAGAAAATGGGAATTTCAAGAAAGAAAGACTATTTTGGTTTGATCGTGAAATTTCACAATATTTCACTATGCTAATAATTTTAACTATGCATCTATCTTCTAGTGGATATAGGTAGTCACTTGATAGAGATTTTTTTTTTTTTTCTTTATTGACAGTTTTTAGGAAAACATATATATTAATTATAATCTATTTTAAATCTTTAATATCTTGCATTTCCATGTAAATTTATATGCAAGTTCAAGATTCAAAACTTAATTAGAATTACCACTGTTGGCGAGACTTTATCCGAATATATGAGTTTTAGTTTGAATGTGAAGACGCGTGGTCACTTGATAGATTTTTTTTTTTTCTCTCTCTCTATTGGAAACTTTAAAGAAAAAAGATATATTAAAAATATTAACAATAACAATTTTAGTTATAATTTTAAATTACTGGTTATTGAATTCTGAAATATTACTATATATATTCTAAACATTGAATTAATTACTCTCAACTGCTCATTTAAATGGATAATTGTTTTCCTTGCTGAAATTCTTAGAGTAAGAACAAAGACAGAAGCAACATTATATTATTAATTATAAACTTTATTGTATATATAAACCTAAGGAAGTAATTATATATGTGAAATGGGAACCTCAGACTATACTTATAAACTTGCTAAGAGTTACGATGTCAATTTCAGTTAGTGTAATTGATATTTGAAATAGAAAGCACATGTTGGTGTTTTCTTCACCTTATATTATTGTCTGGATCAATAGTATTTCCAATAGCTTTTTACCCTTTTTTTTTTGAAAAACAAAACTAAAAATAATTAATTAAATGTTGGAACTTAGGGAAAAATTTATTTAGACCATATACGTGGTCCATTTATGAATCAAACCAATGAAATTAAACATTCTTATTGGAACAAATATTTCCAACCATAAGCTTCGAAAAAAAAAAAAAAACTAAAAGAACACTTTTTAAAGAATATTTAATTTTATTTATTTAGTTCGTAAATCGTTGATGAACCCTGTCTAATCAAATATTTTTCTAAAATATTATATTTGAGAGTTTTAAAGAAACCCCTCAGAACTTTTTAAACCTAGTTCATTCATGAATATTATATCTACTCTTTATATTATATACACTCTTATGATATCCGGAGAGTCCTGATTGATAAGAAAGGAGAGCTCTCATACTTACAAATTAGATTAACTGTATTATATATAAGACTTAATTAAATGTAATAAAAAATATTAATAAAATTATTAATCCCAATTTTTTTATTACATTATATAACATAAATCAAAATACAAAATCTTTGCATTACGTTATGAAAAGGTAACTCCCAATTCGAAAATTAAATGTGTTGATGATTAGAGAGCTAACCTTAAGGAATCCTATAATTGATTTCTAAAATCTGTTTCAAAATTCAAAACCCAAAATAGCTACCACTGTTACTGTGATTAAGTGATCTTCAAGTGTGAATGCACAATTAAGTTTAGCTAAAGACACACATTTTCATTATTAAAATAAATTATTACCATTCTTGTCATTTTTCATCTATACGGATTATCTAGATTATGATAATTAATAGTAAGTTTTAGAGTTTAAGAAATCTTGAATTTGAATCAAACTCTTCCTAATTAAGAAAATAAAAGAAAAAAGAACATGAATTTGGGGATTAATGTAGAAAATTAATTGTGCAAGAAAAATAATTAAGATAATAAAAAGAATGTATTTGTGGTTAATTAATTAATGATGAAAATGACAATGCATGTCACCGAAATGCATGAATGCGTGCATAAGAATGTATTGCTCAATCACTTGACTAAATAAAGATTCTGTGATTTGCAATCTACAAGTCAACATAATTAATGAGTATACCCATTAAAAGTGTCAACAAGCTTGATGACTCTCCTAAATCATCATTAACATTTCAATCAACATCCTCTTAATATTTCTTTTAAGGGTTCATTTTTTTCCTTTCTTTTTTTATACATAATCATGTTTTAAAAGAAAAATATATGATTAATTAAGATTTGAACATAATTTTTTTTTTTTTTTGTTTTGCGTCAGATTGAAGGCCGTTTCCCATAGATAAGAATAATATGCTAAACAGCAAAGATAGTCTTACATTTTAAATAATACTTGTCAAATTGAATAAATTAAATAAAATAATATTGAAATAAATGAAAGTCAACTTAATTTTCAGTAAATGTGCACATAGAGAATAAGTTTAATTTGCTTCATATCTTACACTTTCAAGTTTCAATTTTAGTTGGAGGGCGCAATTAGGTGTGGTTTGATTGATCTTCTCATTTGTGTAAAGAGTCAGAGGGCTTGAGTTCGAGTCTTCTCGTTCACAAGTGTTTTCATTAAATTAGTAAGTCAAGGGGAGGATTACTCCTATTGTGTTGTCCGTAGTATTATTTCGGCTCATCGGACCTTTTAATAAATAAAAAAATTTCTAGATAGGAGCAATTTGGGCAAATAATGGTTTATATGAGATGATAAAATTGACTAAATATGTAGTATATTCAAGATAAGGACAGAAGTATTTATGTAAAGATTTTGCAAATCCTCCAAGTAGGATGAGTCCATTCTACTACTACTGTAGAAAAAGAAAGACAAACTAGATAGTAATTATTTTATCTAGGATCTCATGATGTTTATATTTATATAACCCAAGTCATATTTCCTCTCATGAACATACCAATTCAAAAAAAGTTGTGTATAACATTAACACAAACCCTAGAAATGTAAAAAGACAAGAATATAAAGACAAGGAAAAGGCAGAAAAAAACTTCAAATTTGAGTATATAAATAAATAAGTTCTCTCTCTCTCTCTCTCTCTCTTTGTGAGTGAAAAGTCTTATTCTCCAAGTCCTACTATATTAAGACCTTGTAACTGTAAAACAGTAGTATATATATTCTTTCCATAGAAAGAACACTAGCATTTATTACCATATCAATTAATTAACATTTCACCTTCCTTCTTCTTCCTATTAAACCCAAGAAATTTCTGTAGTCATAATAATATAATACAATTCATCCACAAATCTCAAAATGGAGCCTCCAAAATCAGATTCTGAAACTTCAGTTTCTGATAATGCCTCATCCCAAAAACCCTTCACGGAGAGCCAAAAAAAAGCAAAAGATCAAGAAGAAAAAAAACAGAAGCAGCGGCAAGATCAAGAAGATCATCTTGTATTGGATCTAAGCCTTTGTAGCAAAGACTCAAAGCAAGAACTCAATCTTATTGATTCTTTTGAAATGGGTTCATCTCAAAAATCATTCTTGGACAGTAGTAATAATAATGAAAGCGACGATCAACAGCAGCAACAGCAACAGCAACAGCATAGAGTATTTTCATGCAACTATTGTCAAAGAAAATTTTATAGCTCGCAAGCACTTGGCGGTCACCAAAATGCACATAAGAGAGAAAGGACGTTAGCGAAAAGAGGGCAAAGATCATTCATTAATATCAGCAGTGCAAACTCATATCGCTACTCAAGCATGGGTTCACTTCCTTTGCATGGCTCCTTCAATAGATCACTCGGAATTCAAGTTCATTCTTTGATTCATAAACCAGCTTTTTATGGGCAAAATGGATGGTCTAGACAACCTATTGTTCAGCAACCGGCAGTTGCAAGTTTTAACATCGGAAATTCAGGTTTTGGATCAGCTTCTAGTAATGGAACGGCAAAATTTGAAACTTCAAGAAAGTTTTCTCCGATAAAGGAGGGATTCGCCGGATTCTGGTGGGATATTGCTGGTGGCGGCGGTGGTAGCCATTTGAAGACTAAACAAGATGATTTGCAAAAGCTAGACTTATCACTCAAGCTCTAAATAAGTATTTAATTTCTTTCTTTTCTTTCTTTTCTTTTTTTTTTTTTTTCGTTTTTCAAGTTTAATTTCTATGTTCTGTCTTTCCTCCTCCTTCTTCTTCTTTGACTTTTGTTCTTTTTTCCTGGTTACCACAGAATTTTTTCATCTTTTTTTTTTAAATTTTTTCTATTAATTAGCTTTGTATATCCTTTTTTTGGTTACAGAATACTATCAGAGATTAATTAATGTGTTTCCTAGTTTTTGCTATTCTTGAATTGGAAGATTACCAATTGTCTTTATGTTTGGTATTCAAATCCTTAAACTTAATTTGGACAAGGGTTTTGTGCTACCCAAGTTATTATATCTTTTCCTCTTTTCCATATCTAAATTTAGATACTTCTTAGTTGACAAGTTATTGCTCTCTCTCTCTCTCTCTCTCTCAGACTCTGTGTAAGTAATTATGAAACAGCTCATCTTCCATATGATTTTGGTGGGAACTTCCCAAAATGCTATTAGCAAGTAATTAACTATTAATGGAATTAATTAAGGATTCTTTGGAAATGAAATTTCAAATTTCAATCACAATAAGAAATACTAATAAATATAGAAAAGGAAATATAATAATAAAATAAGGTTTTGGGAAGGATGTTTTTATTATTTGATTTGCACCCAAAAAATCAACCTCTTTGAGTCTTTGATTGATGTTTTTAGGATTGTAGTTTGGATTGGAAGTGATTGATTTCTTATTTTGTCGTTTATTATGAACAATAAGGTCCACTACATGTATTAAAAGTTGAGGACTTGACTAAAAGACAAAAGGTACATTAATGTATACAAATTGGATGGCTATGATTTTGAAAATGTTTGACCCACTACCACTTCAAGAAAATAAGTCAAAAATTAAAAAATAAAAAAAATCTCTATCTCTATTACTATTAGAGAAGGTATAGATCAAAATTGCAAGAAAAAGAATTGAAAGAGGTAGGTGTAGCTAGCCATGTGAAATTAGGGACACATAATGGTCCCTCACCCTTAGCTATGCAATCCACATCATTAACTTTTTTTTTTTTCTTTTTTTTTTACTTTCAAGAAAAAAAGTCAAAAATATAAAAAATAAAAAAAATCTCTATCTCTATTACATTGAGGAGAAAGGTAATAGATCAAAAATTGCAAGAAAAGAAATTGAAAGAGGTAGGTGTAGCTAGCCATGTGAAATTAGGGACAGCATAATGGTCCTCACCCTTAAGCTATGCAATCCACATCATTAACTTTTTTTTTTTCTTTTTTTTTGTTTTTTTTTGGAATTTAATTGAAGTTTCAAGTTTCCACCTTATAATTATGAGTTTTTCATATAATATATATATATATATATATATATATAATATATATATATATATATAATATATATATATATATTCCCTTATTTTCAAAATTTCATACAAATTGAATAGAAAAATAGTATTTTTAAGAATGAACTGAATATTCCCTTTGGTCTCAAAAAAATAATTCACCTTTCTTTTTTTATTTGTTCCAAAATATAATTCACCTTTCTTCTTTTTTTACATTATAAATAATCCCTGAAATTGTCTATTATACACTTATTAAAATTTAAATCTCTTATTTTTTAATAACTCTTATTATTTTTAACTTATTATTTCAATATAATAATGCTCATGTGTTGTTTTAATGATGAACATAGTAAACTTATTAAATTTTATCTTATTTTTAATAACTCTTATTAATTTTTACTTATTATTTCAATATAATAATTGCTCATGTGTTGTTTAAGATGAACATAGTATGAAAATTATATGAATAAAATTGTACTTTGAGTATAATAATTGCTATTTCTTAATTTGTATGAAAATAAAAAATAAATTATCTTTTTGGGACGGAAGATGTAGTTAATAATATAATATTGTGTATATTAAAAAATTAAAAATATAATTATTCTTTTAAAATAAAAATACTCTACAATTTGAGACAAATAAAAAGGAAAAACAAATCTATCTTTTTGAAATGAAAAGAATGTATTATATTTTTTTATCCTAGAAAAACTATCTTCTCCTTCTTATATTGTTTAAGAAAATATAATAGATGTTATGTTTTATAATACACTTGGCTCTATGCTGGCAATATTGATTTCAAGATTTTAACTATTGACTTTAAGTTATAGTTCAGCAGCAAGTACATATATTTAAAGATACAGCTAGTGGTGAATTGTTTTCCAAACTTTTATTCTTTTTATACTTGTTATATAAATAAAATTAATTCTTAAAATTTTTGAATGTGAATAACGGTTAAATCTTGATATTTTCTTGATTTGTTACCTAAGAGAGATTATAAATAGGTCCCACTGAATAGTGGGCCCAAATCAAGTTGATGTGCGCAATTAAGATCATATTAATCATCATATTACAAACTTAATCTTTCCAAGAAACAAAGATGTAAAGTAACGGAAAACCCTCATTATTATTATGACAGTTAATCGCCATACAATTAACACAAAAGCAAGTGATAGGGTGACAGGAGTATCACACAAGCCTTGAATGCAAGAATGGGACATTTGATTTTGGGGGCTTTGCCACGTGCTGAAATTCAGTTGGGCTGTCAATTTTGTAGTGTTGGACTGGCTTTATCCCTCCATATATATATTTTTGACATTAAAAAAAGAAAAATAGTTGCAACCTATGATTTTGCCTCTCATTTAAGAAACACTTTCATAAAAAAGAGTTAGAAAAGGATACATGAAAAATGTGTTGCTATCATTTTGCTGAGTTCAGTGTAGGTGAAAAATTGAAGCAAGAAAAAACAATTTAAGATGTTTTTATAATTAATTTTAATATTAAGATTTGGATCTTCTTAAGATCTTTAATTAGACCACCCTTCTTGTCATCTTTCTTGGACAAAAATAAAAATCCAAATCACAATATGTGGACCTATGCATTCTATTAAGGACTTAAAGCAGTAGGTGAAAAATTAAAAGCAACAAGTGTTTTCATGGGTATTCCCTCCGTTTCAAATAAGTTTGTCTTTTTTTTTTTTTTTTTTTCTCTCCGTTTCAAGATAAGTTTCTTTTTTTTTTTTTTTTTTCTTTTTTTTTTTTTTTTTTTTTCCGAAATAAGTGTATTTTTTTTATAATTCTAACTTAAAAGTAGAAGGTATACCAACTATTAAATGCAAAATTCGGGATAAATAAATAAATTAATTAATTTTAGCTCCCATTTTAGAACTACACCATCCATAATTGTAAGTCTGACTGCTGTATACAGATTATCTCATAACTGCACTAACTACAATCTTTAATTTGCATATGCAAAATTCAGTTCATTTCTAAGTTGCTTCATAATCTGTTTGCTCTGTTTGGTCATACCTAGACAAAGTAACACATCTTAAAAAGGCCAAATTGCTTGTAGAAACGTTTACCTGTGACATGGACCTCTCAACCTAAGTCTATCCTTTCCATCCCAGCAGTTTCCACTTCATTCATGTCTTTATCAGGTTGACGACTAGGTTAGAATCTACCATTCATCATTTCTTGTATCGGAAAAAGCTAGATTATAACTTCAATGGTCAAAAACTGGATGCTTCAATTATTCTTACCATGGAGATGCTATCTACGAATGCTGGTCAAATTTTTGATACGTATCAAGAATTGATACTATCATTGTTTAAAGTTCCATTAAACATAAGGAATTATGGGAAGAAAGCACAATAAGTAAACAATCTCTACTTCTCCTCCATGTAAGATTTGACAGTACCCATCCACCTTATGTACTCAGTCCTATCTTTGTTCTTCATGTATTCATGCAAGAAAGCAGCCATCTCATCGTTTATACCCCTTGCTTCCAAAAATTCATAGAGTGAATCTTGCAATTCGTCATCCAATTCCCTGTTAACACACAACAATCAGCAAGGCAGAAATAGAAAAACACACGCGACCAAAAAAAAAAAAAAAAAAAAACGTCATCCAATTCCCGTTAACACACAATCAACGGTGCAGCAAAGGCAGAAATAGAAAAAACACACGCGACCAAAAAAAAAAAAAAAAAAAAAAAAAAGAAAACAGAAAAAAGCGGAGGGAGACAGGATTATTATCCAAAAAGAAAATCAGAAGCCACCATTTGGATGCTCATAAAATAGGCATGGATAAAAAAAGAAGAAAAACAATCTTGAACAAGAAATGCTAACTGAATATGAGAAAGGCTCTTTTCTAACTCTTGCTTTGTTGAAATGTAACAGGAAGTTAGTGACTCAGCTGTAACAAGGAAGTCATGTTAGAGTCATCTAGTATCAGTGTCTATTGGTTTCTTGTCAATAACATTTCAATTTCCCCTTTTTTTCAGTTCCTCAGCAAATTAATAATGGTGCATCTAAATTAAATTGGAAAAGGGTCATACTTGAAGTCAGGACCAACGTAAGCTTGGGCTGGCATCTTGTTACTCTTGCGAGTGAAAAGCTTTGTAATTTCTATGGAATCTGGCCAAGCTGAGCACATGATTTCTAAGGCATCGCCATCACCCTTAGAGATATTAACAATCAAAGTAATGTGAAGCTGTACATTGTTGTTGGTGACATCACTGGATTTTGAACTTGGAGTGGCTCCATCAAACATGGTTGCTTCCACCTTAATCTCTTCATTCTCTGCAAATTTCCTTTTCAATGAAATCCATTGCTCTCCTGGTCGGTCATCGATAGCGAAGGACTTGAACTTGGCAACAGGCTGCAAAATAAATGTATAACACATTATCCCTAAATGTATCATTGGTCATCTCAATATCTGCTCTTTTCTAACAGATTGGAAATTTACAATGGAATAACAAACAAAAATGCCATTTAATAATTGAGACAGAAAAAACAATATAAGGATTGGAAATTTCATCTCAAAGCAGCAAAGCCACTTAATTCAATTAGGATTGACCACTAGGTTCAATTAGGCTACCGCTAGGACGTTTATGTTCTGATTAGTCTCAAATCAGGAATCTAAAGTTCAAGAACTACTAAACAAGATCCTAGGAACAAAATAGAGGGTAAGTTTTCCAATTAATGAAATTACTCTCAAACTAACAACAGGCATTATGCTAATAAGATCTTGCATAGCAAAATTTTTTTGTTATATCATATTTTTTATTGGCCAAATGAATAAAAAAAAAAAACCCTGAAATTTGATATTTTACAATTTTGGCCAATTTTTTTTTAATTTTATCAGTTCATGCCTCTGTCATTTTTTAAAATTTTGGCCCAGGGCTTTTTTTTTTTTTTTATGGACATTTAAAGTTCTGTTTTTGCAAGTAAATATATTAAAAACCAAAATTAAACCAGTAGAAGATCATAACCAACTTCAATTAAGCCAATTAGTCTTCAATTTATCAGAAGAGCTCTTTCTGTACAATTATTCAATTTATATTGCTTTTATAATCTCCTCATCATTTCAACTAATATTGTAAATATATAAGCCCATAAGCCGATTTAGAACTCAACATTCCATGCATAATAAATTTTATGTATACATAAAGAAAAAAGAAAACAGTCCATCATTAACCCATATCAAAATACCAATATTCCAACATTTCCCATCACTTCAACCCAGCCAAAAAAATTCAAAAGTTGGAAATTTAAAAAGAGAGAAAGAAAAAGAAGACTACTTGTTTTGGCGGGGCACGATCGAACTCGTATTGGATCTCGCTACGAAGGATCCTGAGGATGTTCTCTTGAAATGCGGATTTACGCATTTCCGATATGTAATTTCTGGTTATGATCGTTTGGGGTAATTCAATTTTGTGAAACACTGGAATGGCATTTGGGTGGAGTTGTTGAAGTTCGGGAAATAGGTTTTTAGGAGGCGAAAGAAGGATTCTTCTTAGAGGACGAACTGAGCGTGCCATCTTTTGCGCAGGTGAAGGGAAGGGAAAGGGTTTAAGGGATGGTTTTGGTGGCAAAACAGAGCAGTAAGATTTGACTAGGGTTTTAGCGTGTTGGCTGGTGGAATGGCGGGCAGTAACTGGACCTTGTCATGGGCTACGCTTTATTTTGGTTTGAGTGAATTAGGATCCTCTTATACAAATTTAATCTATTAGATTTGTGTGTGTCGTGCATTCGTTTATTTTCGTAAAATAATATACAGAAAGATATTTTTTATAATTTTTTATTATTTAGTATATTTAGAAAAATAAGTTAATAGAAAATATTTTGATGATCAGAGGAAAATTAAATCATTTTTTAAGAAAAACAACTTCCATTCTCGAGAGAATAAAATATTTTTCTGATATTAGTAAATCTTATAAATTTATATTTTTTTAATTTATTAATCATCATAATTACTATCACCAATTATCATTTACCATCGACCACCACCATCGGCTACCACCACCGTGGCCACTGGCGGCTTTCATAATTTTTTTTTTCATTATTTTCATATTTAACAATAAAATTTTTAAATTATAAAATGTCTATTATTATTAATATTTTTTATGGTCTTATGGAGTGAATTAGGATCCTCTTATACAAATTTAATCTATTAGATTTGTGTGTGTCGTGCATTCGTTTATTTTCGTAAAATAATATACAGAAAGATATTTTTTATAATTTTTTATTATTTAGTATATTTAGAAAAATAAGTTAATAGAAAATATTTTGATGATCAGAGGAAAATTAAATCATTTTTTAAGAAAAACAACTTCCATTCTCGAGAGAATAAAATATTTTTCTGATATTAGTAAATCTTATAAATTTATATTTTTTTAATTTATTAATCATCATAATTACTATCACCAATTATCATTTACCATCGACCACCACCATCGGCTACCACCACCGTGGCCACTGGCGGCTTTCATAATTTTTTTTTTCATTATTTTCATATTTAACAATAAAATTTTTAAATTATAAAATGTCTATTATTATTAATATTTTTTATGGTCTTATGTTCATTATTTTTTCATATTTAATCATAAATTTTTAAATTATAAGATGGTCCTATTTTATTGAATATTTTTTTTAATGGTCCTTATGAGACTTAAGACACTTTAATATGTTTTAACTTAATTTTTAATATTATAACCTAAATGAACGGAAAATAAGTTATTAAGAAAGTATTTTTCAAGAAAAATGTTTTCGCAGTTGGAAAATATTTGCAGCAATTATTTTTTACGGACAACGGAGTGGCTTTGATTCATTAATAATTCATTTTTTAAAGGTTAAAAAAATGATGTATTATTAATGTAATATGAAAATTAATATAAATAAAATAAAAAGATATTAATTTATTCAAATTAGAGAGAATTTGACTAATTAAAAATTTGATGAGATTGGACATGTCAGTTGTATTTGTTTTCGAAAATTTGCGCCAATTAAAGTAATATAAAATGTCTATTATTATTAATATTTTTTATGGTCTTATGAGATAAAGACTTTAATATTTTTAACTAATTTTTAATATTATAACCTAATAACGGAAAATAAGTTATTAAGAAAATATTTTTCAAGAAAAATGTTTTCCATGAAAATATTTTTCAGCAAATTATTTTACGGAAACAAACGGAGTCTTATTCATTAATAATTCATTTTTTAAGTTAAAAAAATGATGTATTATTATGTATATGAAAATAATATAAATAAAATAAAAAATATTATATTAATTCAAATTAGAGAGAATTACTATTAAAAATTTGATGAAATTTACATGTCAGTGTATTTGTTTTCAAAATTCAATTAAATAATTATTCTATTTTGTTTCGTTCAACTAAATAGTTCTTCTATTAGAATTTTACTAATTTCTTAATTAATATAACTAAAAAAAGTAAAAAAAAAGTTTTTATTTCAATTTCATTTCTGAGGGGAAAGAAACCGAATTGTATCTGATAATTTAATTTAAACATAAACATATATATGAGTTATATATTCTTTTTATTTTAAACATCCAATATTTAAAGCCTACTGGTCCATTCAACTCAGATCCGCGCTGAATAGGTCCACAAAAGGAGGCAAACCTCTCCCTCTCAAGTGTTTAAAGAGACTTCATTTGATTAAGGGAAAATAGATTCATGTCATCTCATCTCATCCCTTAGGGGTTATACATGAGTTATATTTTAATGAATTTTATAAAATAAGACTAACGATTTTTTTTTTTTTTTGAAGAAGAAGAAGTCTGATGATATTTAGAATATAAGAAAAAAAATTAAGGGACTAAATTTTTATTTATGATGTTTAGAAGTACTCAACCACCGGATTAAATTGTCTTAGATGCAAGTATAATATGAAGTACTCCAGACAATATATGGTAACATGGAACGGATCAAGGTTAAACGGGACTCACTTATCATATCAAACTACGAGTTAGTAGAAAGACAAACAAAACTCTACTAAAAACAGAGAAAGGTAAACAAAATACAAAAGCCAACAAATCTGCCACTAAAAAATTATAGTCTACTCCCCATATGCACTAGAACATCTAAATCATTGGATTATAATAGACAGGACTGAGAAATCATATCCTATGTGCTTAAGCGGTTAGGCCACACCTAGCACGAGACTAGGTTAGTTTGTAGATTGAAATTGAACAACATCAGGATTACACCTGCTTACCAACTTGCCTAGATCTAGCACAAGATAGGAAGTTGAAGTTATGATGTAGAGAGCAACTTTAATCAAGAAAAGTTAAGTTTAGCAGAATAAGCAGTCTTTAACATGTCACATGTTGGTTCAAAGGTTTGGAGGTTGCCTGAAAAATGAACAGGACAAATGGGTAAAAACCTGAAGTGCATTGCAAGAAAAGCATCGGTCACAGTTTAAGCATTAAGCCACTAAGCATTCAATATCTGATCTACTTCAGAACAAACAAGAAAAATAACTGACTTCAGCATACATACTTTCTTTTGCTAATGTACTTTCTTTTTCAAACATTAGCAATTTAGAACCGTTGAACATTGCACCTATCCATGTCACCCTATTCACAACCCAAAAAGGCAAGACATATCATTGATTCTTATGCAAAATAGCCACTGCATCATTTTGTTAAAAAATGAGCCTTTGTACAGGATTTTACCAATGAAGCTTTTCTTTTTCATTTCTTAGTATCTCCAGAAGTTCCTCCCTTTTCGGTCTTGTCCTTCTGATTCTGCTGGGAAGCATCAGGACTTGGGGCCATTTCGGTTGTCTTTGCTTTACTTGATGCTAGTTCCATAGATCTTTGTTCACTAAGCTTGTTTTTCTCCAAGGATTTGCTTGATTCAGTTGGTACAATGCGCTTTTTCTTAATACTATCTTCCTGGTTGTTTATTGCACGGTCGACTGATTGTTTTCCTGATCCAACAGCGATTTCTTTGACAGCTTCCTCTAGTTTATCCAGTCTGACTTTCACCTCTAAAATCTCTGGATCAAACCTAGCTTTTTTTTCTTCAATAGCTTTTATTTCTGTCTCTTTTGCTTTCTCCTCCTCTTCTTTTTTCTTTTTTAGCTCGAGTTCCTAAGATTATCAATACAGTGATAATACATCTAATAAAGAAAGCTTAATGAAAGTTGGGGAACTATTGAACCTCTTACTGTCACTGGGGGTAAAGGGTAGAAAAGTTGTACAGAAGTAGTAATACTGCTTAAAATATCAGCAACAATTTAAGGCATCAAATATCCCCTCTTAGCGGCTAAAGAAGCAAATACCAGCAGTCATTGCCAAAAGATTGACTCCAGTGAATTGCAAGGAAACCTTTCAAATCATTTCAAAAGGTCCACAAATAATAATAAAAAAAAGGAGGAGCTTCAAAGAATTCCACATAGAGCTATTATTATAAAGAGGCAAAGGGAGAAGGAAAGAAAGCAAAAGCAAAATGAGTTGGGATGAACTTTATTTTGCATAAATTTCACCAAAAACATTTCATAATGATTGAGAAACGCCAGATTTTATTTGCATTTGGATCAATTGATATAGCATTATTGTTGTGTATTCATGAATGGAAACTAATGTTTGTCTGCCGAATTCAGGCATATGTGAGGTCTCAGGCTTGTTGGCCATGAAATATCTAGGAGGCTTTTTGCTCGTATATGCCAGACAGATGAATAACTGTTTGAAGAATAGTTTAACGGTACAATGTCTTGGAATAGTTTAAAAGGCTATAAAATAATTTCTACCACTACATTGGACCCAAAATTTAAAAAGGCACTTTATATCCTTTCCATATCCATAGCATAGTTCCCATGAAAGACATGGATTTTCAGAAAACTAGAAGAGAAAGAAAAAGGAAAACTATGTAGGATTAAGAGAGGCAAACTATACATAACCCAAAACAGAAAAGTACTTAAAGCATAAATTATCGTTGCAGGATAGGACAATTGAGTTACCGCATCCATTTTTTTCATTTCGTGCCGGGCATACTGAGCCACCAAATATACAGCTGTTACAGAAAAAGCATTCTTTTAGATATCAGCAACAATAAAAAGAGATATTTGGGTATTAAAAATATGGCATATGCTAAGGTTGTGGAATGAAATACCCAATGAAGGCATGCATGCAAAAAAGAGCTGTACCAGATGGAAATCAATCCTGAAACATCATGGAAAACAGATATATGAAGAAGTTAAGGATAGAGTGATTGTTCTTATTTCATCAATTTATGTGCATAATCACAATTAAAGCTTCAAAAAGGCATATAACTAAGGTAAACACTTAAAAATGTGTATAAGCACAATTATTCTTAGAAAAAAATGCATAAGATTACAATTAGTACTTCACAATATAGATCAGCGTGTTTTATCTCCAAAACTTAATAGAAATCTATCTTGGACATCAATGTATTAACTTTACTAGAGAAACTATACTATATACTAAAACATGTTCGACGAAATGCCTAAGAGAAACCCAAGAAGGAATCAACCTTCACAACCAACACCAAGCAGTTAACCCATCGAAGACTCCAACTATAAATACATAAAAGAAAAGCCGAGGCAATACCCGAACTTCTTTTTCTTGGGGGGTTCGTTGAAGAGGATCTTGGCGGCAGTCATGAAATCGAGCTTGTCGAGTTGGCGATACGCCTCGTCGTACTTACTAACATTTGATTCGATCTTGTCACTGATACCGTTACTGTTATTTTTCGTGGTGGGTTTGGATGTGTTGGTGCAGAAGTGTCGAATTCGTGGGCGCTTGAGTCGAGCTAATGTGAGTCTGGCGCGAAGCATAGCCTTGTTTTTTCAATTTCGGTTCAACATCTAGCAGAGGAAGTGTTAACTGTCAAGTGGAATGAGCGGCAGAGGGCCAGAGGCAGAGAAAATGAGAAGTTGCAATAGAAAGACTCAAAAAGTCAAAATACCAAATGTTTTAGCTTGTGGGCTTAAGATCTGCAGAAAAAGTAATTCAAAACTGTAAGGCCCAATCAAATTGGATCAACAAGATTTATAAAATTTTATTTCAAAACTATTAATTATACTTTATTTTAGCTAGCTAATAGCCTTCTTTCATTGTAATTCTTTTTTCTCTAAACGGGTAATTCTTTTCTCTCTATTTCTCTTTACATAATTTGATCTAATTATTTTTTACTAACAATAATTAATATTTTTTTGTTAATAACATCTTCATCCACGTTTATGTTAATAATATTTTTAGAGTTGTGTGCATTCCCTTTTATTGAAATACTATCTGGCTAGAAATTATATCGGTTTGGCTCAGTCAAATTTTCTCATGGTGGCGTTATGATTTCTTATGTATTGTTTACTGGAACATGTTTTTTTCTTTTTATTTTTTAATTTTTTATGAGTTTATTTTATTATTTAATTTAAATTTTTATTGGTAATTAAAGAGAAAATGCTTTTTTTTTTTGTTAACTATGTCTAAGTCTATATGTAGGTCTCTGTTATGAAACAATTATTGCGATAACTTTAGCTAACAAATTATATTTAATTTTTTAGGATAAAAAAATTTGAGGTTTAGAAAAACCCATTAAAAATGTTTTTTTTAAGTATTAAAATGAATAAAAAAGTACGAAAATTTATTAAGTGGTGGAAAATTATTCTTGTCTAGTCGCTAGATTATTGTTATTTTTCTAATTTGTAACTCTCACCTTTAAAGTTGAATCATGAAAAAAATAATTATCATATAATAGAGTTCAAGATTTGAATATTCATTTTCATATTCTCCATAGAAAAATTTTCGCATATGGCAAAGATGGAAAAACTCTAAAGCAGAGTCCAAGTTAGTTCACCCACCCACCAACCAAAATTGGAAGGTATTACTCGAATTGGCACTCCTTTCCTTCTTCCTTTCTACCACTCTAATGTCTTCGACCTTTTGAGCAAGCATGACCACATTTTAAGAATAGTTGGTTTCTATTTATTTTCTTCCAATTATAAGGAATGTTGAATTGCTTTTAGATGATTTTATATACATTTTTAGAATCGTCGATTTTGATTCTGTTCTGGTTTGAAACCGAAATTATAGATAATTTAATAAGCAAATTCAAAGTGAACGTGATTTGATTTTAATACGGTGAGTTGAGCATATTTGTGATTAATATGAAAAAAAAAAAAAAAAAAAAAAACTTCGAATTGGGCAACCTTTGCCTTTGTCCTTTCTTCCTTTTCTACCGACTCTAAATGTGCTTTCGGACGGCTTTTGAGGGCAAGGCTGACCGCAAGTTTTAAGATAGTTGGTTTCTATTTATGTTTCTGTCCGAATTGATAAGGAATGTTGGAATTGCTTTTAGAGTGGATTTTATAGTAGCATTTTTTAAAGAAATCCGTCGATTTTTGATTTCTGGTTGTTCTGGAGTTTTTTGAAACGCGAGAATGTTAGATAGATATTTAATGAAGCCACAATTCAAAAGTGACGTGATGTTGATTTTAGATACGGTTGAGTTGAAGCGATATTTGTGATTGAATATGAAAAAAAAAAAAAAAAAAAAAAACTGTTCATCTGCATATATAGGCTCGACTTTCCTTGTTTTTTGTGTTTGCTCTGAATGTAATCCTATTTTGTTTAAAAAAAGAATCATTTATTGTTTAGATTTTCTTAATATATCGTCTATTTTAAGTTTTATATTCAAGTTTATGTAAATAACTTAATAGGTTGTGAATTATAGTTAATTAGTTTTTCTTAATGATATGTTGAAAGTCAAACTACGTCTATGGAGAAATGGAGACGGGATGGAGTATTTTATCATTTTCTTGTCGCATTATGTAATGTCTTTGAAAAAAAAAAAAAAAAAAAAAACTCATTCATCTCATATATAGGCTCACTTTCCTTTTTTTTGTTTGCTCTAAAATGTAATCCTATTTTTTTAAAAAAAATCATTTATTGTTTAATTTCTTAATATATCTCTATTTAATTTATATTCAATTTATGTAAATAACTTAATAGTTGAATTATATTAATTAGTTTTTCTTAATATATGTGAAAGTCAAACTACGTCTATGGAAATGAGACGGATGGAGTAATTTATATTTCTTCCATTATGTAATTCTTGTCGTGTTTTTTTTTATAAATAAATAATATTTATAATTTACTATTTTTCCCTATTTAATATTTTTCTTTGCCCATAAATATAATAGTAAATTATCATTAATTAAAATTTTGATATAAACAAAATTAAAATACCAACAATTAATTTTCCAATAAAATTTTATTTAATCAAATATTTGACTATAGTTAATTAATTTCAAGAACAATATTATATGAGTTATTTAATTTTAATGGATAGCAAAAATGATAGTTTAATTATATTAATTAAAATTTTTTAATATGTGTATAATTCAAATTAGAACAAACATTATAGGAGGGAGGGACACTTTCAATTAAGGATTCTCATTCTATGTAAAGTGAATTTCTTACATTATGCTTATTATGCTTATGAAATGAATTGTTTCTTAAATTATGAAATGAAAATTATGCACTCCGTTTCAAAATATAAATCATTTTAAGGTGATTATTTTATTTTAAAATATTAATTTTTAGTATTTTAATGAGTAATAAATGATTCCTTTTTTATTTTGCTCTTATTTATGTTGGATATAATACTCTTTCCGTCTCAAAAAGATAATCCATCTTTTTTTTTTTTGGTTTATCTCAAAATATAGTCTGCTTCCCTTTTTAACAATGTAGTTAATTCTTGAATTGTCTATTATATCCTTATTAAATTACCTTATTTTCAGTAACTCTCATTAATTATTAGTTATAATTTCAATACTCATATGTTATTTAATATGGGCATAATAAGAAAGATATATGAATAAAATTGTCCTTTCACCATATTTTTTAATCTGTGTGAAAATAGAAAGCGGACTATCTTTTTGGGACGGAGATAGTATTAACTATCTACACTAGTTATCTTTGGTGTTGAAATAAAGGTCATTTGATCAAATTATTTTTGATTTATTATATATTTAATGAATTAATTACTTTCTTAATTCTCGTGAAAATCTTTAAAATATTTATAATTCGGGACGGAGAGAATAGTATTTTGGATGGGAGAGTGGCAAGTAAGCAAGTTTAAATTAGGCTACATTTGTTATTCATGATGTAGCAATTAGTATAAACGTTAGATAATTCAATTTGTCCAATTTAGTCCAGTTGGATATTATGTTGAATAATTAATAAATATTGAAATTATGCTGTCCAAAGTAAGGAGAAGCCTAATTCTCGTGGAATTCCATGAGCAATTACAAAATTAAAAAACTATCATTTTCTATTAATTAACATATCATTTCCATTCATTAAAATCAAACAAGTCAATTAAAATTATAGCTTACATGATATGAGATAGAAGTTTTCTATTAACACTCTTTCTACGGCTTTAGAAAAAAAATGAAAAATTCAATCAAATATCAACTAATTGGCACCATTAATTTCGATTTACAAAATACATTTCGAAATTTATATTCAAACTATACAAGAACCATTAAACTTTAGTTTCAAATTAATATGGATCAGTTATATGAATCTTTTATTGACAAATGTCTGCTTTAAATAAATTAATTTATAAAATTAAAAACAAAATTAAAAAAACTTGTTGTATAAAAAGAAATTTATACTCAAATTGTAACTTTAATAAAAATTATAAAACTTTACTATGAAATAGTATCAAGTTTAAAACCATTTTAAAATAATATGAGACGTCATGAAATGTAATAATGTTCAATTTTTAAGAATGTGATATGAAAGTAGACAATAGACAAGTAGGCATGCCCATTTTGAAATTGAGTAAGCACATTACCTCATTGCTATTTTCCTTTCCTTTCTTTTCTGTTTCTTTCCAATTGGAAAGTGTAGGAGAGACAAAGTTTCCAGAAAATCCTCTGAAATCAGTTTGACATTAACAATTGGCACATGTCTCAGAATTACTCTTTTCAGAACACAACAAAACCAAATTACAATTCTTGTTCCCAAAAAGTTAGAAAGCCCTATTTCCTTTTCCTCCATGACAATTGGCCCATTTATCTGTTGTCTATGGAGATCATCAGATCACAGCTATGCATATGACAGAGACAGAGACAGAGACAGAGACAGAGAGAGAGCGAGAGAGAGAGGGGTTTGGCAAAAGCAAAACCTTTTTTTTTTTTTTTTTTTTTTCGACATCAGGATGCAGACAGCTATGGGGCATATGACAGAGGACAGAGACCAGAGGACAGAGACAGAGAGAGAGCGAGAGAGAGAGGGGTTGGCTAAAAGCAAAGACCTTTTTTTTTTTTTTTTTTTTTTTGAAAAGGTAATACCGGAAGCGTTGCATTAGCCAGAATCAACTAATGCAGTGCATGAGATAATAAAGTGCCGGTTAAGGAAGCGAGTACCCCATTTCCGCGAAGAATCAAGTAAGCAGAGGTATGGGCATAAGATACAAACGAAGTATAAGGCAAGTCTATTTTTTTTTTTTTTTTTTTTTTGAAGGTAATACCGGAGCTTGCATTAGCCAGAATCAACTAATGCATCATGAGAAATAAAGTCGGTAGGAACAGTACCCCATTCCCGAAGATCAGAAGCAGAGTAGGCATAAGATACAAACAAGTATACAAATCTAATTCTTAACTCATGCAAATTGGAAGAAAATATATAACTTTTGAATGTATTGCCAAAAATTAAATACCCATATTTGTAATATATTTTCAAAGAAGAATTCTTCAATTATATTTTAATTAAAATTTTTGTTCCCTTTTTTTTCTTTAAAAAATTACTATAACATTCCTAATTTTTGCTTCAAACTCATTTATCGAGGTCCTTTTATTTAAGAGGTCAGTTGTTTACTGTTAGTTCGACTCACTTTTTAAATGAAATCTATGTTTTTTTTTTTTTTTTACGGAAAATGCTCACTTTTAAACAGAAATATTTTATTCGTAGCAAAAGTTAGAGAATACATGGTAATTTAAAAAAAATAGAGGAAAAAAAAGTATTAATTAGGATGTAATTAGAGTTTTCAATCTATTTTATTTATTTTTTTTGAAAAATAGAATTTTTTTGGTAAATAATTAAAAAAATAACATATATTAAAATGCATTTTTCTGTTTTATTTTAATTTTGAAACCTTGTCCTTGAAAAAGCAACACTTAACTACTACTTGATTATTGGGTCAAAATAATTCTAAACCCTATTGACTTTAACAGAACCATACAAATGGGAAGACTTTCCTATTATTCCTTCAAATTTTATATAGATATATAATCCTCTACTCTGTTTTCATCCGTGTGTCAATCTAATTAATCATGATTATACTAAAATCACCACCATCTAACTGGGTCCCACCCCAGTTCTGTGCACCTAATCGTATCATGATATTCCTTTTCCTTTTCCTTTTCTTTTCTTTTTTTTTTTTTTTACACACACTATTCCAATATCATAATATAATATCGTACCCCACTAAGCACAATTATGAGTAAACGTTACTTTCTCCCAAAAATATTTCAAAATTCTTAAATTGGATCACACTTTCACAGCTCACAAATGTTACCAATAGCACCTTATCCTGATTTTTTTTTTCTTTCTTCCATTATTTTTTATAATCCAAATCAAGTCACAATATTTTTTTTTTTTTCAAAAGATATTAAATAGTAAACTTATCAAGATAGCAATTTGCAAACATAATTCAAGTTCAATAAGTAATTGAATAGGATTTTTATTTCAACCATTACATATTAATTACTTTATAACGTAAATAAATATGTTTAATTTATATATTAATGATCTAATTGTGGATTACACCACAGAAGAATTATTTGATTTCAATTTATTTTTTTTATTAAATATATATGGCTTTGGTTAGAAACATGAAAAATAGATGAAATTTGATTTAAATACGTAATCCATTTTAATTTTCCTTTTTTTTTTTTTTAGTTTTCATCCTCTCCTTTATTCAAAGGAAAAAAAAATTTCTATTTGAATGACGGTGACGGATCTAAAAGTGTAGGTGGGGCCTTGCCCTTCTAAATCAATCCATTTTATTTTATAAATTTATGAATGAATTTTTTTTTTTTTTTAATTTGACTTCTCAATTTTTGTAAATTTTTCTTTTATCCTTCAATTTTGAAGTATTGATAGTTACAATAATATTTCAGAATTGAATCATTTAGCCATTTCAAGATATGTAGAAAGATATTAAAATATCAAAAATTGAAATTCATAACTAAGATTTGGTTTTTAATTTTTTTTTATTCATTGAGAGGTTCAATAGTCTGAAAGAACATTATAAGCTACACAGTAGGAATAATCCACTAAAATGATAAAAAATTTTATGGTCAAAAAGACTAAAACCTAAAATATCTCACTATTAATACAAGTGAAAAGATCATTTAAACCACATATTTAATTTTCTATTACTTATATGAAAGCTGATTGAAATATAGAAACATGTTAATATATATTTTATATAAAAATATATACTATATGAATATTTGTACATGATTTCTTTAAAATATATATCAAGTGAAAAGATTCATTTAAACCACGAGTATCGTTAGAATTTCTGATTACTTAGTATGAAAGCTGGAATTGGAAAGGTTATAGAAAACATGTTGAATATATAGTTTTATAATAAAATATATACTAATTGAATATTTTGACATGGATTGTCTTTAAAAGTTATATATAGAGATAGTATATATATATATATTATAAAAAGAAGTCCCGCAACGCTTAAATATATATTATAAAAAAAAAGTCCAACCTTAAAAATAAATACAGGGGGGCACTATCTGCCGCTGGTTGAGTCCATAAATAGAAGATTCCCACACCCTTTACCAGATTTAAAATTTTCAAATGAAAAGAAAATATATAAAAAAAAAAAGTATAAATTAAGCAAAAATTATCACACACCCACTTTTTAGCAGTCTCTTTCTGATTTACTTGTAGAGAGAGTGAGTGAGTCCATTTTGATACCAGTTGAAAATGACACATCTTTCACGTCAATATCATATATATCTTATGATGAACTTTCTTGCATAAGCTTTGGTAGCTGCTGAGCCAATAGAAGAGAAAAGAAAAGAAAAAGAAAAGAAAAAGAAAAGAAAAGGAAAGGAAGAGAAAATGTTGTGCAGAAAAAATTTGAGTTGTGATGAAGATAAAAGAGGATCAGTACCAGTTTACCTTAATGTTTATGATCTAACGCCCATTAATGGCTATGCTTATTGGTTTGGACTTGGAGTCTATCATTCTGGTGTTCAAGGTTAGTATATAATTTATAGACATATGAATTCAGTTCTTGAATCTTTCTGGGTTTTTCTTATCATGCATTGTTTGCTAGTTAGATCTAGATTTTGTTGTTTGGTTAATGGGAATGTGCAGGAAAGTTGGAATTTGAATTTCAGATCTTAAAAATTTAGAAAAGCAATTGATTTCACTCAGCTTTTGGCATAATTACAATTCTTTAGTTTGGAAATGGAAAACCTTTCAAGAATTTATTTTTTGAACTGTATTTTCCTTTCTGGGTTTTCCTGTTTTAAGCAGTTCATGGGATTGAGTATGCTTTTGGGGCTCATGAGTATCCAACAACAGGAATTTTTGAAGGAGAACCAAAACAATGCGAAGGATTTACATTTAGGAAGACAATTTTGATTGGAAAAACAGATATGGGTTCTGCAGACGTAAGAGCATTAATGGAAGATCTAGCAGCGGAATATAAAGGAAATGCTTATAATTTAATTACCAAGAACTGTAACCATTTCTGCAATGATGCTTGTATTAAACTTACTGGTAATCCAATTCCTAATTGGGTTAATCGCCTCGCTAGAATTGGTAAGTTCATTTTGCTTAATTCAATTATAATCTTGCATTTTATATGTACAAATATTATTAACAGTAAAGCAATAGTTTTCACCGTTTCAGTTATAATTTTGAACTTCGAATTTTAAATTAAACAGAAATTTTTTCAAATTTGATTGATTTTTTCAAATTTTTTTTAGGATTTCTATGCAATTGTGTTCTTCCTGCAAATTTAAATTCGACGAAGGTTCGACATCATAGAATAGAAGACAAGGTTGAAGAAACAGAGAAGAGAAAATTAACAAGTGGATCCAACAGATTTACATCTTCATCTAATTCATCATCCTCTTCTTCATCATCTCCGTCAAGAAACCAAATTCGGGGCAGAAGTAGAAGTAGACGACGCGCACTTGCACCATCTTCTCCATTGATTTCATCACCACCCTGATGATCATAAATATTCAAGAATTTAATTTTTGATTTCTTGAAAATTTTTCCAAAAGAAATTATTAGTATTATTTTTTTTCTTGGGATTTATTTTTTATGGTTCTAACATCTTCCTGTGATATGCAGCCATGCTATATACATGTACATTTGTATGTTTTGATTTGGCAAGTGATGTTATATGTCCCTGCAATATTATCCAAATTGACCTCATTTGGTTTGGTTTCTTGCAGCCAACAAGATTTTGTTTTGACAAATTTGTACTAATTAAGGATGAATATTATTAATTTGTGCATACTTTTATTAATTAGGAAAAATCAAGAAATTTAAATTTTCATTATGATTGAGAAATTCTGTTTGCTTTTGAATTGTGTTATCAGGGATTTGATACCATTCGGCGAAAAGACTAAAGATGTCTAAAGTGTAATTTATCAAACTGAGAAAGTGAAAAAAGAAAAAAAAGTCATACATCTTGTCTATTGTTTGAAGTTTCCTCATGGAATGGTACAGTCCTCCTACTTGTTAGCTTCTTATAGGACAATTACTTTATGTTTTTATATTAATTTTTAAAAAGATTGTACTTAAATTTTTAAATATTTAATTTTTTTTATAATATGAAATAAAAAATGTATAAAAATATTTAAAAAAGAAAAAGAAAATAAATTATATAAACAAAGTGATGCTGATGCAAATTGGGAGGGAAAAGGTAGAAAACAGAGAATATTTGCTTTATTCTTTCCTTTTCTTTGCAATGGAATACTATTTTTAATCTCTATTAATTGAATATAAATTGTTAGTTCCATTGAACAAAGTATTCAAATGGGCACATGACATGAGCTGCTAATGGTTCGATGTTGGTCCTTAATTATTAGTTAGGCTATCATGTCAGTAATTATGCTATTTTAACTGCAAGTAATCAATCCCTCCATTTTAATTCAGTGCCCTACCCTTACCAATTTTAGTTCGACTATTTTTAACGAGTGCCTCAACATCTTGTTAATAAAAACTTACATACACTACATATATTCAATAAAATTTGAAAAAAAAAAAATAATAAATTGTTAATAAAACTTACATACACTACATATATTCATAATTTGAAAATTAAAATAATAAAAAAATAAAAAATAAAAAATATTATATAGTATATATAATCCGAAATTGAGCTTTTTGAATCAATTAAATATATATATATATATATATTCGAAATTGAGCTTTTGAATCAATTTAAACATCCACTTTCAATCAAAAGATTAATTACTCATAGAACAAATACATTGATTAAATTACTGATTATGGTTAACGTGTTTGAGTTGAGAAGAAAAGAGTTGCTTTTTTTATTCAATTTTTGTATGTAGAAATGAGCCAATGATCAGTTCGGTTTAGTTTTGAAAACTAAACCGACTCCAACGTTACAAATGCAAAACCAAACTTAATCAATTTTACACTTGGAATTGACTTGAATTAAAGTTGGTATGTAAATTGAATAAAATTAGTCGATTTAATCAATTTTATGATATCATCGGTTTTAAGTCTAACCGATTAGTTTTTACAAATTGAGTCAAACACTAATAATTTCGGTCCAAACTGACTTACATGATAAAACTGAGTAAGAGGATTGAACCGAAATGGGTTAATTCAATTCAGCCGGATGTTTTGCATACTCCTACTTATATGCATTGCCCAATCAAAGAATGAGCCAAATTGACTAGTAGGTTGAAAATTTCCATTAAAATCAATTCAAAAACTTAATTTAGATAAATTATATGTGACAAACAAATTTAATGGACAAATTGTTAAATTTAGTAACAAATAGTGAAATTTTCAGAAATTCTTTGTATCAAATTTAGTAATTTCAACATCATTTACATAAGCTGCATTAACAGTGACAATTAGATAAATTTCGAATTTTTTCCAAACAATCAAAATCTGAGTAATTTTAACAAAAGAGAAAATAAAAAAGAGGTGAAAATTAAAAGTTGCTGGGAGAGTTTAATGCATGCTTGTGGTTTGAACAGTCCTGCAAGCAGATCAATCACACATTTATTAAACAACAAAAGTGCAAGTGAAGCTGTAGAAAATAACACAATAGTACCTACTTCAATAATAAAAGATGGTTTACAGTAGAGAATCGTGTCGACACAGACAGTAGGTTTTTTAAGTCCTTTTTTCTCGCATCCATTCTACAAAATTATCCAAGATCAATGGCCAAGCAAGTTCTGGATCGTAATTACTAAGATCTGGAAAACTTATCTGTCAAATAAAAAAAGAAAAAAGAAAAAAAGGTTGTGAGTCAATAAATCATAAATGCAAGTAATTTAATAAGAGCATAATGAGAAGGCTCTACTTGCTAGCTGTGAAAGAGCAAAGATGCAATTTATAAGTATAACTAGGAATGTAAATGAGCTTAGCTGCTCGTGAAATACTCTAATTTGATTTGATTAAAACTCATTTGCACTCGCTTATGATGGTTAAATGAGCCAAGGATTTTCATAGCAAGTCGGGCCAGGCCATAGACGGGGTACCCTGGGACCACAGCTCCCCATAAGAGTGCACAAAACGGAGAAAGATCTGTAAATGCTGGCAGGGAAGAAGGTAAAACAGGATGATTTGGACTTAGCCCTCAATTCATTGAGAAGTAAGATATGGCGAATCGAATTAGGTATAGCTTTCCAGGTTGGCTCCCAAGTCTGCCCAAACTTGGTTAAGGTACATGCTCAGTCTTAAGAAAAGAAGCAAGAGTTGTAAAGCTTGTTTGATAGAAACTCCTTGAATAAATGAGTCAAATTGAGTTGGGCAAAACTCGGTTTGTTTAGGCTTGTGAGCAACTTGTTTGTAAGATAAATATAAGATATATGTATTTTTATTTATAATTTTATGTATGAATATACTTATTTAAAATTGTATATTGACCAATAATATACAAACGATAACCTTTCAATTTTGTATTGTACGCTTGCAATAATATAATAATTGAAGTTCACACCTATATCAAAATAATTATAAAAAAAAATAATATTAAAAAGTTCCAACGTGAATATTTTAATCTTTTGAACGAACTTATGAAATGTTATTTATAATTTAATATTAGAAAATCTAAGCTCAATTTGGCTGGTAAGCTTTAAATGTTCATGATGATACTTAGCCTGGTGCTGCATGTTTAATAAATGAGCCAAGTTTGAGCCTAAATTTAAGGCTCATCTAAGCAAGATGAGCCTAAACTGACTGGAGCACTATTCTGCTTGATTTACTTGACGAAAGGAAATTATAACTCAGCACGTAAAATAAATTGTTTCTCCTTCAATCCTTTGAAACCATGAAATTGTAAGTACTACAATAGAAAGTACCTCATTGCAAAAACGATAAAAGCCCATCCACTGATCCATGTTTATGACCTTATAATCATTTTGAATCTGTATTCACAAAAAAGCATGACACAGTATAATTATCAACATAATTTAGAGAAGTTTACTGCAAATTAATAAAATGCATGCATGATCTACATGCTGTGTTTGTTGTATATTCAGCCCATTTAAGTTGTCTAAATGACCTAACACATCAAACTACAGGATTGTCATATATTTCTGTGTGTATGTGAGTATATATTTCCCACTGAAAGCAAATATCATAAGTGACAAAGGAATTGGAATAAAGGAAAGGCATACACAGGGCTCATCAGCACAATGACACTACTGGTGATCAGCTAGTATACCAAATAGCAGAAACACAAAAATACAAAGCCTATACACATTCCTAGAAACAAAAATTGAAGTGCCAAAAAAAAAAAAAAGGGAAAAAAAAAAAAAGCTAGTATACCACAATAGCAGAAACACAAAAATACAAAGCCTATACACATTCCTAGAACAATGAAAGTGCCCAAAAAAAAAAAAAAAAAAAGGGAAACAAAAAAAAAAAAAGGGAAAAAAAAAAAGAGATAGCATGTTATAAACAGTGTCGATCAATAATTAAACATGTAAACAGAAGCAAACTCAGAAGTCGTGAAAATGGATTCGCTAACCTTTAAATACTCGATGAAATAATCAACTTGAGCACGGAAGTGAGATCCTAAAACAAGATCCACTAACTGACAGATGCTCTCTATGTCAATACTCTTTTGTTTCTCCTCTGAATGGAAAGCAAAAATAGGGAGAAAAGAAAAAGAGGAATCTAAAGTTAGAAAATAAAAATTTAAAGCAGCACAGACCAAAGTTGGAAGACTATACAGAATGTCATGCTTAACTCATAATACCTGTCAGGCAATATCGGAATGCATAGGAATAGAAATCCACAAAGTTTGACGGCCTCTTGACCTTATGAATATGACAGAAAATACCAGAGGCATTAATATCTTTCTTGGCTTCTTTAGCATTACATAGATTATATGAAACTAAGTTTTCCAATAACAGAAGTAAATCGAGTCATAATACCTCTTTCTCTAGCTCTGGAAGCGCCTTTTTTAATTTACTCACAGTATCAGCTCTCAGCGCTTTAAGACCTCTGCGCCACTCCTCCTATCAACAATAAAATTAGAGAGAAACGGAAAAAAAAGGGGTAAGAAGACAAATATTATGCCTATTATAGATTCTGATGCTGGCCTCAAGGAAAATTATCGAGTAAAATCAACCAACGCATGCAGAAAGGCATGTACATCTATAAACAATAACATAAATTACACTAGTTGCTAAAAACAAGCTATGGAACATGTGAAATCACAATGACACAACGTTAGGACACAAGATGCACTAAATGAAAGACATAATTTAATAAAGTTATTGTGTATTGCAAAATAATGTAGCGATGTGAACATAAATACCAAGTGCCGTAACTTGGTTGTCAACATAAAAGTTCATGAAACCTGTGAATTCCAAACTGCTGCTGCATATGCATTATAAGTAAGCATTACTACTATATCAGTCATGCAACCTAGCAATTACTGAGTTCAATTGAGAATAAGAGATAATCGATAGACTCCATCAAGCAAATCATGGTTAATCAAATTGGAAAATAAATAGGTAAGGAACAAATATCAAAATCATTGAATAAATAAATAATACAGAAACAATAATCAGAAGAAAAAACATTGTAGAGGTTGATGAAAATAAGGTAGTATTCCTTACCAGCGTAAAGTATCCCTGTTTTTCAGCTTTCATTTTCCTGAAATGTCCAGTTCATCAGTTAGAGGACAGAAGCTTCAGACAAAAGCTAAGCAGCAGTGTCTAATGTTTTCTGATCCAACTTACCAAGCTAGCATCAAGATCCTAACATCAGTATGATCAACCTCCATGTCTGAACATAGGGTTTCAATTCCTTCTGGACTGTTCAAATGATATGTTTGTAACATCAGAATTCCATTCACAAATGTCAAAAGAGTATCATGAGATAAATGAAAGTTTTAGTATATCTATCAATACAAATTTCAAACATAACTATGCACACAGCATATATGCTTATAACTTATAGGAGCATGAGTACAAATTGAAGTACAATAAAAAGCTATTCACATGACAGCTTTTCTTGTTCAAGATAGCATTCCTATAGATCCCCCAATTGTTGGTAAACAATTTATATTCTCACAATAGCCAGCAGCTCTTGCTTATATTGTGATCAGTGGCAAGGCCCGGCCATGGGAGGGGGGTGGGGGCAGGAATTTTTTCCTAATTAATTATATGAATTGGAGGTTCTTTTTTTTTTTTTTTTTTTTTTTTTTTTTTTTTTTTTGGTGAGGGCAGGAATTTTTTCCTATATTTAATTTATCTGTTGGAAGGTCTTTATTTTTTTTTTTTTTTTTTTTTTTATTTTTTTTTTTTTTTTGACTCTTGTCTCCTCTATATTTTTAAGAACTTTTTTTGTAGCCCACCAGTCAAACTGTTCGATCCAGTTTGGCTTTCCACTCCACTCACTCCATTTTTTGCAACGGATCAGTCCGTAGCCGTCACCATAATCATCATTTTTTTTTTTTTTTTTTTTTTTTTTTTTTTTTTTTTGACTTTGTCCCTCTAATTTTTAAAACTTTTTTGTAGCCCCCATAACGTCGAATCCTGGCTCCACCACCAATTTGCAACGGCAGTCCAGCTCCAACCAATCATCATTCATTACTTAGCGTTCACCAAAAACCAGGGGTAAAGATCATCATTTTTTTTTTTCCAACAAAATTATTATGGTGATGTTATTCCAGGATTCTTCATATAAAATTTGGGGAAGAGAGTTCAACAAAATATTTCAGCTAGCTTATTTTCAACATTTACAGAATATCTATTTTGGTTTCCAATTATTCCATCTGTTTCTTCCGCAGTTCCCCACTAGGCTTCCTTTTACATGTTCTATTTAACTCTGAATCCTTTGGAAAAATAGTTAAAACCATTCATTTTCTTTGCTTCCCGCATTGTGCCTTCCTCATTTTAATGGTGAGACCAAAACTGGGTCAGGATGCAAGGATAAATTAAGACCCTTAGTTAGATTATCTATTCCTATATTATGTAAGAGTAACCCAATAAAAAACAATTAGTAAGAACTAGATTTCCCAACATGTTATTTTGCCTTCCATCAATAAAATTAACATTCAAATAAAGAGACAAAGATGCATCTAAAGGCCATCATTTAACAAAAGTTCATATATAGATTATCATAAAACTAACATGTTTTTCCTCAATTTGAAGTCAATATTTAAATAAAATTTAATGTAATGCAACTTAAAATTTTGCAAAATAAAATGCTAACAAAGCATTCAAAAATGAAATGCATGTTCTGTACAGAAACTTACTCAATCATACCAGAAGACCTATTTGCATAGGAATAAAATAGGTTATCAATTCGCTCCATCTCTTTCGAAGATGCTTTACTTGAGGCTGAACAGATAAAGTTTTACTCAGTTGTAAATACACATAAAAAATATGCAACTGCTGACTGCATTGAACTACAAATTTTTTGGACAATATAAAAAATCCCAAGCAGGAAAAGATCTTAATAGTGTTTACTGCTAAGCAGGCAGTAATAAACTAACAATTACATATCATGGATATGTAGTTAGACACAAGCCCCAAGCTGGATCAAACTAATGCAAAAAGGAATTTCATTGAATGATTTATTTCTTTGCATGCCAGAGAATCAGGCAGATGTGCACCAACAGTTCCCTACAGTTAGTCATGGACGATATCTTCTTAGAAATGAGGGCATCAGATTTCAGACCAAAGATCACCAGGATAGGAGATTAGATATCAAACAATATTAAAGGGACCAAAGAGAGAGAGAGAGAATGACATGGTACCTTAAAAGGAACAGATCCAACCAAAACTTACATCAAAGGTTCGATCTGAAAACTGATAGCAATCAACAGTTCAACTTTTATTGGAACCGTGTTGAGAAAAGTTCGTAAATTTCTTTTGTATTCAAACCAATTTTCATATTTTGTTTTAGTTTTTACAGTTTTTAAAAAAAAAAATTATTAAAACTACTAGTGAAGTCAAAGTTTCTATTTAGCCCACGGTTTCACAACTAGAAAGAAACAAATATGCATTTTTCTCCCATTCTTTTATATCCTAAGCTACTCCCTTCTAACAGTTTCTAGTTCCTACTAACATGGTCCCTTTGTTACTTACCAGAGGCTATATCAAGACAATTTATCTCAACCCCACAAACTTAACTGGAAAGTTAGCATTAACATGATCAAGTATAATTAAAGGTCTTTCTTATCAAATGCATATTCTTCAAGCATACATATAACCATTACAATTAAACTCAAGAAAGGGAAAAAGAAAATTCCATTTAAAAAAAAAAAAAATCCACTTGCTCTTCAATAATCTAAAATTAAACAACCATGATTAAATCAAGTCAAGCATCAAATAGAACAATATTTTATAAATTAAAAAATTAAAATAAAATTCAACTGAATTAGTTAGCTTTAACCAAAATTGAATTAAAAAGAGAAAGATACCGGAGCGAAAAAGATCCGCAGCTGAAGAAGTGATCGGAGCCGTGGAATTGGATTGACCCGTTTTCCTGGCTGCAGAGCGACGCATCTTCAACAACCAAAATAATAATAATAATTTAATTTCAATTTTGAGAGACAGAGAGAGAGAAAGGGTAAGGGTAAGCGTATGCGTGAGCTATAGAGAAAGGGAGAGAAAGAGACAGATCTATCTATACTACGACAAGGTAAAAAGAAAAAAGCGAAAAAAAATAAATAAATAAGGGAAAAAAATAAGAAAAAGAAAAAGAAAGTACCTCGAGATAGAGAGCCAGCTAAAGGAAGCTTCGTAGCTCTCTAAAGCTGATGCTCAGCTCCAATTTCCAGAGGGAAAAAGAAAGGAGAATGAGAATTTAACAAGTATTAACTACTCTGAATTTTGTTTTGGCTTCTTCCTCTTCTTCTTCTTTTAATTTTTTTTAATTTTATTTTATTTTTAGTAACTTTAGAATTTGATTGGTTGGTTTTTAAGCATTGAGGGGGTTAAGGTTAGGCTGGAATGGAATAGACTTTTCACGTGTGGCTACAGAAAGTAGATTGTCGTACGATGATGATCTTTAACCATAACTTTAACTGTTTTCTTCTACACTGCTATGGTGCTATTGCTATACCTATATCACCTTCTTCCTCTTCTTCTTCTTTTAATTTTTTTTAATTTTATTTTATTTTTAGTAACTTTAGAATTTGATTGGTTGGTTTTTAAGCATTGAGGGGGTTAAGGTTAGGCTGGAATGGAATAGACTTTTCACGTGTGGCTACAGAAAGTAGATTGTCGTACGATGATGATCTTTAACCATAACTTTAACTGTTTTCTTCTACACTGCTATGGTGCTATTGCTATACCTATATCACTCGAAGAAGTATAGGCTGCGTTTTCTGTTTTTCACAGCTCATACTATTTTTTTTAATTTCTACAATGCTTATGTAATCTATAGATTCGTCTTTCTTTTTCTTTTTATAAAATGTAATCTATAGATTCTATCAAAAATTAAATTAGAATAAGTACATCATTTGAGTCGATGGAATGCACAAATTTATAAATTTGTGCTTTATCATTTAGTTGAAAACTAAAATATATAAATTTAAAATAGTAATTTGGATTAATAGAATGTGAGATCTCATAGTCTATTTTTAGAATAATATTAAATTGTTTAAATTTCATAAACGATGATACTGAAATGAATAAATTTCGACGATGATAAAGATGAAATTGAGAAAATTTCGCAGTAAATGAAACTATTAAAACATTAGAAGAAATTTCGCAGTAAATGAAACTATTAAAACATTAGAAGATAAACTATTATAGGGTTTATCGGATTTATTTTTTACAATCAAAAGAAATTTAGTAAATAATGATTGAATTCTATTAATTTAAATGAGCTCAAAGAATAATATTTTTGATAAAGTTAAATAAGTTCATAAAAGCCCATGAAATTGAAAACCCGCATAATTATCTGGATGGATCCTTATGGATCAACACCCAACACAAATGGCTACATCATTATGGACAAATGGAAAATGGAAAATGGAAATTGAGCCAGCCCGCTTCATGGCCTCCATCCACCATAGACCAAATCCAAGTTAGTTTTCCCAGAGTTTATCATCCATTTTACAAGGATGATCATTAAACTTTAATTTATATTAAATATTAAACAAATCAGTCATTGATCTGCTTTCAATAGTTGATATTCATAGATTTTGATCGAAATTTCAGTATTTCAGACTAATTTTTTATATGATGATCTCGGAGAACTTCGTTTAATACAATTCTATAATCAAATTTATGCTGTTTCTTAATTACCACATAGAAAACACTTTGTTAACTACCTCGTACAAAACCTTTCATACTCAAAAGAGGGTTCCCACTCACTTAATTACCGTAACACACAAATGCAGATATTCAATCAAGAGCTTCACTGGGAAAAAAAAAAAATTATGATTTCCAGCTCGACTTTTGCTTTGGAGGTAGAAAACTTCAAACAGTGATTAGAAGAAGAAGCCGCAAAAACTATGTCGCCATTTCTGAAAGATAACATGTGAAGAGAGACACAGCATCCTGCAGATGATTTGAGCGGAGATCCTCGGGAACCGGAGCATTGAATACAGTGTCAAAGCAACTTAACTGAGCATCACGTGTCAAACCCTCATTAACATCAGATAAAAGTAATTCGCTTATCTCTTCTGCCATCTTCGAGTATGCAACCCTGAAACAGACACAGAAAGCATGTTATTGATAAAAGTGGCATGGAACTGCTAAAGATATCATCTCCAAATTGGGTTCTCTTGATAGCCTAAATTTTGTTTCCCATCACCAAATAACAATTAAATGCCAAGAATAATGGATCCCTTCGAATAATAGCTTAAACAACTAGCAAGCTAGCACTGTGACAATGATGTAGAAAAAAGGAATAATAGACTCCTCGCTTTGTGAGGGCACTTCGTTTAAGCATATATTCCATGAATGCAATGATTCAAGCAACACGAGGCAGTGGTATTTGTTTTCCACATTAGCAGGCAGTGTTGACAACCTCATACAGCAGGAAAGAGAGTGTGTATGTGTGTCCTGCGCGAGAAGGTGGGGGTGGGGGGTTTGGGTGCGGCACAGGGTAAGGGGAAGCCAGCAATCATTAACCATAAAAGTATGCGGTGATAAAAGTATGCGGTGCCAAGTACTAAAATACCTTCCGTCAATTGGTAACCTGTCACCAAAAATTGCCAAAGATTCATTCAGATGATCAAGGAAGTCCCCACAAGTAGAATTTTTGCCCTCAAGAGTATCCTGCAAAAAGAGGCTACATGTTCAGAAACACCCATAAGTCACAGTAGAGGGGGGAACTGCAAAAGGAAGGAGCAGGGTACATATTTGAGCTTCCGCATGCATTTTCAGTAATCATCATAGGAATATTTAAAGCAATATTAGAACCAAATATATAGACTCATAATGTCTATCTTCTATCATTAAAGAGGTAGTAGCTGACATCTCATAAAATGCAGAATGAATTCAGTTTTGTTCCATTGGAGATTTCTGGCATCTAGTCCAGTAAGAAGAGAAGGCAATGGTGTATATGAGCAAGTAGCTCAATTCAGAGGCATCAACCTGGAAAATTCTTGAAGGGGGAGAACTGTTGATGCACAAATACTCTATTGAAACCCTTTAGAAAATTCATAGAAAAACTAATGCATATTTGAGCCACGAGGCTTGACTTGAGTGTGACAGCAGATTTGAGATGCAACTCTAGGTTCTGATAAATGTTGACAGCACAGCTTAAGTGGTCTTAATTGTGAATCCAATTTACACCATTTCCTACTTTAAATATTGATAATGATGAAGGGGATAAAATCAATATTCAGGAATATTTTCTTACTGGTTCACTTATAGTATTGTTGTTTTCCTGTGATGAACTTCTTATCAAATAAAATGATATATAAATTCCAGCTCCCAAGTCCCAGTTTTCAATTTCAGACTTGTGGTCCTCCATCGAAGTAGCAAGCCTCCAAACCTCTGAATGATTGGCTACATAAAATTGAATAAGAAGAAAAACAGACATAAATCAACAAACTTATTATCATGCAATGAAACCAATGCAAGCTTCGCCCAAAAGCAACATATGTCAGTTCAACATTCAGATATCAACAATTTCAGTAACCAAAGACTCAAAGCACAATAAAAGTCTACAACAATCTGACATAATGTAAAACCAAATTAATTAAGCTTGTCACCAAAGTTCCGATCTCTCCCTCAACTGAATGTTTTGTCTGTGCAAAACCACTGCATGTAGGAACAGTGTAGCTCTGGGAAGCCCCAAAAGACCAGTCCATCTTGCACACTGAAGTGCACAACATATAAATTAGAGAATATACTTGATGGACATTTAGTCCACAAGAAACTCCAACCTACCTCTATCTAATTAATGAAAAAAGCACATCATTGCCATTTAATATCAAGAGTTTTTCCTTTTTTTAAGATCTCTTCCCTTTTTAACGCATTAATATAGGCAACTTTCAGAATGATGGTGATCCATTGTTATCAGCAGTTCCTAGCAGCATGAATATAAGAATACACGCTCCGCCCCACAATTCTTGTTCTACTTTCCTTTTCATTTGTCCCATATTATATTCCTATATCATTTTTTAGAAAAAGATAATTTTTTAAGTTTCTTATTCTATCCTATTTAATATATAATATTTTTCTACTAACAAAGTCATTATTGTTGCCAACAATATTAGTTAATCCATGACTTTGGTTACCTTGATTCTTACATTAAAAAAATTAAACTTTGATTAGTTTTAAGAATAATTCAGTACAGGGTTGCAAATAAGTTGAGCCGACTTGCGAGCTGTTCAAACTCGAGCTAAACGAACCGAGCTTGAGCATAACAATTTTTAGCTCGAAAGCTCATTGAGCCTTATCGAGCTTCTATATATACATATATATAACATTTTTTTTAGGCTTATTTGAGCCTCGAGCTCAAAATTTTTCGAGTTGAACTCAACTCTTAGTCAAGCTCGAACCTAAAATTTTGAAGTTTGTCAAGTTTCTAGCTAAACTAAATTCTATTGAGCCGAGCTTTGAGCCTGGTAACTTCGAGCTTAGTTTCCCTCATTTACATCCCAAATTTAGCGTGAGACATTTAATTAAAAAAAACAAGCAAAAATTATAATTTAACAATATTAACTATATTTTCGTAACATGTGTGAAATTCAAAGTAGGTCAAAAATTATGAGGCAAAGCAAGTGTAAAATTATATGGTACAATATTAATTAACATGCAAAAGTTGATAATACTGTACCTGATAAAAACAATGAATGGGCCACTGAAGTTATGAAAATAGAATGAGCCTTTGGCCAGTTTGCACATTCAAGATAGTGTTCAAGGGCCTTTGAGAGATCCCCATGGTAACTGAAGTAAACTGCCTACATTTCATAAAGTAAATATATCAAGTAGCAGAATAGAGAGGCTTATAAGAAAATAACAGCCTCATGAAAACAACCAGAATTTATAGACTTATCCAGAAAGGAAGATTATAAAATGCACTTCTACATAAAATCCAAAGTCCAAAAAATACTCAATAAGGATTTCAAAATTAAAATTGGCGACCAACATTTATTTGCTGTAATATGGCATAAAGCTCAGAATGAAGATCACAATCAGTTTGTACCATTCTTGCAAAACAGGAGAGCAGAAATTCACTTTTTTTTTTTTTTTGTTGAAATAACATGAGAGTTAGCTGTTGCAACTTGTAGTAATAGTTTATGTGTACACATAACAGCAGTTGTGAGAAGAAACAAGTCTTGCTCTACTGAAAAGGATATATTTGCACTTGGAGGAGGACAAAGGGAATAGAAGGGCTTTGAGTATATAGTCACTGCACTTGATTTTTTCAATAAACTTCATTCTCTTTTGATGGTTTTGCATGTATGCATGGACTTGTACGCACATGGGCACATAAAAGCACCTGAAACATCCAATGCAGGTAGCAAGGCAAAGACACAGAATAAAATGAACTTATAGAAATCATAGGTGTTCACAGAAATTGGCAGGCACAGCTGGTCTGCTTTGAAGTGATACCTACATACTTGATATGGTGCATCTTGAAGAGAGAAAGAGAGAGCGGTAACTAAAAGGACACTTGGAGAATTGAGTATTTTTATATCATGCTTGGTTAGAGAGGTTATAGGAACACACTTCAAAAGGTTTTCCAGCGTATAGTATACACCAAAGTAGGTGTAAAATCCAACAGTCAACCAAGACAAACTTTCACGAGTTGTATAGGAGCTTCAGATATAAAATATTAGAATAACTGCATCTCTACAAGAATTAATAGCATACCATAGCCTCATGCAACCATGCTGATGGAATGCCAAGGTTCTCAATAAATTGGCGTTGTGATTCATCTGAACTCCAAGTTTCACAATACTGAAACAAAATTTCCCGAATAAGGGTAGCTTGGAGATATGGATAATCCTCTCGGAATGGCATGTGAAGGACAACATAGATAGCCCAATGACATTGCCCAATACACAACAGCTGGGAAACAAGACTCATGTCAAGAACTTGAAGATCATTAGAAGAGAAAATGCCCACAGCTTCCAACACTGCTCGCTGATGCCAGATCATATGGTAGTCAAGTGGGTCATTTGTTGAAGAGAAGGCACTAAACATGGTCTTCAGAAAGCCAAATTCACCCTCTCCATTGGCATGAAGAAGCATAAGGTAATATGCGAGATCAAAGTGTCTCCCTGAGAAATTTATAGCCTCTTCTACTGGTCCTTCATCAATGTAAATTGGAAGTGGATATGGAGCCTTACCTTCATGAAGCAGGTGCTGATAAGTTTGGAAAATAATGGGCAAAGATGTTTGAGGCGCCAACCGATACCACATCAATAATCCTAAAAACCTCTTCCAGTCAATTTGAAAACCATTTAATGCGTCATGAATATTACCAGCAAGCAATTCATATAGCCTTATTCTCTCCTTCTCAATGAATTTGAAGTCCAGCCCATTGATCCTCCAAAGATCAAGCTGCCGTGCCACATCAGCACGGTTCACTGTGGATCCACCAGCTTGACTCAACAAACAGGCCAGTCTAACATCTCCTCTGGAAACAGCCATTTCCACAGCTCCAACCAGTTGTCGCCCAGTCAATAGTAAGAAAATGTGTTCTAGATAACTAGATTCATTCGAAGAGCTTACTTCTTCTTGGACACGATGGCAAACACTTTCTTGCAACCAACAACTGAAATCTGCTCGTCGGATAAGAGGAAGTGATTCCTGGTCAATTTCAAGTGAACCTTCCTTCAGATCCTGCATCATGTCTTCCTCATTGTCATCACCCACAGACTTCGACTGTCCGCTATTTTCCTTTTCAGAAAAAAGAACTCTTATCAATTCCCAGATTGTCACGTGATGCATCAAAACTAGACGTGCAGATGATGAGAGACCAGGAACTTCCAGCTGCCTTTCAATGACGTCTATGTAACTGCGACAAATCTCTGAAAGCATTAAGCGATTAGAAAGAACTTTTTGGAGCTTTAGTTTAAAGGGCCCCACTTCAACTTCTTTTGTTTCATGAGTTATTGTTTTGTGGAGATTCAAAGGAGAGTTAAAAGCAAACTCAACTAAATCTTTTTTGGCTTTGTTATTCTCATCTCTGATCACTCTGTCAATTGCAACCTTCTCTACATTAATTACAGAAGATAATAGCCTCTGAGAACCACTATATCCAACTGGAGCACCAGAGTGAACCAGGACACCATTTGGTCCCCAACCTACACGAAATGACCTACCCATGAATAAACCAGCATCAACTATGTTGCGAGAATGGCTTCCAATTATTGGTGTCTCATGTTTTAGGTCCAGCTTAAATCCTTCTCCTCTTATTGTCTTTAAAGGCAGGCCCTTATTTTGTTGGGCCATCAAAATTGTTCCATGGGAACTAGAATCAAAACTACCAGGATTATACTCAAGTAGAGCCAACGGCATTTTCCTTGCAACAGGGATGCTAGATCTATGGCTCATTTTCTGAGTGGAATTATGCAAAGGATCCCTTATGTGTTCTTTACTAGAGGACAGATTCTGGCGTGAAGGGGCACTGAAATTTCCAACCTCTTCTTCTTCCTCTACAGGGAACATTAACATCCTCATCTCTTTCATCTTTACAGGATCAAGCCCAAGATGTGCAGGAAGAGAATGATAAAGCATAGGTGCGCTGGGTTCAAATTCTACTTGGGTTTCTTCGTTTGTTTCAGGAGCCTCACCATCATTCATCTCAACTGGTTGTTCAACTGCTACAACATCATCCATTGTGATATCTTCCTCATCATCTTCACACAATCCAAATCTGCTGAAATGGCAGACTGAGAACTTCCACTCACCATTTGCTGGATCAAATGATATAAAATGAGCCCCCTGCTTTTCTGTACTCTCCCTCAATTTCTCCACAACATTTTTTAGTTTCCCCTTATTGGAATCTGATGATCTTATCTGCAGAGTCAAAGTCACTTCAGCGGCCTTGTTAAGGCCCTGACCAACTGCAGGCTTCGTGTTTTCATCTTCATAAACTATTATTTCATGCCTATGAAACTTCACAATCTGATCCAAATCCAGCCACCTAATGTCAGTCATCCCAAGAAACTTGACACATCCATAACCTAATCTCCCAACTGTGAAATCTGGAACCCGACTGCAATAACCAGGATCCATGAGTTCTCTGGCAGTCAAATCAGTCGAGGAAGGTTCCATGTAGTATTCCCTCGAGTATAAGGTTGGTAATGAAGATGCAATTCTGAAAATCTCCCTTGATTTGTCATTATCTGGTGATATTCTTCTTTTCTTATATTGGGCATGTAAACTAGAAGCCCCTATTTCACAGTCCAATCCATAAGAAGCGCCAAAATGAGCATTTGTTATTGTACTTTGAAGTTCCTTGGAAACCCCTAATTACATAACATAGAACACAAATTTTAATTATTAGAAACAACTATTGTCATGCTTTAGTAACTAAAGTAAAACATTTCAGCATCATTAATCTTCAGTAGGTCCAATTTGGATAATCAAAAGAAAATCCGATGAAAAGGATATGAAATTAGTCTGCATTTCCAAATAGTAAACATGAATGGAGAAGAAGAAGGGAAAAAAATTGCAAACGACATGACGGACAAATGTAAATTACTTGCTAATTAAACACACTAACCCAATCAATGCCGAAAATCAAAATTATGAAATATCAACCAATAATTAAACTAACAACTAATACAAATCAATATGCTACTGAAAGAACAAGCGACTTACACAACTGAACTGAGTATTGTCCAAAATCCATTGAGGCAAATTATCAAACAGTTTCCATACAATAACAACCGACAAACAGACACTGGAAACCTTCGTTCTAAGCAAGCTCAGTAACTACTATCTTTTATTTTCTTATCACTTCAGAACATAAACGCATTCAACAGATTCTATTTTTTTCTTTCTACGTGCTACCTTTTTCTCAACGACCAAACAACGCACTAATAAAGTATAATCCAAAGGGACGAACTAAAAAAGGCCCATGACAAAACAAAAAAATGAGCTAATGAAAAAATTCAAAGTTATCTATTAGTGACGAATTGGAAAACTACCGGGAACCGGGAGTAGAGAAGGAGACGCCATGATCGTCGACGAAAAAATGGAGAATATAGTAGATAATTGAGGGTATAGGGTTCTCCTTATCGCGGCAAAGTTGAACTGGAACTTCCGGTCTTTGGTCGATCTGTTTTGAGCTGCTATAAAATTTGAGCGACTGTAATGTATAGTACCGTATGCAGCGGCAAAGACTGGCCAACACAGAGAGAGGGAAAAACTGGCCTACTGGATCTGGTTAATTTTTTCGAAATTTATTTTTCTCTTAAGAAAATCCCAGCAGAAAGAGAGGGAAAAACTAACGACTGTGATGCCGCCACCCCACCATCGGTGCAAGGAAAGGTAGCATATGATAGAAAATGTATAATAATGTCCAGAAGGAGCAAAAAAAAAAAAAAGCATATAAATGTTCTCACTCCTTCCTCCCTAAACTTTATGTAGTATTGCAATTTCACTCTATTTTTTATATTTATATCAATTTCATCCTGAATTTTGATCTTCTATCCTCAAATGTAATTTTTTAAAAAAAAAGAAGAAATATTCATTAATTCCTGGACTAAAGATCCTACAAAACATCGGTGATAGAATCCCGTATGTCGAGACGGGCATAAAAAATTGATATTTTAGTTAATTTATAAGTGTTAATATTAACTTATCTTCTAATCCATTTGATTTTAATATCAAATCTATTCTCAAGTAAACATTTACAATCTAGAATAAATATACCAAACTCATAATTATCATCCCTAGAAAAATAAAGGGCATGAACGAAAACTTAGACAATTCGAATAAATAAAACCAACATTACAGAGATTAACACAAGCAACCATTAAGCAACGGCGAAGGGCAATAGCTTCAACAATATAGGGGTCACCATTTCCTTCTTGAAAGTCTGATATAACTTGAATAGAATCTCCTTCATTATCTTCTATTACTATACCAAAACTAATTAAGTCTTGAGTATGGAAGCTTGCATCATCAACAAAAACTCGCGAATAGGTTGCACCTTAAATTGCAATATAAAACTTAAATTATAAATAAACATTATATTAGTATCTGAGTGAACTTTTGACATTGGTTAACTTAATCCAAAATTTTTCTCTCGTATAAATTGATCAAGTTTAATTGTTATATTAAACAAATATATTTTTTTTCCATCTATAATTATAAATAATAATTAATTATAATTATATGTTATTATATGTATTAATGCATGTGGATAAATTACTGTTCATCTAACAGTGATTTTTCCATTCAGCCCCCTTTTTTTTTTTTAATTATAATATTAGTTTTTCAATTTTGTTGTTTAATATCTTTATAATTACATTGATTTCATTTTCCTACTAACTGACAGTTTTAACTTTATGACTTCATTCTTAATTACAATATTTTCCACATAATAATTTTTTGTCACTTTCACCCCTTGATATTTCTTTTATTTACATTTATACTCTTTTATTTTTTTAATAGTGTAAAAAGACAATAAAAACCTTTTTTTTTTAAGAGATACAATAAAAACCATCTTGATTGACATGCCATAATAGTGTTTTGTCACTTTTGCCTTTTGATATCTATTTGATTGCATTTGTGCTTTTTTTTTTTTTTTTTTTTTTTTTTAATAGTGTAAAAAGACAATAAAAACCTTTTTTTTTTAAGAGATACATAAAAACCATCTTGATTGACATGCCATAATAGTGTTTTGGTCACTTTGCCTTTTGATAATCCTATTTGGATTCATTTGTGCTTTTTTTTTTTTTTTTTTTTTTTTTTTTTTTTTTTTTGTTGTTAATTGTATAAAAATTATTATAAAACTCATTTTCGTTTACATGGTTCTTGAAATAAAACATTCAAGAGCGTTTTTCTCATTTTAATCATTTGATATTTTTTATTACAGTGATGTCATTTTGCTACCACTTTACAATTCTACGACTTCAATTTGTATAATATTATCTTTTGATTATTCAATAATTTATTTGTGTTAAAATAAAAAATATATGAGAAATTTGTGAAAGTTTATAAATCTTTAAAAATTACATTACTTAATAAGTAAAATTAGAGAAATTTTTAAAAATATATAAAAAGATTTTATAGTAAAAAGTTATAACATAAATTTACTAAATATGAATTTTATATTTATCATAAAAACAAATTTTTATTATTAAAAATAAAAAATAAAAAATTGAGAACACAATATGAATAAAAATAAAATATATCAAATACAATAAATATAATATCTTTAAGATGATTAAAAAAATATTTAAATTAACTAAAAATAAACATAATCTTTTAAGTACATATCATATTCAATAATAATTTATTTTTCTTTATTAATTAAAGTGTTTGAAACATACTTTATATATTTAACAAATTCCTAAAATATTCTTAATTGTAAAACTATAATAATTTCACCTTAAATCCTGTAACTCAAATAGTCTCTAAAATAATTATATATTCAATTATTTATAATTGTTGAAATAAATATATATCTATTCAATATAGGTTTTTCATTTGTTACTATCCGTTCTATTACTCTTTCATTTAAAAAAATAAAAATAATTTTTTTTTTTTTTACTCTTACATATTTTGAAGAAAAAAAAAAAAAAAAAAAAGAAAAAAAAAAAAAAAAAAAACATTCCGCTTCAATTTGCGCCAAGCATATCATGCTTGAATCTTTTCTATTTTGACAAAAAATGTTAACATTTCTAAAGTCCCTATGATTCAAAGAATTACATTAAAAAAAAAAAAAAAAACATTCCGCTCATTGCGCCAAGCAACATGCTTGATCTTTTCTATTTTTTGACAAAAAATGTTAACAATTTCTAATAGTCTATGATTCAAAGAATTACATGGTAGTTTAATTTTTCAAGTTTGTTTTTTAGATTTTATAATTATTTCAAATTTTATAATAAAATTAAAATAATAATAATAATAATGATTAGTTTATTGTTTACTAAGTACTATAATTTATTTTAAAGGACGTCAGATACAAATAATTAATTTTTATTTATTAATTATTATCAATTAAATAAATAATTTAAAAATATTAGACAAATACGTTAAGTTATTTAAAGCCCAAAGTTAAGAGTGAATTTCATAATAATGTATTTTTTTTATTTACAATTAATCTATGATTTGTAATTTATGATGCTATTGTAATAGAAGATCAAAGTATGAGGTGAAATTGACATAAATATTAAATTTAAGAGAATAAATCCAAATTTCAAGATAAAATGATATATTAAATCCGCTTTTCATGTTATTTTTTCTATAAAATTTTTTGTTTTTCAAATATTTTTGTAAAAAATATAAGTATAAAAAAATTTACACTTAATAATTATTAATGATAAAATAATGATTTAGTTAGCTATTAATGTAAAATAATTAAAAAAATTTTAATTAAAATCTCTGCCAAATAATGCCATAAAATAGTAAACTTAATTATTATTATTATTAATCTTTTAGATTTTTATTTCTTTGTTAATTGTTGGTGGGGTCAATAAATGGTCCATTCAGTTCAATTATTGTCAGAATTGATTTCAATTGAATCGGATTGATTTGTTTTTCAGCTTTATTCAGATCAATTCGGTTTTAACTTAAGTCTAACCAAATATATTTTATAAAATCAAACCGAACCACCATGAGATTTCGGTCTGAATCAAAGTGGAGCGAAAAGCGAACCTCTTATGAGCGCCAACTGAACCAAACATTGTGATTTGTGAGTTCAGTTTTCGGTTCGATTCGGTCATTTTGATCACCCTAATTGCTGGGCCTTAGTCTTCTATATTATGCTGGGCCTTAAACTTATATATTTAAGTAATATCTTGGGCTAATAAATAAACCCCCATCCATTGCGTTGCAAGTCATAGCCTAGCGGTTTCTGGCGTTTATGTAACGCTACTCGTCGTCTAAGCGCAGAAACACACCATATATATGATATAACCGCAAATGCGAGCTCAACCTATATAAACGCTACTCTCTCATTTCCTTTCCCTCGCTACTTTTAAAACACAGTCTCTCTTGCTTGTCTCTTTAATCTTTTCTCTCCTTTGTTTTTACTGGTCAGTTTCCTTCTCTCTCGTTTGCTTAGCTGCATTTAATTTTTGATCCTTTATTTTTTTATTTTTTTTGCAATTTAATGCTTAGCTACATTTAATCTTCTCTCTCGTCGTCTAGTAGATTTTTTTTTTTTTTTCCCCTAAACTCTTATTCTGCTAATTTCGCAGCTGGACATGGCTACTTTTGGTGCTGCAGCGGCTGCAAATCCAAACCCCAACAAATCTTTTGAGGTATTTTCTTTCTATTTGTTTTAAAAATTTATATTCAAATTGCTATTAGATTGCATTTTAGTTTGGATGAATGGTAGACTGTTATTAATTACTTAATTCTTTATGGTTTTGAGAGAATTGTTATGTAGAAAGACTCGATTTAAGAGACTTAGTTTATTGTTTTTTATTTTTATTTTTTCATGTGTTAAATGGAAAAATTGATGAAATATTTGATTGTAGGTGGCGCAACCTCCTAGCGACTCAGTTTCGAGTCTCAGTTTCAGTCCCAAGGCCAACCACTTGATTGCTACTTCTTGGGACAACCAGGTTTGTTCAATTTTGTTTTTGTTGTTTTATATTTAAATTTGTGGTTTGAATGTGGTATTTCTGTATATTTAGGCATATACGTATATATATGTGTGTATCCAATAAATGTTTGAGTTTGCTCATGTGTATAAGTTTTGCGGTATAAACCTTGTTTCATTTGTGATTTTCTCTATTTATTTGTTAAATAGCACTCACTCATTATTGGTTTTAAATAATTTTATAGGTAAGATGTTGGGAGATTACGCGGAGTGGAACCACTGTAGCAAGTGTGCCCAAGGCATCCATAACACATGACCAACCGGTAATGAATTGGAGAAGTGTTCAAAACCTGCAGCTTGTTAATTTTAAATTTGTGAAAGTAATTTCTAATGCTTTTATTCTTTTTCTTGTTCCATAATTTGGTTTATTTTTAAGGTTTTATGCTCCGCCTGGAAAGATGATGGAACAACAGTATTTTCTGGAGGTTGTGACAAGCAAGTGAAGATGTGGCCTTTACTGTCTGGTGGTCAACCAGTGACTGTTGCAGCACATGATGCACCAATCAAAGAGATTGCATGGATTCCGGAGATAAATCTGTTGGCCACAGGAAGCTGGGATAAGACCTTGAGGTAATTCCTTTCCCCTGTAACTTAGTTTCTTGTTGTCCTTTCCTGGCATTTATGGAGCATTTGGTCTTAGATGTCATGTGACATAGCAAAAGAGTTTAGAACAATTAGTTCTCAACAATTAGGCTAGAATTGGGTGATTGTGATTGGAATGATATAAAATAATTGGTTCTAAAGAAAACCTTAGAATTAAATTCTGAATAGAAGAGAAAATAAGAATACACAACTAGCTGTTGCTATCCTATTTATACTAGTTAGGAAAATTCTAATTCTGGGCTGAAAAATATTCCTAATTATTTAACTTACTTTGTAAGAGTCCTAGATAAAGATAAAGATAGAAAACTGAAAAAATTTCTAATTAATTAACATAATTAAGAATCCTGAATAAAGATGGAAAACTAAAAGGTTCCTAATTTAACTTGGATGCTCCTGCATCATCATGGCCAGCAGTATACTTTTTGGCCCCTTGCTATTCGGTTACTACTAGTTATTTATAATCATTGAAGACCAAAAATCAAATGAGACATTTATGTTCAATATTAGTACTCCACAAGAAGAGGAAAGTAGGAATGAATTTCTTTCAATTTGAAGGAAACGGTTTACTTTTGAAGTTGAAAGATAATATTAATAAGATCCTAGGACTTTTTTTTTTCTTTTTCTTAAATTAATTTTATTTTATGATAAAGTAAAGATCTTAACCATGGCTTTATGAAAGTAAAACAGCATAACATTTATCCATCTCACACTATTAGTTTTCTTGCTTTAGGATTTGAGTTTTACATGTGATCATTTGCTGCCCTAGGATTTGAGAACTGGTTGTGATGATGGCTACAAAGTGTGGAGTTCTTGTGATAGTCAAATTGCTTTCTGTAGCTTCATACATTCATATATAATCTGTCATAACAACATTTCTGGTTTTATTCTGCATTGTGTCACAAATATATTTTTATTGGCTGCAATTAGGTACTGGGATACAAGGCAACCAAATCCAGTGCTCACGCAACAGCTTCCTGAACGCTGCTATGCTATGACCGTGCGACATCCTTTGATGGTTGTTGGTACTGCGGATAGAAATCTTATAGTCTTTAACCTGCAACAACCTCAGGTGCGTTCTACTATGTCATGAGATTAAATCACTTTCTAAAATGGGTTTCATCATCTTGATAATGATGCCTAAGTAGAAGCATAATTTCTAGTAATTTGTAATTTTCTTTATAAGAAATGTTGTATTACATATACAACGATATCATGCTTTGGATTTCTTGTTATTGAGGCAGTTGTTTTGGTTAAGCAGAAGAACTTGACAGCATAATTTTAAATCAGCCATTCTTTTCTATGGTAAAATTATTATCATACTTCTTTCATTAAGTTTTTTTAGGATGAGGGACGGTTTGAGATTTGTTGTTTGTAGGTTCTTGTTGATCATTTCTTGTTACCTCCAATCCATACAATACCTATTTTAACTCATATTGCCAGTAAGCAAATTTGGCTTTGACTTGGGATTTAAAAAATGGAGGTTGTGTGGTTGCCAATGCCATCATTGGTGAGATGGTGCTATCCATTTCATTGCATAGAGCATAATCCCAGTTTTTGAGAGAGGGGTAGGGTGGTTGGGTGTTGGGAGAAAAATGAGAAAAATGATTTATGAGAAAACACATTGAATGTTTAAAGATTCAGATTAGTTCTTTTTTTTATTGTCTATTAAATTTTAATCACTGTTTGAACACTAACAGAATGAGTTCAAGAGAATTGTTTCTCCCCTGAAGTATCAGACAAGATGTGTTGCAGCCTTTCCTGATCAGCAAGGTTTCCTGGTATGTGTTATTATGACATTATGTTTACATTTTCTTTAAGACAGCTTTAACTAATTCATATCTATGCAGTTTAAAGATGCCTATCTTTAATATATATATAATGTTTACATTTTCTTTAGACAGCTTTAACTAATTCCCATATCTATGCAGTTTAAAGATGCTATCTTTAAATATATATATATATTATATATATATACTATAATATATATATATCCTATCTTGAAATATATATATCCTATCTTGACAAAAATGTCCTTAATGTGTTAAGTCCCTAGCTTTCACATATCTCTTGCTTAGTAGCATGATAGATGTAGTATTTTATGGTAGGGTCTGTGAGGATAAACATATTTGCTGTATGTTCTGTTGGTTGTATTTATGGTCGTTGTTTTCTCCTTCCTTTGGTGCATATTCACTTTGCTCATGAGCGAATACATAGTTACACACAAGATAAAAGCAGTATTCGCATGCACCATGATTGTGAATTCATAATGAATATGCGATCCAGGGGAAGAATTTAGGGCAATTAATTCTCAACAATTAGACTAGAATAGGGTATTTTCATGTAATGTTATTTTCGTTCTGTGCTTTCAGAATGCCTGCCATAGACTTTGTTTTAGTCTCTTTCTACTCGATCTCAATTGTATTTTGTTTTAGCTGCTCTCTCTCTCTCACTTCTTCTTCTTTTTTTTTTTTTTTTTTTTTTTTTTTTTTGAGGGGTGGTACTTAATATTAGAGTTTTTGCGTTGTTGTTCTGCATAGGTTGGCTGCAATCGAGGGTAAAGGGTTTGGTGTACATCAATCTAATGATGCAAGCAAGTCCAAGAACTTCACTTTTAAATGCCATAGAGAGGCAATGAAATATACTCGGTCAACTCCTTAAATCTTCATCCGGTGAGTTTTTTTTTTTTTTTTTTTTTTTTTTTTTTTTTTTCACTTTTTCTTGTTTTTTTTTTTTTTTTTTTTTTTTTTTTTTTTTTTCACTTTTCTTGATATCACTTTTAGCTATTAAATATTTCTCATAAAATGGTCTGTCATAGGGGATCTTAATGTTAGTTGTCTTATTCTGTTGACCAGCTAAGTGAAATAGGTAGTGCTATAGATTTTCGATTACTTGGAACAGAGAAAATAGTATGCCTTATGGAGAAACAAGCTCCAGTTTCAGATTCATAACACTACTGTTTATTTTGCTTCATCGACAATATCTAATTAATGGCACTTCTATCAATATTTGGAGTAACTGATCAATTTCAGAAGGTTAATTTGATGTGTATCTGCTAGTTCTTATTGGTGCAAAAAGTCAGTGTGGAGATTGGGGCACTATCGACCAAAGTATTATATGATTACTGCTGCAAAATCTCTAGTTCTTGGAAATTGAAAATTTTCAATAATAATGCAATGAATTTTGTTTGATTCATCTTTAGGTCATTCCCAGTTTTGAAATTTCTATTATCATGCACATAATTTTGCCTTTTTTTTTAAAGATCTTTTAACTTCAAGCTCAAGTTCTTAACTAGTTTGGTCATGACTGTATTTTAACATGCAGCTGCATTTTTTTTTCTTCAGGTGCATCATACGTTTGCAACCGCAGGGTCTGATGGTGCTTTTAATTTTTGGGACAAGGATAGCAAACAAAGACTTAAGGTTTGTCCAGATTTCTTTTGTAATATACTCTACCTATTGTTGGCTTGGATTAGTTATTCTGTCTTCCTCTTTCTGTGAAAAGTTCAAAATCTTTTTTTTTTTTTTTTTTTTTTTTTTTTTTTTTTTGGTATTATTTTTTTTTTTTTTTTTTTTTTTTTTTGGTATTAAAAAAAAAAAAATTTAAGCGAACACCTGGTTTTCAAATCATTTTGCAAGTCCTTTGCAAATATGTTTATTCATAAAAGTATGAGTGTGTATCCTCACTAATGTGGTTCATAAATAACATATTTACATTGTCCTCTTGATGTATGGTCATTGCTCTGTGGATCTGTATATTTTGTTAAAGTGTATGTTTTATTAAAAAAGATATATTCAGTAAATGTGAATCTGGAAAGTCTCTTTGTGAGCATGTGCATACACATGTTCATGGACATGCATTTATTGCATGGGGGCTGGTATTACACCTACGATTAATTCAGTTATGTTGGCTGGAATAAGCCTGCTATATTCATGGTTTAACTGGCTGTCTAACTGTAGTTGAGTTTTCTTTCTAATGCTAAAAGTTTAGCTTTGTGCATTGAAATGGCCAAGTGTTTGCTAGGTTTAATTTAGTATACAAGGCAGTTTAATCATCTCAATGTATGACCAATCTGGCATTATTAGCTTTTTGTTGTTTTTTTTATTGTGATGCTGTAGTCTAATATGCAGTTGATAATTTATTCTTTATGATTATCAGGCGATGACTCGGTGCCCTCTTCCTATACCCTGCAGCACTTTCAACAATGATGGCTCAATATTTGCATATTCGGTAAAGCCTGCTTTTCCCCTTATCTCTATGTTCTGTGATAAGTATCCCTGCAGTGTCATCTCTCTATCTACTCCCACACACTTTTTGAAGGGTGAAATTCATGAAATGTTATTGACTAAAAACAACTGAAGGCACTCTATGCTTGTTCTCGTACTAAGCAAACCAAAACCAAAAGACACCTGATTGTATTGAACAATGATTAGTGATATATGTGGTTTCTTCTTGTTGAAATTCATGTATAAGCATATCATAGAAGAACTAAAATCTTCCAAATGCTCGTTACCTTTGGCTTATGAATGAATTAGCAGCTAACTGTAACAATGTGACCATTTGCATCTCTATTTTATAATGAAGACTCGAAGTTCTGCTTGAGAAGATTGGTAATTTGGTGCTGAAATAATGATTTCATTTTCTGTAGGTGTGTTATGACTGGAGCAAGGGTGCAGAAAATCACAACCCGCAAACAGCAAAGACCTACATCTATCTGCATTTACCACAGGTAACTTAGAAGGCCCTTTTTTGGATGATATGATCTGCTGTGTTGGTTTTCTAATGCTATAAACCATTTTATGCAATTTCATTAATTAATTTTGCAGGAATCTGAGGTTAAGGGCAAGCCACGTGTTGGAGCAAGTGGTAGAAAGTAAAGCTGCATATCATCAGAAGTAAATTGCCAGTTTTTTACCTGAAGCATTTTCTTTTAACCTCTTCCCATTGTCAATACCTGGTTTTTGACGTAGATTGTTCTTCAGAGTACAGGAGTCTCTGCTAGTGAGATAGGTTGCTCATATAGATTGTAATTGCATGTTTTTCCTACGTAGTTTTCAGATCCCAATACTCAATTCACTGTTTTGATGGTTTAACATAGCGTGACAGTTTGCTACTCAGCACCACATGTATGTTTGAGTTTTTTGTAGTAGTTACTGGTTAGGGTTTGATCTGCCCCTTGGCAAAGTTCCAAGGTTTCGTTCTCAGTTGTTGTTGCAATTCCAATTCCTTATACAAGATTCCATATAATGATTTCAACTCATGCCAAAGCGAGACCAGCAAGGGAACCTCTCCTGTTAGTGTTTATGATTTCCATAAACTTCACACTTCTTGCTCGTACTAGTTGAATCTTTTTTGCTTTTTGGTAGTGTGGAAATTTTAGTGAGGGAAAAATGGTCAAGAACTGAATCTTTTACACATCTTCTTTAGACTACTGCTAGCTTTATGGTGTTGTTTATAGATTTTATGCACAATGTGTTTTTCTTTTTCTTCAAAAATACCTTTAAAATTATTACAATTAAACATTTAAATGCTGACATCAACAGTGGGAAGGAAAAATAGGTTGAGCCTTGGCGGAACGTTTATAGTCAAGAGCGTATCATGATCAAAGATTACGTACGCGTATATTCTAAAGTTACCAAAGCGTTTTTTTGACTTGGAGAGGATACACTAAACTTAGCAGTTGACAACGCTTGTTTAAAAACGGAAATGAGGCTCTTATTCCGAAATAGTTTTTTGGAGTTGTGTTTACTGTTTTGACAGACACTATTTTTATTAAAATGTTCAATTGGGTGTCAGATATTAGTATTTAGTTATGAAATTCTACTAAAATGTTTGATGCTTGCTTGAACAACCAAATATCATCGAATAGAGCTTAATAAAAATATTAATCAAGTACATGCTATTTTTAAGATAAAATTTTACATATTATAATAAAAAAAAAATTTTAAGATAAAAAATTAATATTTTAAAATTTATTTTTAACAGTATTTGATATAATATTTTTTAAAAAAGGCAGTTTATTTTAATATATCCTCTTCAAATTCTACTTGCTAACCATCTTTCAAATTTCAGTTTCTAACTATCTGTAGTAGATAAGCGATTAGTAAAATAACATCACAAAAACAAAAGAAATGATGACTAAATTAATTTGGATTTAATTGTAACCCACTAAGTAATAGAGATGGGTCCACTTTATCATAATGTTTAATTGTTCTTTTTAGTTAATTAAGGTTTTGCATGCAAAGAAAAGAAGAATTACAATAACATATTAGAAAATCTCTACTTTGAGTAAATATCAAGTAAGGAACATACACACAAATAAACAAAAATAAATAAATACAAAACAACAATGCAAAAGGATTATTTTTTTTATTTCCCTTCATTGAAATTATTTAATTACCTTTATAAGATTTTGGACTTATATATGATTATCATAGCACGCGTTATCTTTACCTTTTTCTCTAAGTCACAAAAACAAACAAGAACCTTTTCAAGCTTTATTGCATCCTTCTGAAATTCCATATCTTTGATCAATCTTTGCTTTTAGAGATTTTTCATGTTGGATTGTTTTGTTTTGTTACTTAAACTTCCAACAAAAAAGGACCCCCCTCTACATCACGCTTGTAAACTCTATTTTTGCATTCCTCCTTAGTGGTTGGAAACAAATTCTACGGATATAAACAATTTTAGCAAGTCCACATAGCCAGCTGTTTATAATTAAAATTCATGTAAACCAAAAGCCCGAAATTTTACCTCCCTATTTTGAAATATTTTCTTTCGTGTCTCTAACTTTGAATTCTGGTTCCGCGAATGTTATAAACTATGTTATCCTAAAGTAGAACATTAATTGATTTCTTATGATCAAAATTGTTGCAACCAGAAGCAATGTCTATGTACTCTAATCTATTAAGTACCATTAAAAGAAAAGAAAATGTTAATTACCTATAATAAGTATGTATTCATAATCCCCACGTAGACTATAATTATGTGATCAAATCATATTATATAGTTTCAATTTTTTATGAAAAATGATGATTATTTTTGCCATGATTGGTATAAAATTGCAATTTTTAAAGGATAATATATAAAATTCTCACCATCCTCTGTAAATGATTTCTTTTTTCCCATAAAATATAGATTACAATATTAGATGGATTGAATAAAAAACATACTATACCTGTAAGATTTGACAAAAGCCAAATTAATAGTATTGAAAACAAAAATTTCTTTTAAAAACAGTCTATGAGACTCAAATTAAGTTAAAAGACATATTATATTTACTGCATGTTCACCAGACCAATGGCGTTTAAAGAATTGGTATCAAAACGAGCTAAAATGGTAGTTTACTATAGAGTCTGAAGGCCTGGAATAATTGTACATTTAATGCTTTATCTATTGGTCTAAGATGTAGCCGGTAGGGTTTTAGCTACAAATATATTTTATTAGTGCTTTGAATGACCCCTATATCAGTGTTCATGAGACTTCTATATCCCATCTATCTGGCCTCAATGTGAGACCAAATGCTCTTTGCTTGTTTCTTTTCTTTTTCCCTTACAATATATATATTGTGCATTAAATGGTCAAAAATTGGAATATCTTGATTCATTGATTACAATATCATGCTATCGATCAGGTGTAGTATGATCTTCTTATTTATATGAGTAGTGAGAAATTTCGAGTTTGAATCCTTTAAATTACAGTTGTTTTCATCAATTTGGTGAGGAGGGAAACGATTACCCATTATAGAGATATACTAATCACTTAAATTAACCCACTGTTGAGTTAAAAATCAATTATAGTTTTTCTCTATAAAATTTCATGAAGAAAATGCATAAATTTTGAAAGAAAATAACCAAAACATTGGCATTTATGGTGCTATATGGCAAGCAATTGAATATATATAGGTTATTTAGCTAACACCTTGCTATCTCTCTAGGGAACTAATTAGTTATGAGCCAGGAGCCAGATTTCATGCAAAGTGATTCATCATCAATCTTGTATAAATTCCTAAGTATCATCTCACCTATTCAAATTCATTAAAAATGCATTTTTTCTTTTGTTTTTTTTTTTAACCACAGGTATCTACAGTCTATTGGATTAGAAATAAAATATGCTCACACCGGATCGATCTACTAAGGAATAAAGTGCTTCCAAATGAAATATTTGCTTTATTCATAATGATCGAATCCTTAACCTTATTTAAAGGAGAAGAATGCCGAACTACTCATTCCAACACTTGTTGATTAAGCCTCCGTGCTTTTGGTAATTTCTTGCAAACCAACAATTGGAATTGCATGTGGGTATGACGTAACTATAGATGTTCTTGAATAATTGAGAGTGTGTAATATTGATGTCAACATCTTGATTATATGTTTTGCACACGCCTATATGTATTTGCATTCGCCGAATGCAACAAAAGAACTTTGGTCAAATATAGCAGCGGGTAGCCTACAAGCCCAAGGTGTAGATAAAGAAAGGGCATGGGCTTGAAAATTACAACAAGAACATGCATAGTCTTTGTCTTTAGCCTCACAATTTGCCATATTATGAACTAATATAGGTGTCCTATGTTTAGTAATTGTGATGTGAGCCACGTACTCATGTCTTCTAACTACCTCATTTAAGAACATAGACAAACCATTTCCATCTAAATGTTTGTGTCACCATTTAATTACCACTTATACTTTCATAATCCCTATGTGTCATTTTGTTACATAAAATGATCAAACCTCTTTATATTAAATTCATCACATTTGTATTACAAACGCATATTTATAAATTAATCTCATGCATCTGATATTAATTAGAAACAAAGATTAGAATCAGAATGTAATATAAAAAGATTAAACAAAAACATTTGAAAAAAAAAAATACAAGGAGACATATTTGTTTCCTTTTTTGGGTATTTGACTATAACTCAATCCTATGCTCGCACTCGACGGGACCACCAATGGGTAAAGTGTTTTCAACAAGTATTTGTTTCATCTATAAAAATGAAACCCTCAATCTTACTTAAGGAATAAAAATATCAAACCACCCATCCCAATACTCGTTGATTGATATTTGTTTTCTTTGGTGAAGTATGTATGCATATCAAATATAAATACTTGTAATACACACCATTTTTTTTTTTTTTTTTTTCGTCTCGTGAAGTATGTAGGCATATCAAATATAGAAAATACTTGTTAATAACCACGCATTGCTTTTTTTTTTGTTGTTCATTTTCAATGAAATTGTTTTATTGCTGAGTGTAAAAAGGCCCATAGCAAATATCATTAGCTACATTGTTAACTTTAACAACCTATGTGGAACGAATGATGTAACCAATGAATACCCTAAAACAACAATAAAATAAATAAAGGATGACTAAAGGACATCGTAGTGGACCCCCATTTCTAAATGTGATGGCAAGAAGCCGCAAAAGAGGCTTATATAAAACCTCTATATATGTGGCTTTCCCATGTCCAAGCATGCCATTTTTTTTTTTTTTTTGTTCATTCAATGAAATTTTTATTGCTGAGTGTAAAAAGGCCCATAGCAAATATCAATAGCACATTTACTACAACCCATGTGAACGAGATTAACCATAATACCCAAACACAATAAAATAAAATAAAGGAGACTAAGACATTAGTGGACCCCATTTCTAAATTGATGGCAAGAAGGCCGCAAAAGAGGCTTATATAAACCTCTATATATGGCTTTCCCATTCCAAGCATCCTTCTCTCCATTACTCATATACTCTCCTCCTACCAGAACTTTTCACAAACACATAGACATCAAACACATTAATTCGAAAAGTTTCTTTTTTTTCTGCACAATGGCTAGACAGCAACAACGGTACCGCGGCGTCCGTCAAAGGCATTGGGGCTCTTGGGTATCTGAAATCCGCCACCCTCTACTGTAATTTCCCTTCCTTGCGATGTTCTGTACATTAATTAGTCCTCTGTGCACATCATTATCAAGAAACGTTTCTTTTATTCAATTCCCTTGCTTTATGCATTTCTTGAACTAAAAGAGACGTTTGATATTGCTTTTTGCCTACAGGAAGACTAGAATATGGCTAGGCACATTCGAAACGGCGGAGGATGCAGCGCGAGCCTACGACGAGGCAGCAAGACTAATGTGTGGACCAAAAGCACGCACAAATTTTCCATACAACCCTAATGAGCCACAATCATCTTCTTCAAAGCTTCTATCTGCAACTCTTGCAGCTAAGCTACATAAATGTCACATGGCATCTTTACAAGTGACCAAAAATAAAAATGTCAATAAACAAACACATAATGATCAAGCACAATATTGTAAACCATTTGACACTAGCAATGGCATTGCCGGAAAAAGTATAGAAACCAGCTTTTCTTGGCCGGAGGGGGACTGGGTTGGCGAGGAAAGCCAAGTTGGGAATAGCCAAGGGCAAGAATTTAAGGCACTTGAAGATCATCATATAGAGCAAATGATCGAAGAGTTGATTGATTATGGCTCTATGGAGTTTTGTTCTGCTTCTTCAACATAAAGGCTTTTTAATTAGAAAGAGTAATAATGTAGCAATCTTGATGGTCTATTTGGTAATGAAACTTTTTTAATTGTTATCAATTTCTTTTTGGTGCATAAGAAATTCTCACAAAAGATTTCTCAACATTTAAATCCTTGATATTTTACAATATGAGGCACACATTTGATTATTAGTCTATAAAAAATAATTGAAATTCTCCCTTTCAAAAAAAAAAATTGAAATTATAATTAATTAATTCACTAATTAAATTTTATTTTAAATCAAATTTTTTGGTTTAGTAAATGATTATGCTTATTTATAGAATTATTGAATTTGTAATGCAATAAAGTAGTTAGTGTGAAAGGATGTGAATGAATAAATAAAACCCATACAATAATGTGGCTATTTTTTTTATAAGTAATGGTAAAAGAGATTTTGGGACCATATGGATTCCTCCCTTTCTTGAGTTCCATGTAGGAAAAGAATCCAAGTCCCAAAGGCATGCCAAAAGTGAGAAATTAGAAGTTTCATTTGATTATTTATGTCTTCTTTTCTTCATTTTTTTTTACTAATGGGTTTGAAAGTGGTTGCATTTTGCTTCATCCAAGGCCAAATAGGAAAATTAAAAAAGGAATGGCCTTGAAAAGAAGTGCTTAAGTAACTAGTTTTGATATACACCTTGTATCAAGATTTTACGCCATAATGATTTTTTATTCATTATGAGGTTGAATTGACTGGAATAGCATAATGAGCTATACAATATGAGTAAATTTCTCCTTAATTCATCAATTTGATGAAAATTCCAGTGATTAAGAAAATTCAAACTCGACATCTCTCACTTCTCATGTTAGTAAGAAAACCAATCAAATCACACCTGGTTAACTATACCTTAGTGATTTCAATACTTAATTTGTCACATATAAATATTAAAAACATTAGAAAAAAAAAAAGAGGTTATTTCAAGGTCCTTTTCTCTGCATAACATGTGTTGGTAATAACTTAATTAGAGCGGTTCAATTTTCTTCTCGAAAATTGGTGGTTTAAATTCAAGTTCTTTCTATTATAAGAATTTCACCAAATCGTGAGTGTTATTTAAATGAGATGACTATTCTCTACTGTATAGCCTGTAATATTATTTCAATACATGATGAAAAATAAAAAACTTAATTACAGATGAAATTAACATCTTTCTCGGATGCTGTTTTCTTTTTGTCGCAGCTCCAAAGTGTGTAGTATACAGTGTAAGGATTAATATGTGTGTATGACTATGATCATATTGTAGTTGGAAAAAGACAATATTTTGTACTTCATTATAAACATTCCTATTACTTTCCCACTAGCTTTTTTTTGTGTGTAAGCTGATAAGGGACTTGACAGCTTTTTTATCCTTCCAGCTTAGATCCCTTGATTTCTTCAAAAGCATTGCTTTTGACCATCACAAGCATTCTCACTTGTTCATATCAACTACTTAATTATATATTTAACTCTACATTTCCTTCTATTATATATATATAAACACATGCAATTAAATTCTTAATTTCATATCCATTAGATAATTATACACAGCACAAATCAATAGATATTAACTATTAATCTCAAAATTTTATTTTTCTTTCAGCCTTATTTTCTTTATCCATTTCTATTAACGTAATTAGGACTATGTAAGAGTATTTGAAAAAAAAAAAGATTAAGAGAGGATCGAATGAAAGTGATATGGAGGGGGAAAAATATAATTTGTTATTTGTTTATTTAATTTGGACCCTTTTCTTTATTTTTTTCCTTTTTCCCAAAATTCTTCTAAAGAATAATTTTTCACCAAGTAAAGCATTTTCTTTTTGGAAAATATATAAATACAGATATGACTTGCCAGCCACCATCCACATCACGAAAATACACTTTGTCTGTACCTTCTGAGGACTCATTTTCACAATTTTGGAGCGTGCAATAACCACTAGCTGTATACACTTGTAATTAAAAAGAGAACTTGAGCGTAATTTGATTATTTTTCGCGGGAATAATATATCTAAGCAAACAGAATTTAAATTCTCTCGATCGTAAGAGTTCTTATCAAATTAATTGTTAATGAAAGAGTTATCCATATTGTTGGAGTTCTTTCAACTATAAAAGTTTTTTTTAAGTCAGTAGTTAACGAGAGGTTTATCTATATTATATAATAATATTTTTATTCCATTAGGCCTCCGGTAATTAAAAAAAATATCTTAACTTTTGTTTTTTTTTTTTGCGTATTAATTTATTAGGTGTATATGTTTGAAATTGTGTATTGAGAAGATACATGCGGTCCCAATTGGGGTAATTCTTTTTGCTTGTCATACTTCCTCAAATGCAAATAAACAATAATCTCTCTCCTGAAAATTTTTTTAGAAGAATTTGTAATATACAGAGGGAAATACTTTTTATCGGATATATACATCCACTGAATCTAATAACGATGATTGATGTAAGTAAAGATATTGTTGTCTATTCCTAAGGGAAAAAAAAGAAGGTATAAGACAGAAATAAAAAGTGACAATAATCTATTAGTTAGATGTATAAACAAAAAATATACACAATAATGGAGGGGGAGAACTAGGAATTGGTTCGGTCAGATGCCCAAGAGAGATTCGGTTGGTCGGTTCACTTGGTTTGAACCGAATTTATTATTCGATTCAATTCGGTTACATGAAAATTTCACAGTTGGGTTTAGAACAGAATCAAAATGGTATAAACCGATAAAAATATATCAAACAGATTGAGTTCATTTACAAACTTCAGTCCGGTTCAGTTTGTTATAAAGAAATTTCAGTTTATAATTTGTGGCTTGAACCGAATCGACCGTTTGCTCATCCCTAAGGAGGATAGATCCGGTGCAAATAGTCAGGAGAGGCTAAAAAATAATTTTACTAGTTATCGAGAGTAAAATTCAAATTTTTTTTTTCAAAAAAATTTTCACTCAAAATTTTAAAAATTAATTTTTTTAATCTGGGGGCCACAGCCTCTCCCAATTCCCAAATCCCCTGGGTCATCCTTGGATGCAGCCTAAAAGTTTTTCAAAGTTTGCCCACTAAAATTACAAAAGTTTTAATTTTATTTCCTAAAATAGTATAGTTTTTAAAATCTTGACCCTTATAACTTCTGAAATTTTTATCCCCACCTAGCTTTCAGTCCCAGCTCCGGTATGGTGACATGTATAGGATCTTCTATATATGAAAATGGAAATTCTAGTAAGAAGAAAGATAATAATAATAATATCTTAACTAAAAGTTGGGACAGAAATGAAATTTACTTTTTTTTTTTTTTTTCAATTCACTTTAATTAATCAATTAGTGTCTTCGTTAGTTCAATTCTTGAAATAATGGTGGGATCCACTCCTCTAACCTAATCCTCATGCTTCATGATTAATCTTCTATTTGGAAATTGATTTTGTCTACCACAAAAACATTAACAGCCAAAGTTGATAGCTCAGCTTCACTAATTTAATCAATCCTTCAAAAATCTCATATAAACTTCTGAACCAACATATTTCCTCTCAAAAATTTTTCAAACCCAAATTTCACCTTTGGAGTAAGATTTGGAAATCATTCCTTTTCCTTCTGTAAAAAGCAAACTCCTAAATTTCTAGTTGTAGAAAAACCAATTCTAAAATTTTTCATGACTTACCCATTATAAAATATATAACACAACCAATAAAAATAACAAAATCATTACACACAAGATGGTATTTTTGTTTCTCCTAAAAAGCTAAAAGAAAGATAGTCAAAAAAATTATCATTGTGTGTGGAATCTCATGTCCAAATCATGGAGGAAAACAATAATCATCATGTGGCATATAGCCTGATGAACCCTTAATCATGTCAATTTCCAATCCCATGTTGAACTTTGGATCTATTTTATCATTGGATTTAGATCCTTGGAATTTCTTTTTATTTATAATTAGGGTTGATACCCAAAAATACTCCTGAAAAGGGAGCATTTTCTAACGGTATAATTATTTTATATAGACACAAATGGGTTTATTATGCATATATGCACTAGAATTTAAAGACAAGACGAAGAACCAAAATCTATATATAATATATGTATGTATTTATTAATATTAATTATAGGTATGTGTCTCTTCCCATTCCTTCACATGCAAAGTCATGTTATCCAAACATACTTTGCATGTGCATGTTGGATTTGCACATGGTTTTAGCGACACTTCTTGTGATGTAGTTAAGGCGACAAGGATATGTTATTGTTTGGTATCATGCACCTCTCCTTTTCTCTCATGGATATTAGAAGGTGCAGTCTCTTTTAAATTTTTATATATATATATAGGATAATGCCAAAACTTTATCTATTAGTGATTAGAGTTATTGAATCTTATATATTATTGAATCTTTATCAATACTATATATATCATAAAAATAATATATATATTTTAAATAACAAATTTTTTTAATTATAGTAAATTACCATTTTATGTAAATGATAAAGAGTTTTGCAAGAAAAATAAACCAATCGTGGAGATAACATAGCATTTTTATTTCTTGAGCATTCATAATTATTAATTTATAAAAATTGTTTATGTAAGAATTTAAAATGGAAAATAATATATATATTAGTTATTTTTTGGTTCCTTCCGTCATTTGTTCACATGGGCAACCACGTTTACTGTCCCAAAAAATCAAGGCATGCACCATGCTTTTTTTTTTTTTTTTTAATTACTCTTTGTCATATTATGAGGTCTAGGCCATGGCTCCATTTCTTTTTAAACTTCGGCGGTTTAAATTTGCACAAAACGGCTCATCCCAAACAGTGGTGCTGGGGTAGCAGATATTACAAAAAAAAAAAAAAAAAAAAAAAAAAAAAAAAAAAAAAAAAAAAAAAAAAATACGAGGAATTGATATTGCTGCTTTTTTTCTTGAAGATTAATTTTTATTATAAACCGGTAATATCTAACATATTAAACTTAAAGCTTTTTTGGACAAACTCCATTTAATCTATTCAAACTTTATTAAATGGTTCTAAAATTTATTTTGAAAAAAAAAAAAAAAAAAAAAAAAAAAAAAAAAAAAAAAAAAAAATTAGAGAATTGATATGTGCTTTTTTTTTTGAATAATTTATTATAAACGTTAAATAACATATAAACTTAAATTTTTTGGACAAACTCATTTAAATCTTTCAACTTTATTAAATTTCTAAAATTATTTGTCAATGACTTAATACTAGGGATTTTGAATTTTTATTTTTTTAATTTTTTTTTTATAATAATTTTTCATGTCTCACCTTATTATTGTGTCTATCTATTTTTTGCAATCAATAGCCTATATTTACCGTTTACTTGCAATCAAACTACGGGCTAACCATTATTAAGTGAAATGAAAATTTAGGAACTCAATGTCGACAAATAAAAACTCAAGAGTTTAATAGGTAAACATTTAGGAACTTAAATATGGTTTTGCCAATCCCTTGTGTTTCTTTAAAAAACAAGTAAAAATTAAATGTCATTAAAATTTCAACAATGGTAAAATGGTAATCGCAATAATACATCTTGTCCACTACAATGTTGTTTAGAATTTTCAGCTTTTAAGGAGACACATACTCTCATGGACTTGGGCTAAATTGCATAGACAATTTGGACATTTTGGTTCCAGACGCCCGCCAGAATTTTTTCTTACTTGGGTTTGCTAAAGCCCACTTGGACTACCAGCAACACCAAGGCACCAGCGCAGGCCACCCAAAGGGGTAAAAATCCGAATTACCAGTACGTTAGCCAGTCTTTTTTTTTCTTCTTTCTTTTTTAAAAAGAAATCAAAGCAGAAATTTCAGAAAAAATTGTATATAGATATAAAATACAAATCAATATATTTTATATTTTTATATAAAAAGTCTAATAATAAATCATTTATACAAAAAATCAAAAAATATAATCTTGATTTGATGCATCTGATTGAGTTGACAGAGTATAATATTTATGTCATTAATGATCGCTCGCTCCACTTGGTGACTATTCATGGCCACTGTTTGACTCCATGATTTTTCTACAAGCCCGATTTTAATTACCTTCATACTTCTTCTGGAGATTTACACTTATTTTTGCATAACTATCCAAATAACAAAAGACGCTAGGCAAAATCATCATAATTGTGACAACAATTTGAGAACAAAATCTCAATATATAGACGACAACAAATCCAATAATTGAGCGATAATAACTCAGATCTGTATACAGTATACAGATCTGAGAATTATTTACAAAAAAATATAAAAAAAAATAAAAAGGGGTGACCACTGGTAACAGCTCACCAGTGGCCCCGTGAAAGAAGAAAAGGAGTTTTTAGATTTTAAATTTGAGAGAAAGAGAGAGCGGCTAATATGTTAGTGTCACGACCCATCACCATGGACCGGACCGACCCTAAAACCTGAGTGAGCTTAAAGCCTCCAAAGCTCGTAATCAGCATCAGCAGATTGGATTCACTAATCTTAACATCCCTAACCCTTAGGCCCCTTTCATCAAATGACAACTCACAAGAGTTCTAGGCTCTATCCAATATTTGTATGAATTATTCATAAATAAACAATATATATATATATAATAATCTAGTCACTTATTAATTATAACCCACATAAATCTACAATTGCGGAACTCTAAGTAATTAGATTCATTAATTTATACATTTACAATACTTTTCCAAAGACCTTGCAGATAACCAACAGATTTCACTATTTCAATGCTTAACCAAGTTGAATTCAAAAGGATTCCTCAACTTGCTTTAACCTGAAATAAAATTTTAAGGTAGAGTTGATTGCCTAAACTCAATGAGTAAGGTTAGATAAACCTCTCAACCACAATCACACAAATGCATATATAAGTCAATCTAGTCATCCAACTAGTTATATGATCATGCACTCAATCACACAAATGACATAACAACATCAATCACAAATATAAAACTATGAAAACCTAAAAAAATACATACCCAGTTGAGTGTGATATGATTGCATCGCGGTGCCTAAGAACACAATCTAATAGATCGCTATATCAAGTAGTTGGATCATAGTCTCTTTAACACCTTCACATAATCACATCACGGGGAAATTGGTCAGTGACGTCACCAAAACTCTTGATGAGCCATCCTCACACATGGCTTGCCCTCTTGTCACGTGTGCACTAGGGAGTCGATCCCTTTTACATGGCCAACCGATCTCAACCTCACTTGATCAACCTTCTCATTTATACTCTCTTTTCTTTTCCATACCAACAGGAGGTCACCCTATAGTTTTCCATATCATCCATATCATCAAATGCACACGGGAGCGCCGATTTCCCCATACATGACCGACAGTATTATAGACTGCCCTCACAAACCCAACGGTGACCTACTTCGTTCCAATTCCACATAAACAAAGTATAGCACGCCACAACTAATCAAATAACATTTAATAGCAACAAATTGCAGCACAAATAGGAATTTATCAAGTAATGCATGAATAGCATTCAACTGTGCATGCATGAATGCAAAAGTAGGTAGATGATGTGAATTATCTAACACTACTCACCGTTTTATAGTTTAGTTAGAAGCTATGTTCTTTTCCCGATACTTCTATTTGAAATTTGGTTCCTCAGGACCCGCAAGAATATCTAAAGAAAAAATAATAAAAAAAAAATTTACTATTCATGAATTCTAACTACCCTTTCTCAATTCTAATTTTTAATAATATTATATCTCTCTTTTTCTAATCATTTAATCTGGATATTTTAGATTACCATAATTTCCTTATTTCGGTTTCCTATTCCCAAGTTATCTATTCTAGTCTATATATATGGTATATGCGCTAACTTAACTTCTACATTCCGATTCAACTATTTCAATTCTCAAAATCTTAGATTAGTTTCGATGTCTTCATTGTTCCTTCATTTATATTTTCTTCAAGTCTAGTTCTCCTATTCCATATTATCATCCAACTAACTTGCCGAAAATTCGGTAACATCTCCCCTAAAAATTGGATTATCTAATCTATTTAAAGTCACAAACCAACCATTATAATCACAGTCCATCCATCGGGCAAAATAACTCAATCTAAGCCCATCCTCCACTTCATCATCAATGATCTCACATTTTTCATTTGTTAATTTCAGTCACATCACAATTATTTATAAGTACATTTGTATATTTACATAGCATCATTAATTAATTTATTAAGTTAAATCACCATTCACATGATAACTTAACAATTTTCGACAACTACCAACCCCTAAACATTTCTATATACTTAGCACCCTATCCAAACACAATATCCGCACTTACAACAGCACATACTGCTCCGCCAAAATTTCTCCTAAAATCAACCATCGAATCATACTCCCTCCATAAAATAATTGGATTATCTTTAAATTCTATTTTAAAGTCAACAAAACCAACCATTATATAATCACAGAATCCCATCAATCATCTCGGGGCTATAAAATCAACTCACATCTAAAGTCCACTCCGCTCCACCAATCATCAATTGAATCTCACATTCATTTCAGATATGACGATCTCCTTCCAGATAAACATACCACAAACAAGTATAACGCATACATTTGATATATCTCAAACCATTACAATCAGACCAAACCAATTACACCACCAACTCCAATAATCAAATCTCCTCATAACAAGCGTTATAAATCACAAAAAATCATCACATGATAACTTTACAAACAAATTTATACCAGGTAACAACTACAACACCCACCATAAATAACAATTCTCTAACCCACAATACCCTCTATAAAAAATAGATATATATATACCTATATACAACACTACAATATACTAATATATTAATATATACACTACGTCTAATAAACCCTAACACGCATGATAGCAAGTCCCATATAATCAACTGAAGAAGAACGATAACGATCTCTCTTAACTCCAGACTCTCATTAACACCCTCAATAGATTCAATGATATCATTCACAATACTTCATGCTGTCAATATAATACAATCTTAATACAATAAGAATACACTAACATAACCTCTAAATAACATGCCACCCTCGTAGATACGGCTTACCTCGACTTGCTAATCATTACCTATATATAACTACGTCATAGCTAAACGCAGATGTCAAGCATAATTATGAAACGATTCTCTTAAATCAGAACATCATTATATGTTATGTACTTAACATTCATGGCTAATTATAACATTGATAATAAGATACATAAATAACTTAACTGTGTACTTGCTTCTTGACTTGCTAATTATATATCCATATTTCAGCCTTAAAGAGTAACCAGCATATTCTTTCTAGCTCCTAATCATTACCTATCTTGTAACTGATTGGCCATGTATGACAAACATCAAAATAACTGAGTTTCTGAAAGCTTTTAGGCTTAAACATTTATTTATCAAATTTGCGTTTTTGAGTAATCTGATTATTAAACACAGTCTAACTAATATTCTAATTGCATATTTGACATCTACAGGCTAAAATAAGCTTCCTGAGTTTCTGGCGTTTCCGGTCACCGGAAACCCGCCGTCGCCGCCGGCCACGGCGGCCGGACGGTGATAGGCCTGAGATCAAACAACAATATACCGAAAATGAAGAAATCTTCGTGTAAAGTTCAATTCTGAGATCAATTTCTACAAAATATGGCAATTAATTACTAAAACCCCAAATTTTATCAATTGTCAAAACCTAAACTTCAATCATCTCAAATGGCTCATTCAAATTCAGTTTGTCCATTAATCATTTATCTAAAGATAACAAGAAGGTATTTTCGACTCACCTTCCTAATAGGGATCGCCGGAAAGCACTGAGGTCGCCGGAAGTTAAAGAAGAAGAAGCTGTCGAAGGAGACAGCTTGATTCGAGCCACTGCAGTCTGCAGGTCCGTTCGGCGTGGAGGAAGGCCGTAAATGTGACCGAAGGCACGAAGGGACCTAACCGCCACTTGCTCTCATCGAGCGGTGGCCGGAAAGTTGATCCGGGAAGTGGAAGAGGCGTCGCGCGATGGGGGATCGGGGAGAAGATTTGCTAAAGGTTTTTGGCACTTTCTCTCTCCTCTATTGTTGATTAGAAGCTTCTAGGTCTGGTTTGATACACTGGTTCGATTCGTAGAAGCTTCTGGGCGTACTTGGTTTATTCCGGTTTGTCCTGATTTTCTTTTGGTTCTTTTTCTTTTGTTGATTGGATTTGTTTTTAGGGCCTTCCATCAATTAGCTTAGAGCATGACTAGTAAATTTTTGTTACTCTATTAATAATATTAATAACAATAATAGTATTAATAAATGATAATAATATTTATGACTTAGAGTAATTAAATTAACTTTTCAGTTTTAATAATATTAATTAACAATAATAGTATTAAATAAATGATAATAAATAATTTATGACTTAGAGTAATTAAATTAAACTCTTTTCAAGTAAGGTTATAATAATATATATAATATATTATATAGTATATATATATTATATATATACTATATTATATATTTTACTCTTGCATCAATGATTTAGAAAGTTCTCGACGACTAGAGGTATATTTTACTCTTGATCAATGATTTAGAAGGTTCTCGACTAGAGGTTCCAATGATATATTTTTAGGCTTGAGTCCAATTTTGCAAATTTGGACTTGAAATATAATTACCGACATTTATACCCCATAAGATCAAAAATTCAAATTTTAATTTAATAAAGTTCACAAATTTTGAAAATAAAAATATGGGAAGTTTTTAACCGGGTCTTTAATAATAATAAATGAAAAAAAAAAAGAATAAGTTTATGATTTCTCATCTTGGGACAGCGTAAAACTTATATAGAAGTTTAGAATATCATTTTAGTATAAACTTGATCATTTAAATAAAAATAGTAAAAAATAATGTTAATTAAAAAAATTGTATTTTTAACTTTTTAAGTGTAAGTTTTCACTCTCTGTCTCAAGAGTCGAGGTGTGATATAAACAAGGAATTCATTGTCTATTATCTTTTTTTTTTCTAAAAAATAATTTACATGTAAAATACTTTTTGCATGCTTATGATATTTAGAATATTTAGAAAAATCAATTAATGAAAAATATTTTTCTGATTAATATGAAAAGTTAAATATATCATTTTAACGGAAAATAATTTCTCCTTTTTAAAGAAAATAACTTCTCCTTAAATATTTTTCTGATACGTAGAGATTCATTATAATTTTATAAGTACACATTTATTAATTCTTAATCACTAAATAGTTATATTATCTTTCACTAATAATCAACACCAATACTAAAATCATAGCTGATCAAGGACGGAGACAAGAGTGCTAGGAGTGATAACCGCCCCTAACACAATCTGTTTTTTTTTTTTTTTTTAATTTTTTTTAGGACGGGAGGCACAACCGACAAGTGCTAGAGTGATAACGCCCCTAACACAATCTGTTTTTTTTTTTTTTTTAATTTTTTTTTTTACTCTTCTTCTCTTAAGTTTGAAGGGAAGAAAATATATTAAAAACAATTACCTCTCTCTGCCACAATCCTACTATATAACACTCCCTTTATCACCCTGGGTTAACACCAACTCATGTGCGATTATCATCGAACATCCACCAACTTAGTTAATTCCAAGAAATTTAGACATTTTTATATTTATTATTTTTTTTATTAAAATAAAATATCAAAATTTCTTTTATGGATTATGATATAACATATAATTATAAAAATGTTTATTAACAAAATTAAATAATGTTTTTAAAAACTAAATGGTCTCAGTACACCTTTCAGTTTTATCAGTCAAAAAAAAAAAAAATAACACAACACTCTCCACTTATTACAACGAAACCGCTTTAAACAGACGCGAACACCTCACATGGCATAAGCTAACAGTTGTACCTAGGTTGTTCCATGCCCAACCGCGCAACAAGAGCATCGCAGAGCGTGTAAAATTGCGGACCAACGTTATCACGACCCTCCAGTCTGTTCAATCACCCGCTCTTTATAATTATTCCTAAACTTAAAACCGTTTTTACTGCATCAACAAATGTAACCAATAACCAGCCAATTTACACCCGTATTCCAGAATCTTTCTGACTAATCAGCGCGCACCGTTTTGGCCACACCCAATGAAAAAAAAAAAAAAAAAAAAAATCTCACTATTACAACGAAACCGCTTAAACAGAGCATAAGTTTAACAAGTTGTCCTAGGTGTCCAGCGCGCAACAGAGCATGCGAGCACGTAAAATTGCGGACAACGTTATCACGACCCATCCAGTGTCAATCATTCGTCTTTTAATTTTAACTTAAAACCGTTGTAATAACAGCAATTTCCGTACTTCCAAATCTTTCTGGCGCGCAACAGTTTGGCCCAATGATAAACATCCACGTAACCCCAAGCAGTACTGTAAGAACAGGAGGCGTAATCCTAGTGGGCAGTGAGGGAGCAAAGAAAGGAAAGTAACCGTAGGAATACAGAAAGCGCATAATAATCACACGTTTAGACCGGGGCTACAGGGGACCCACAACAGTCCCAGGTCATTCGCAGGAAAATCGAAGTTGGCCATAAACAGAAAAGAAACAAAAAAAAAATTAAAAATAGACCACACAGACTCCTAAAAGGAGTGTGAGAGTAAGAATAGGGTCAAATAAGCAAGCAAAAACCACGCAAGTGCAATATAAATAGAGACTGTATTTTCAGTTCTACTCATTCCATTCCATTCTAAAATCAATACATCAAGCTAACTCGTCTAATTGATCATGGCTACCAAAAACATTAGCTTGGAAGAGATCAAGAACGAGAACGTCGACCTTGTTAGTGTTTTCCTTTTCTTTCTTGCTGTTTTTCTATTTCAGACGAATGAGTGCAATTACTTATTTTGGTTCATTGTTTATATTGGGATTTGGGATTTTAATAGGAACGGATTCCAGTTGAAGAAGTGTTTCAGCAGCTCCAATGCACAAGAGAAGGTTTGTCATCGGAGGAAGGCCAGAAAAGGTTGCAGATTTTTGGCCCTAATAAGCTTGAAGAGAAAAAGGTCTTTTCCTTTTTTATTATTGTTAAATGTGAATAAAATTTATTTGTTAGAAACCAATAATGAATTCTAAATTTGTTTCAAAATACAGGAAAACAAGTTATTGAAATTTCTGGGTTTTATGTGGAATCCACTTTCTTGGGTTATGGAAGCAGCTGCTATCATGGCTATTGCTTTGGCCAATGGAGGAGTAGGTGCTTTTCTCTAAACTTCCGGTTATTAATTTGTCTAACACCCTGATAATAACAAAAAGTTCAAAATTAAATTGCAGGGTAAACCACCAGATTGGCAAGATTTTACGGGTATTGTAGTTTTGCTTATCATCAACTCCACCATTAGTTTCATTGAAGAGAACAATGCAGGCAATGCTGCAGCTGCTCTTATGGCTGGTCTTGCTCCTAAAACAAAGGTATATTTATTTGAATCGACTTAATTAATTAATTAGCTAATCACTAACAAATTAGTTTAATTTTTAATTGATTTAAGGTGCTAAGAGATGGAAGGTGGTCTGAACAAGAGGCAGAAATTTTGGTGCCTGGGGATATTGTTAGTATCAAATTAGGAGATATTGTTCCAGCAGATGCTCGTCTTCTAGAAGGAGATCCTTTAAAGATCGATCAAGCTGCACTTACTGGTGAATCCTTGCCTGTAACCAAAAACCCAGGCGATGAAGTATTTTCTGGTTCTACTTGCAAGCAAGGAGAGATTGAGGCTGTTGTAATTGCTACGGGAGTTCATACCTTTTTCGGTAAAGCTGCTCATCTTGTTGACAGTACTAACAATGAAGGGCATTTCCAAAAAGTTCTGACAGCAATTGGGAATTTCTGCATTTGCTCTATTTTTGTGGGAATGGTTGTAGAGATTATAGTAATGTACCCAATTCAAAAACGTAAATATCGCGATGGAATTGACAATCTTTTAGTCCTTCTCATTGGTGGTATTCCAATTGCTATGCCTACTGTGTTGTCTGTTACAATGGCTATTGGGTCCCACCGCCTCTCGGAACAAGGTGCTATTACTAAGAGAATGACTGCCATTGAAGAAATGGCCGGAATGGATGTGTTGTGTAGTGATAAGACTGGAACTCTCACTCTCAACAAGCTTACAGTTGATAAAAGCTTGATTGAGGTCGGTACTTGTTATTAATAAATGCAACTTTTTTCTTTTCAAAAAAAAAAAAAATAAATGCAACTTTTTTAATTTTGGGGTATTCGTTGATTTGTTGATTATTGATGTTTGTTTCATTTAATTTCAGGTATTTGTAAAGGATGTGGACAAAGACACAGTGATTTTGCTTGGTGCTAGGGCTTCTAGAGTTGAGAATCAAGATGCTATTGATGCTTGTATTGTTGGAATGTTGGGTGATCCAAAAGAGGTATGTTAATTAGTACAATTATTTAACAAATCATAGTATGTAAGTGTCTAGTTAAAATCCTGTCTAAATTGGTAGTAATTTGACTTCAAAACCTTCGTTCTCTATTCAGGCGAGAGCAGGCATCACCGAGGTGCATTTCTTGCCATTTAACCCAGTAGAAAAGCGCACAGCTATTACATACATTGATTCAGATGGCAACTGGCATAGGATTAGCAAAGGCGCACCAGAGCAGGTTATAGATCATCTAGTGCATTATGTTTACTAATTTTCTTTTGTGAATTATAAGTTCTTAATTAAACATATTCAACATATTGCTTCTAGATCATTGAACTTTGCAATCTCAAGGATGACGCAAAGAAGAAAGCTCTTGCTATCATTGATAAATTTGCTGATCGTGGTCTTCGCTCTCTTGCTGTTGGCAGACAGGTGATTTAATTCTATTACCTGTGTTCAAATGAAGAACATTGCAATTGTAACCATAAATAATCGTTTTGGTTTTTAACAGACTGTACCAGAGAAAAACAAAGAGAGCCCTGGATCCCCATGGCAATTTGTTGGTCTCTTGCCTCTTTTTGATCCTCCAAGGCATGATAGTGCAGAGACAATTGCTCGTGCTCTTAATCTAGGTGTCAATGTGAAGATGATCACTGGTGACCAGCTTGCAATTGGTAAGGAGACTGGTCGAAGGCTCGGAATGGGAACCAATATGTATCCTTCTTCTGCTCTTCTAGGACAAACAAAAGATGAGTCTATTGCAGGACTTCCTGTCGATGAACTTATCGAAAAGGCTGATGGCTTTGCTGGAGTCTTCCCTGGTAATTGAACTCAATCCTCTTATTTATATTATTAGGTAAACATAGTATTAGCTGTGGATCTTTAACTTATATGGTTAATTACTCGTGCAGAGCATAAATATGAAATTGTGAAGAGGTTGCAAGATAGGAAACACATTTGTGGAATGACTGGAGATGGTGTGAATGATGCTCCAGCATTGAAAAAGGCTGATATTGGAATTGCAGTGGCTGACGCTACTGACGCAGCACGGGGTGCATCTGATATAGTACTTACAGAGCCAGGTTTGAGTGTGATAGTGAGTGCGGTGTTAACAAGCAGAGCAATTTTCCAGAGAATGAAGAACTACACAATTTATGCAGTTTCGATAACAATTCGTATTGTTCTTGGGTTCATGCTTCTTGCTCTTATCTGGAAATTCGATTTCTCACCTTTCATGGTTCTGATCATTGCCATACTTAATGATGGAACTATCATGACTATTTCTAAAGATAGAGTGAAGCCATCTCCTATTCCTGATTCATGGAAGCTTAAGGAGATTTTCGCTACTGGTGTTGTGCTTGGTGCCTATTTAGCTATCATGACTGTTGTGTTCTTCTGGGTTGCTCACAGTTCTGATTTCTTCACAGTAAGAAAATATAAAAAATCTTCATACTAACTTGCATACAGTCAAAGAAAATTTATTCTATAAACTAATTTTAACATCAAAATTTACAGGAGAAGTTTGGTGTTAGATCTATCAGAGAAAACCATGATGAGCTTACAGCTGCAGTGTATCTCCAAGTGAGCATAGTAAGTCAGGCACTAATTTTCGTTACAAGGTCTCGCAGCTGGTCTTTTGTCGAACGCCCTGGTCTTCTGCTAGTGACTGCCTTTCTCATTGCCCAACTGGTGCGTCATATTGACTATTATTTGAAGTTCTTAAAATTGTTCTGCAAGAAGCTAATTAAGTTACTGTGTTTGATTTATAATTCAGATTGCTACAATCATTGCTGTGTATGGCGATTGGAAATTTGCTAGGATCCAGGGTATTGGATGGGGATGGGCTGGTGTTATTTGGCTCTACAGCATTGTTTTTTATGTTCCTCTTGATGTTCTCAAGTTTATTATCCGATACGCTTTGAGCGGAAAAGCCTGGGACAACCTAGTACAAAACAGGGTAATAAAATAACCTTTGCCAAGAAAAAGAATGTTATATATATGCATGTCTTTACTAGGAACATGTTTAACAATTTGTTTGTCAATTTCGCACTTGATGCTTCAGACTGCTTTCACAACAAAGAAGGATTACGGAAGAGGAGAAAGGGAAGCACAATGGGCTGCTGCACAAAGGACTCTGCATGGACTTCAGCCACCTGAAACTGCAGAACTTTTCCAAGACAAAAACTACAGGGAATTGTCCGAAATTGCCGAGCAGGCCAAGAGGCGTGCAGAAGTTGCCAGGTAATGAAATGAACAATCGAACTTGTGTTCTCACGTTTATAAGTATTGAGGTCGCTAAGGTTAAATTAACAAAAAAAATTCTAAAGAAGCTTATAACTGTGTTTAACCAGGTTAAGGGAGCTGCATACACTGAAGGGACATGTTGAATCAGTGGTGAAGCTGAAAGGACTCGACATTGAGACCATTCAACAGCACTACACTGTTTGAATGCTGCAAGTGAAGTGGTGTCTGACGGCGAAAGAACTTTGGACGAGGAGAGTGAAACCTATATATTTATCAAATATTAGGATTGCAAATTCTTTTCGTTTCCAAAAGAATCCTCGTTTTTTGATGAGGATTTTGTAGAATGCAAGGGTTGGGAATAAAACATGTAAAGATTGTCTATTGAGACTGATCTTCGGGGTTGGAAAGTGAATAAGCTGATCAAGATAGCATGTGTTTCGCTATATTTGTACTCTTGTTACTATGCATTTTCAATGTGATTCCCTCTTTTTGCTTCTGGCATTTCCATTTCTCTTCTTAATTAGCAAGATTTCTTTTCTTTTCTTTTCTTTTCTTTTCTGCTATTTTTTACTTTCAGTTTTTATTTCCAATTAACAGAAGTATCTCATGAAGCTAATTATGAAACAATAGTCGTTTGGCCTTTATTTCAACTCAGCCAAACCTAATAATTAACTTAGTCTTCGACGTGCCGTTGCTACAAATACATAGATAGTTTTCCAATCGACAGAGAGTTTTCAATGGGCTTTTGATTTTCTTTCAAATCCATGGTAATTGAGATCTCATAATATTCACAATACAAGTAAGAGATCCTCACAAATATCTAACAGCCTGATAATATTATTAATATTAAAATTTTCTTTATATTGAAGATAATAAGTTTTTACATTTAAATTTGTAGTATATTATTAAATATTTAATATTCAATTCTAAAATTTTTCTCCCATATCATCAAGTATTTGACAATTTTTTTTAATTATCAATAATCAATTCTGTTTCCAATATCTATGTTCTCTATTCATGTGTAATTTTATGAGTTGAAATGTTTTGTGAATTAAAATAAAATAAAAATTGAGAGTGTTGTAAGATTAAAGTAATAAAGTTGAGAGATGAATTTATATATTCATTTATAATTTATATATTCATTTATAATTTATATCTAACTTATCTGAAATTAATATTTCTTTTAATTAACTTATGTGTAATAATGATTTTAATTATAACAATACAATATATTTTTTACAATATTTAACTTCACTGGACTAGAGGTGTAATTATGTCGATGTGGAATGAAACGACTCTTATTCTGGAATATTTTAAAACTTAAAATTTTATTCTATTATGTTCCAAATATTTTTAAAATTTAAAATTTCATTCTATACCATTTGGATTTCGGTAATTTTAAATTTATCAACTGTAAACATAAATTTGGTATATCATGATGTATTTTAAAATGTAAATTTTTAAATTTAACAAAAATAATCAATATTTTATTTAAAATTAAATATAAATACTAAAAATATAATTAAATTGCAATAAAACAACAAATTAGTATTTCATATAATTAAAAAATCAGGCTCTTTGATAAAAAATTAGAATATACAAGGACAACATGTGAGCTACACAATAAATGTAGTCCTCCCTTTTAATAATATAAACTCAGAGGGAAAAAAAAATTCCATATTATAATAATATATTCATTTCCTTTTTTTCATTTATCTAAAACTCTATATTAAAACGAAAGACAAATTTTATAATTTTTTATTTTATCTCCATTTAATATGTCTTTGTCAAGCATATTACCATGAATCAAATTTGAAAATAAATAAACTTATTATTATTGCATGTATAACAGTTAATTCCATAACTTCAAATATAAACTATTAATATTTAGTATAAAGATATATTAAGAAAACATAAAATAATTTAACTATTTTAATTATATTTTCTTAATTTGTGTGGAAATCAAACTAAGCAAGTATGTAATTATAACACCATGCAATTCCTCTCTTAATAACAATATTATTATCTAAGAAATGTTCTGTACAAATTGATGGGATGGACTAAAATGTAATTAAGAAGTATCCTAATTTCTTTTCTGCCACTTCTTTATTGGAAAATAACCAAGATGCTTCAAGTACCATAATGCTCCTTCAGCTGCATGATCTGCTGCTGCCTTCTTTTTGGGCCTTGGCCCACCAAAACATTCCAATATCACCTCCGTTGTTGCCCCTTTAATCTCCACTAATACCTTGAACGTGAACCTGTGCAAATCTTCAATTTGTCAAACAAAACAAAGTATACAAATAAAAACATTTTCTTTGGTAATTATAAGCTTTTATTTTTTTTCTTTTTAGAGGGAAAATTAATAGAAAATAAAAAATGATATTACAATCTGAGGTGGCAAGGGCCTTCATCTTTGCAGCATTCGAACAAAGGCGGTTTCCAATTGTTGGCCGCACAAATCTCATGCAGTTGTGATTTAGGTGATACCTTACTTGCTTCCCCTAAACAAAATACAAAACGAATGTCAAATGAGAAGTTTTAAATGGTATGCTTTTTGAAGAAGATTTGCTTTTTCTGTGAAAGAAAATAAAATGTACCAATTTATTAAATTAAAAAATGGTCAAATTTCTAACAAAATGTCAAAATTAAATATTTAATTTTCATTTGGCTTATATAGAGTGAGGCATACCGCATACTAACCATCTGATCCTAGCCACCCAAAAAAAAAAAAAAAAAAAAAAAAAAAAAAGGTGAGGCTATAGCCGCATTACTGGACCATCTGATCCTAGCCCCCAAAAAACAAAAAAAAACAAAAAAAAAAGAAAATTATATGAAGAACTTTCCTAGTTCTCCTTTGTAATTTACATTACTAGATATTCTAAGCAAAATTTTTTTTTTTAATTTTTTGAAAACAAAAAACACGGTAATGATCCTTATGTCTAATTAGCCTTTCTTTAAATCAGAAAATTAACAAAAAAGAAAAGGATTACTCTCTTTCAATTTTTCACTTTTCAAGAAGATCCGTGATCAGCTTTATATAAGTATTATAGTATAAGTTTCTCGTTGGTTTGGTTACACATTTGCATAAAAAAACTACAAAACAATAAATTTATGAATATATAAGAAGCAAACCCAAAAAAAAACAGCGACTGATTACAACAACCGCAAGAGGATGGAGCACCAGGGATTTGCTTTGAAATAAAAAAGAAGAAAAAAGGAAAAAGTAGGGATAACCTGATTGGATCAAATTGGAAAATCAATAAGAAGGGAAAAGAGTAAGGTGCAGAAGCTTTAAAAGGTCAAAGAATTTAAAAAAAAAAAAAAAAAAAAAAAAAAAAATTATAATGAGAACTTTCTAGTTCTCCTTTGTATATTACTTACTAGATATTCTAAGCAAATTTTTTTTTTAATTTTTTGAAAAAAAAAACACTAATGATCCTAATTCTAATTAGCCTTTTTTAAAAAGAAAAATTAACAAAAAAAGAAAAGGATTACTCTTTAATTTTCACTTTTCAAGAAGATGTGATCAGTTATATATATATATATATAAGTTTTTCTTTGTCTTGGTTACACATTTGATAAAAAAAACAAAACAAAAATTTATGAAATATAAACAAATACCAAAAAAAACAGCAGCTGATACAAACAGCAAGAGGATGAGCACCAGGGATTTATTTAAATAAAAAAAAGAAAAAGAAAAAGGGATAACTCTATGGATAAATTGAGAAATCAAAAGAGGGAAAAATAAGTGCAGAATTAAAATGTCAAAGAATTACCTAATTGATAATCAAAGCTGGTCTCCCTCCCAAAATTCAGCTTGTTTTGAACTTGGGTCTTGCTTGTGTTGGTATTATTGGATTCTATTATGTGCTTTATAGAAGCATCATCTTCTTCTTCTTCTTCTTCATTCGTGCTCTGTTTTTGCACTATATTTATGTCTGCAAATAAATCTGCTTCAGTGTTTGCCTCGTGATCAAATTTTACTTCTTTTCTTCCCTCTTCTTGCCCTGGCTTTGCAGCTTTGGGCACATACCTAAAATTTGTTTTGATTTTCTTGACCTGCAAAAAGGGAAAAAATTAATTAGCTCAAGATACAGAAAGAAAGACAACTTGGATTCTTGATTTTCTTGTTTGTTCATCATTACCTGGGACTCGGAGTAGGCGGGATCTGGAGGAAGAGGGAGATTCTTGAGATTGATATGGCATTTCTTCTCCATGAGTTTTCCTTGCTACTCATATGACAAATTTTGATGCTAAGATAACAGATGGGTGCATAATTAACTGGTGGAGAAAGGGAAGCCCAACCCCAACTACGCCTTTCTGTTTCTGCAGGAAATGGTTCCCAAAATGTTAAACCAAAAGTTTGGACCGCTGCTGTTTACCGAATAAAATAACTTTGAACCATCTAGCGCTCTTTAATTGTCTAACTCTAATTTTAATTTTGGACTGTCACTATTTATAAGGAGTAGTCTACGCCTCTTATTTTTTATTATCTCTTTGGCTTCATTTTTTTATTTTTAATCTTCTTTTGTTTTAATAAATTTAGATATATGTTTCCTATAATAGATTTATCTTTTTTATTTTGTTATTGTTGGTTATCTCCGTATTAGATTTTTTTTTTTTTTATCTCTTCTTTATAAGGTAGTCACTTCTTTGGAAGGGTTTATTACAAAATAAAATTATGATATTTAATTTTATTTGGTTGGAGACTTTAGATCTTAATTTGTAGGTGTGGATCTTCGATAGATGGAGTCTGATAGTACGACTTGTTCATCCATTAATGCTATTGACGCATAGCTGTAGGAACTCATCTGTATTTATCATATATTGTAAATTATTAGAAAAGCAATCTAGTTGCTACTATGAAAATTTATATATATATATTTTAAATTAACTCCAAGCGGAAAGATTTAATATTATATATTTTTTTTTATTTTAGTTATATTATTAAAAAAACAACGAATCCTATTAGTTACCAATAATAAAATTGCATGTATGTAATTGATGATATTACTATTAATGAATTACATTTTCAAAAAATAAAATAACTTTTATTATTTTTATTATATAAGCACGAATATGGAATATGATTTATGATATACAAATATTTATTTAAAATTGAAGTATTGAGTTTTAATAATATATATATAAAGTTTTTTCCCAAAGGTTTTTTTTATTCACTTTATATGTAATTTTAAAAAGTTACGGAAATATTGCTCCTCCTCTTAGAATGTTTTTGGAAAAAATTTGTCTAGATCTGGTTCATGGTGTCCATCGCTCTACCTATAGACCAAACTTATGAAATTCAGAATTCTCTAAGAAGTGTTCTGATATTTTTTTTCCTCAAATGTATGGTAAAAAATACCGGTGTTTCAATAATAATACTAAATTCTATTGGTTTGGTCACTAGGTAGGGACATGAATTGGATCTAGACAAGTTTTTTCCCATATTTTTATAGTAATTTTTTTGTTTCACTTCATTTGTCATTTTAAAAAATAAAAGAAATATTTTTTTTTTCAATTTTGCCCTTATCTTTTGGTATTTTCACTAAACAAGCATTAATTAGTTGAACAAATAAGCAACACATACTATATATAAAAAGAAAGTTACAGCTACTGTTGATTATAGTTTTATTTTCTTGAGCTTTTACACATTAATCTGCAAGCAAGAATATAACAAGTTCATATATATATAGACACACACACGTATGAACATTAATATACGTAATGTAATATATTTATATGTATAAATAATGCTCTGTTAATTTATGTATGTAATAACATTTTGATACTGAAAAGAAATATTGATAGTTGCTTCATAATTTTCACTAATGCTCTGTAAAGCAGGTTGCTAATGATCATAATTGTAAGTGATCTAATTGGCGTTGATCCTTTATTATTCTTATTAGCAAGTCCTTTGGATGACTTATCCTTTATTATATACAATAACCCTTATTAGCTTTATCAATCTTGATGTACTTATCTTCTTTAAGCGCCTTCATGTTCTTGTTCTTGCCATTAATATCTTCCTCCTTGCCTTTGTTAATATCACGTAAAGGAGAAGACGAGTGCTTAAGATACTGTGTTTGGAGCTTCTTGATGGTGCTGATGGGCACAACATAGAATTTGTGGCCTTGCAGGAGGAGGGTTTCTGGTGGAACAATAGCCCATGGTTGTTCAAACACATGTGGGTAAGCAACTATGCATTTCGGATTCCTGAGCATTATTTGTGATGCAAGAATAGGCCTATCATGGAGTTCTTTGTGGCCTCCTGGATGAACAATTTTAACGAACAGGCTCTTGGTGCTTTTATTGCATAAGCATTTTGATATGGCCTTAGCCATTCTTTTTTCTGTTCATGAAAGAGAGAGGGAGTGAGAATTTTCTTGCAAGAAATGTTGAGAAATGAAACAAGCAGCTTGTAATCTGTCTTCTATGCATTAGCTTGTTTTGTTTTATTTAATTGTTTAGTTGATAATATCATGGCTAGCTAGTGATTTTGCACTGTTGCTGTTGACGTTAACGAAGAAGACTAGATTCTATGAAGGATCTATACGAGGATTCTCCTATCTTCTTGGTTGTTATGTCAAAATGGGTTCCTCTTAAGACAACCTCCGATAACTTCAAGAAAACTAGGTCTGAAGCAATACTTAAGCATTGGAGTAGTTGCAAGCCTGAAGGCTCCTTTTCACTCTTCCTTCTGTGCCCATGTTTTTTCTGAATCTATCAATGAATTAAATTAAAAACCCTAATTTCTTTAAGTGAAAGGACAGTGGTGACCACATGATTTATCCCCATCATGGAAAGGGCCACAATTTATTGCTGTGTCATTAAACCTGTGACCTACCTAATTTGAAAATAAAGTGATAAGAATCAAGTTTCTTGTTGACATAGAAAATGCTTGATGAAAATCATTACCCTACCTTTTTTCTTTTTTTTCCCTCCTAATTTTATAACAAGAAAGACTTAATTTGACTTAGCAATATATGGATAAATCATATTAATATCAATTTACAACTGTATGACAAAAAAACAAAAAGACAAAAAATTCCTGTAAATTCTACTAAGGAAACAGTCATCAGAAAGAATGATCTTAAAAGAACAGAAACATATCTGCATATTCCATCATCATTGGTCAGAATGCAGGGCAGGAGGCAGAGGCTCTGTAATCCTTAGCGAACCTCCAAGCTCGAGAGGTACGAGAGGGATGAGTGAATGCAAGACATCCGTTATCAATGGCCTATAGCTTGGTTCTTGTTGTATGCATAGTACTGCAACCGCAGCTACCTGATCGGTGATAATATGAACAAAAATGATTGAATATAAGCCCTAAAGCAGACTAATAAATGTGTTTCCATACAATGTATGTACCTGATACAAGTGTTTCAAATCCATAGTGTCCTTGACTACAGGGTCCACGATATTCGGAAGCTTTGATCTGTCAGTAAGCTGAGGCATGGCCTACATGTCAAAAAAAAAGAAAAACAGAGTATATAACTAGGTTTCAGTAGCTTGAAACCTTAATTGGAATTATATTAGAAAAGGAAGCTACACATGTTGCACAAGAAAAATTACCCATGATACTATAGACTGATGTTGATCCTCTGATAACTTTTCCACTGGTCTTCTTCCCATGAGGAGCTCTAGAAGGACAATTCCAAAGGCATAGACATCACTTTTATCGGTTAATTTACCTGGCCAAGTTCAATAGCATATTAGGTCTAACCTATCATCTAAGAAAAACTAAATATAGGAGATATAAAAATGTAATTTTCGGTCTTGCATAATCAAATAGTACAAAAAGATACTTCGTGATCACATTTATCTTCCTATTATAGAGGAAATAAGCGGGTCAACGTAAAATTCTCTTTCAACTCAAGTTCATCATCAGCATGTATAGGAACAGCAGAATTACAGACTACATGCCTCATTCAACAGCCCTGACTCTATTTTTTTACTTATATTTTCTTGGTTTATAGTCAAATAAAGCAGAAGGATACTTTCTACTTAATTTCTTGCAGCAAAATGGTTAGATACTCTAGCATAATTTTCAAATACCACTCTGAGCAGCAGAAAGACATATTAGCTCCATTATAACAACAGTGAAGATAACATCTTAAAACATTTTAGATCAAATCACAACGACATGAATAATAGATATGGTTATAAATTATGAACGTCAGGAAAAAAGAGATTTGTAAAGAAAATCTCATGCAAAAAAAAAAAAAAAGAAGAAGAAGAAATAAATGCATTTCCCATAAACCTAAGGCTTCTATGTTAAAAAATCTCAACAACATACAGTCATTTCAATTTCTATTCTCATGGCATAGCCAAAAACAAAGATCTAAAATGTAAAAGATTAAAAGGTGATTATTTCCAAAATACAGCTCCTACCACAAGAGTTATATTAGTATACCTTCCAAAAGGTACTCTGGGGCAACATAGCCTAAAGTCCCAGAAAGCTTTATGTTTTTGTTTTCAACCCCAGAAGTTACAGCAAGGCCAAAATCTGAAAGCTGAAAAAGAAAGAACTCAAGGAATCATTTTTAGTTGGCATCATAAAGAGTAATAAACATCCACATGCGAGGATTGTGGTGCTTGTGAAGCTGTTATGTTTTTACCTTGGCATTGAAGTTGGAATCTAGAAGAATGTTTGATGACTTTATATCTCTATGGACGACAGGAGGATTACAATGCTCGTGAAGATATTCTAGTCCTCTAGTCAACATCAATTACATCGACAACTAGTTAGCAATCAAAAGGAATTTTCTTTGGAAAAGAAAATGAGAAACAAAGAGAATAAAGCATAAACAAAGAAGATTTGAACAATTGGACGTACCTTGCAATGTCAACAGCAATTTTCAACCGCAGCTGCCATGTTAAAGCTGATCCATGAGTTGGTCCTACATCAATAACATAGATAATGTATTAGAGAAAAGGATCTGCAAATTTGCATTTTTCATTGTTATTTCTTCTTCTAAAGAATTTTACCATGCAATTGACTTTCCAGAGACCCATTTTGCATCATTTCATACACAAGAAACTTTGTGTCGCCGTGAATGCAGTAACCCAAAAGAGAAATTATGTTCTGGTGCTGAATCTTTGTCAACCACTTCATCTCATTCTGCAATTACAATTGAAATTAGAAGAAAGAAAGAAGCTAATGAGAACATACACAAAGAAATATATACTGAAACTAATTTCAACCATCACATTACCTGAAATTCTCTTTGAATGTCCTGTCCTCCACCCTCCAATTTTTTAACAGCTGCTAGTACCTTGTCATCAAAATGAGCTTTATATACACGTCCATGACCACCTTCACCCAATAGACTATTTTCCCGGAAATTGTTCGTTGCAGCTTCTAACAACTTATATTCCACCCAAGTAATTGAACCTTTCTTACCAACCATCCTTGAGGAATTAAATTTATCCAGAATTGGACTCAGTGAATGCCCATTTGCAGAATCTTAATATTTGACAAAGAAACAGAAAATTTGGAAATGTAAGCGTAACTGTGAGTAAATTATCTCTAAAGAAAAACTGTAAGAATGTGAAAGTGACTTCTAGGAAAAGAAGGTACCAAAATTTTGTTTGCTTTTGCCACTACAGTTTTTAGAGTTTTTCATTTTGTAGATCCAAAAACATGACAGAAACAGCAAGATTCCCCCAAGAAGAGAGGAGGCAACAATTAGTGCTATGAGGATTCTCTTGTTCAAATCTTGATGGTGTACTACTTTAACCACAGCAGTCAGAGGCACCCCTGGATAAGCAGAAAAGGAGCATTATTATGCTATTTTAGTACACATATGATAGAGCTGAACATATCAACAGAGAGTGTGAAAATAAAGTAATAAAACAAAGACTAAAAGAGAAAGGTAAGAAGAAGAAAATATAACCTTTTTTGCATCAAAATATGAAAACCTAATGAAAATTTTTATCTGAAATATTTCTGGGAAAGATTATTAAAATGTATCTGGCAAACCAATAAGTGATATTTAACAAACTTAAATTGAATTTTCCTCGTGGTGCTCTTCGTTTTTTTTCTTTCCCCCAAAAATCAAACTATTGTGCATTTTGAATTCTAATGGCTCCAAATTCTAGGATCTTGTTATTTCCTAAATTTTACCAACCAAAATATTCAGACAGCGTTTTACATCCCTACTAAAAATGTACAAATTCTACACTAAACAAATTATTGGACATGGGGTTTTTTCAAATTCTAGGATCTTGTTCTTTCCTAAATTTGACCAACCAAAAACTGCAAATATTCAGACCACAATTTTATATCCGTACCAAAAAAGTAAAAAAATCTACAAAAACAACTTATTGGACACGAGGATTTCAAAATTTCAGAAATTTGAATAGCACAACAAAGAAAAAGCATTTAGCCAAGAAATCAAAAGAAGCATCAAGCATATGTATTACAGAAGTACAGAATTTAAAGTTTAAGAATCAAAACCCATCATATGAAATTCCAAAGAACTCGATAATACCTGGAGATTGAGCTTCCATTTCTGAAGAAAACGAAGAAATGGGTTCCTTGTTAACAAGAAAGGCAGCCCCAGAACTGGTGGAGAGTGTTGTTGACTCTGGTCTGGTATCAACCAAGAAAAACAAAGATGTGCTAAACAATGCCCACATGGGCAGGAGTAACAGACTAGAAAAATTCATGTCCTGTTTCTCAAGAAGGAGAAAGAGAGAGATTTTGAATAGAGAAGGTTAAAAAGAAAAAAGTTCGAGTCAAAATCAAAGTTTGATTTTTTACTTGCTATATTTGCCTGCAAGAAAGAGACGAAACACTGTTGCAGCTTTGCAGGGAAACCGAGCACTTTAAAAAACAAAAAAGAAAAAAAAAAAAATCCTTTGGAACACTTCTTTAACTGTGTTTATCCAATATCCAGTACTGAATTTATGAGCTTTTATTGAAGAGGGACCAAGTGGACATGAAATCATGTGGCAGTTATTGAATTTGAAGGCTAAGGAATGGGTGCGGAAGTTCAAAAAGCCATTAGAGGGTACGCATGTGTACAGGTATTCGAGAGTGTCTATTGAGCTCCTCATACTTGGCTCCTAAATTTATTTTATTACATATATTAAACTCGTTTTTTCATTGGAGGCCACATATTATTACTTCAATTATCTTATACACACGAAACTAAATTAGTGCGTAAAAATTTCAATCGTATGTTTATTTAGTGATAATGCTAGATGGCCTTGGTTTTTTTTTTTTTAAGTGATAATACAAATTGCATAATCGAGAAATGTATTTATTAAGAGAGTAAAAATATATATTTTTTTATTATCAAACATATATTAATCTACACCGAAATGATAAAAAGCTATCTCATGATTATGAAAAAAAAAAAACCCATAATATAATATAATAAAATATATGTTAATTAAAAAATGTTTTTAATTATGATACATTATGTTTCATTGCATTTCACCAAATATATTCAAAAAGCATTTGTTAAAATAACTTTCAAAGAGAATGTATTATATTAAGAAGAGTAAGAAATATGTATGTTTTTATTATCAAACATGATATATATGCTACACCGAAATGATAAAGAGAGCTGATCTCATGATTATTGAAAAAAAAAATAAGCCATATATAAAATATAATAATATATATATGTTTAATTAAGAAAATGTTTTTATTATGATAAGTTATGTTCATTGATGATTTCACCAAATATATTAAACAAGCTTGTTAAAATACTTTCAAAAGATTATATATATATATAATATATATATATATAATAAAATCTATTATATAATATTAGTATAATATATATATATATATAACAGTGATTTGTTTATACATGATTTTGGTTTCATTTGAGTTTTCCCATTTATTAGTCAATTATATGATAAATCTAATTATGAGCAAATCATAAATATTATGTTGAATGGTCACGAGGGAATTAGAGAGAGAGGAAAGGAAAAATAAAATAAAATCACAGGTACCCATAAAATTTACTCCATTTGTTTAACTTTAATAGCTATAAATAATCATTTTATTTTATTTCACTTTAAGTGTTTATTTAGAATTTTAAAAGTACATTAATTATTTTTTTTTCAAGTTTATCCATATTTATTAGATGGTTTGTAGTAAAAGTAAATGGGGAGTTTTAGTTTTAAGAAGGATAATTTAGATGCTCTATTATATATTTTTAGAATATCAATATATTTTGGTCATTTTTTTAATTCTTGTGAAAAAACCAAATATTACTATTAAAGTGGAACGAAGTGAGTATTTTTTTTTCGGTTTTTTCATTTTTATTGGCATCAATTAATTAAAAATGGTGCTTGACTTCTTGTCCGCGAAAATAGCCTTGGGGTTAGAGGGCAAGAATAATATGATTTTGATAATTTAATTTTGGATTGTATTAAATATTAATCTTTTTATTACTCTCTCCGTCCCAAAAAAATAGTCTATCGTTTCTTTTTGGTTTATCTAAAAATACAGTTCACTTTTTTTTTGCATTATAATTAATCCTTAAATTATCTACTATTACCCTTACTATATTTTATATTATTTTCAATAATCCTCATTAATTTTTACTTATTATTTCAATATAATAATCGCCTGAATAAATCTTTATTAAATTATAATATTAAGAAAAAACTTAATTTATTAGTTTACTTTGCACTTACAAGGAATTCATTGAATTGTAGATAGCTTGTCTTTTAGTTTTCTTATGTGTATAGCTACAAATCAAATTAAACTCATTTAATATTTCATTAAAAATATTACCTTTTTTTTGCATTAGAAAAAGAATTTCAATTTGAATCTATTGTTAGGTCGTATATATAGTTATCATACGTGTGCATGTACATCCATATTATATATATTGTTTAGGTATATGTAATCAGCTAAAAGGAAAATCAATTTATTAAAAAATTTTAGGAATATACAGGAGCGTATAAGCTGGCAGATTATTAAGAAGAAGTAATCTGCCTATTCTTTTGCTTGTGATAATCACGCATGTCATGTGAATTTTCTTTTTATTACCAATTAATATAGCAAGCCAAGAAATTTTTTATTATTAAGAAATTTCTTTTTATTGAGATTTTTTTCTTTTTTTTATTATTATCTCTTTTTTTTTCATGTATTTTCATACTGAAACCGAATATATGAAGATAAAACTTTTCTAACAACTGTAACTCTTGTGATCCTATGAGTAAAATAGACCTAAATTTCTCTTTTTTTTTTTTTTTTTTTTTTTTTTAAAGAAAATGGCTTAGCAATAAATAAGGAATAACGAATGGGCAAGTAGTTTTTTTTTTTTTTTTTTTTTTAAAGAAATGGCTTAGCATAAATAGGAATAACGAATGGGCAAGTAGTAGGATATGAGTTTCTATAGCATTGAATAAGAAGAACTGCAACTAGAAAAATTTAGATGTGTTAATAATGACTTGATTAGTCATTTTCAAGTATTATGTCAAACCTTCCTTGTTGATATAGTTATATCCATAAGGGACACATCCATGTGAGTTGGGACTTGTGACCGGCTAATTGCATTCCAAGTGCATAAACATTTTATTCTTCAATGATAAAGAAATTTATTTTGATTAATATTATCACCGACTTCTTTGTTATTATTGATAATGAAATTCCCTTGTCACAAAGGAGAGTTTGAAGTTTCTGTATGGCAAAAAGAAATGTTAGGTACAGCAGAAAAGACAAAGATGCCTTTCAATTCCATAGGAGGGAAGATCAAGATCCTAGCAAGAGATACATTTTCTGAATGTGGGATTTTATTGTTTAAACTATTGTTGTTTTCAGTAAATTATTAGTACTAAAACATTATTCAAAATGGCAGTTTCTTGTGACTGTGCATTTCTTTTAGTTGGCAAATAATAATTAATAATAAATCATTTGGGCTCCATTGGTACAGTAAACTGTCATATACATAACTTTTAAATTGTTAATAAAGACAACATAATTCTCTTAATTTCTGTTACAAAATTTCTTATTTTCACTGTTGCAATTCGAAGATAAAAATAATTGCAAAATTTGTTGTAATTTCATTTGTCATATGATGTCATTTTAATATATAATGTCATTCGAGATTAAATCCATTCAATTCCTCTCAGTGAACAATTTTTCTTTAGTATGATTTTATTAATTTTTTAATATCCTATAAAAGCCGTGATGGGCGAAATATTTCGAATTTAAATTTTGTATACTGTGAAAACTTATTACCAAATTGGTGTACATTATTATTTGTTAAAAAAAAAAAAAAAAACTTCAGGTGATTTCCACATTGTTAGACCAGCATGGTACGATGGGCTTTTTGGCCCAAAAGCATATTTTCTTTTTTTTTTTTTAACTTTTGAGCTGTGGGTTTTGATCTTTATAATGAGCTTTGCTTGAATGCATTATGTTAAACTGGTTGGCTATCATTTGTTATGTAGTGGATTTGCTTGTGTAATAGAGCCCAGCCCAACTGAATTTTGCTGTAAACTGATCCGCAATTTTCTTTATAAATTCATGTCTGTGGTCCGACCAAGAACAAGTTCAAGTATGCAAAATAATGTTAAACATCATTTACTGAATCAAAATGAAATATAATCAAAATGTATTTATATTATAATATTTACATTTTGATACTTACACAAGGTATCCAGGCTGGTGTCGTTCTAACGGTCTATAAATTTGACAAATCTATACTTTCTCTCGAGACAAAAGAAGCTGATCCGGAGAGTTTGTATTGTATTAAAAATACTTTTGCCTATATTGTTGTATGACTTATTAAATAGAACTTAGAGATTAAAATTAACTTAATACACTATTAATACAATTACTAAATTATTCGCTTCTACTGATCAGATTCAAGCTTAGGAAATGAAGAATTTTTTATTTTACAATGTGCACTCCGCTGGATAAAATAAAAGAATAAAATTATTTTTCTTTTAAGCCAACTGAAAATGACCAATACAGGACATATACAGAGATGCAGCATCTCTGTACCAACCTAATTAAAGGTCAGTGATAATTAGTTAAAGAACTTGTGTGACAGATTACAGACTCACACCCAAATATCTCGTATCTCTGATGGATGAGTTACAGAAAAATAAATATTTGCATGAGAGGAGTGGCGTTGAAGGGGAAGCCTGCGTCTGAATGCTATAGGCATTAAAGGTTCTTCTTAATTTGTCGAAAATGGCACGTAAAACTAGGTAACTCTTAAGCCCTAACTTTCAACTACCAGCTGATAGCTATGGTTATTGCTTCTATCCATTATATTGAAACTCGTAAAATATTAGCTGGCCTCGCTTTAGTTTACTGCCAGCTATAGAGGTAGTAATTCTTTGACCATCATCACAAACCAACATTAATGCTGCTTTTGCTCGCAGAGGTATATATACTTATGAACATTTGGCTTCTTGCATGTACCAAGAAAGTGTTTGTAAGTGGAAAAAGAAAATGAAGGTGAATATAGTTACGGTGATTCTTTTGTCATTACTTTTAATAACTCTGTCTCTTACACAAGCCATAGTACCCGGTGAAGAAGAAGAAGAAAAGAGAAGCAACAGAAGCAGGAGCAGAGGCAGTAGTAGTAGTAGTAGTAGAAGACGAAGTAGCCATGCAAGTTCAAGGTCAAAGTCAAGATCAAGAACAAGAACAAGAACAAGAACAAGAACAAGAAGATCATCTAATAACTGTGACCCTTTTTTCCAATACTTATTTGATACTTGTGGCCAATGGCCATTCCCTACTTACCCTTCACCTAATAGCCCTTTTAACCCCTCTCCTAGACCCTCTCCTCGCCGGAAAACACCACCTTTGCCCCCTCCACCTCTTGTTCCTTCTCCTCCACCTTTAGTTCCTTCTCCTCCAGTTGTCCCATCTCCAACGCCACCAATTGTGCAACCATCTCCATCTCCCTTAGTCCCGTCACCACCTCCACCTTTAGTTACATCCCCACCACCTTCTTGCTCACCAAAAACATCTCCCCCACCATCATCTCCACCGCCATCTCCGCCACCGCCTTCTCCGCCACCGCCTTCTCCGCCACCGCCTTCTCCGCCACCACCATCTCCGCCACCACCTTCTCCTCCACCGCCACCATTGGTTCCATCACCACCACCAATTCTTCCATCTCCATCTCCTGATGTACCAATAATAATTCCACCATCGCCATTAGTCCCTTCACCACCACCACCTGAACTTACACCATCGCCAATAATTCCATGGCTATCACCTCCAGATTATTTCCCTCCAGAACCACCACTAGTTCCAATATTTTCTCCACCAACTGAACCAGATATGCCACCAGAGTTAAAACCAGCGCCACCATTAGTCCCAATGTTTTCTCCACCAACAGAACCAGACATGCCACCTGAGTTAACACCAGCACCACCACTGGTGCCAATAATTTCTCCACCAGCGAACGAGTTTCCACCGGCGCCAATATTTTTTCCGCCAACTGAACCAGACATGCCACCGAATGAATTTATACCTGCGCCACCGCTGGTGCCAATGTTTTCTCCGCCAACAACTGAACCAAACCTGCCACCAGATGAATTTACACCAGCCCCGCCACTCGTTCCCATATTTGATTCACCGCCAATACAAGATTTGCCACCCTCAAACCCTATAGTACTTTCTCCGCCACCTGATGATCCTGCACAATTTCCTTTATTACCACCACAGCAGCCATTTACATTTTCACCGCCGGTGGAATCAATCCCCACACCTGATTTGTTTCTGCCGTCGCCTCTGGTGCCTGAAATACCTGAGAATCCACAGGAACCACTGCCATTTTCTTCCACACCACCAGCACCGGATGTTGTGTTCAATGAACCAGTGCAGCCATCGTCAAAGAACTGAGTGTTTTGCGTTTTTAATTATACTGGAATCTGAAAAACAATAACTGGTCAAGCTAGCTTTGTTGATACGTGGTCTTTTATATATATCTATATAATTGTTAGTTGTGATTTGTATTGGAGTAACTCGATTTGTTGGTGTCAAGTGCAGATTAGAAGAAAAAGAATAATTATATTACATCACTTATAAGAGAAAAAATAATTAATTGTGCAATTCTTTCTTTTATATATATGTGATGACAAATTGAAGAAATAATCCATCACAACTAACATAAGACCCTGGAATTTTTCGTGTTTAAAAGACAACTTTTTTTTAAAAAAATTCAAATATGCTAATCAATTTTGTTTATGCACAGGAGGTCTACAGCAGAGTAGCTCTCCATTTGAATAATATTCGCTAAATTGGTATTTTTCTTTTTAAGTGGAACTAAATTGATGTTAATCAATTGAGGGATGTGAGTTAATTCATCACGTTTACAATTACTTTGGTCACTTGCCATTTAATAATATAAGAAATTATTTTTTATATTATTAGTATAAGAACTAGCTAGCCTTTGATTATATATATATATATATATATATGGGATGTGAGTTAAGTTCATCACGTTTAGCAAATTACTTTGGTGCACTTGGCCATTTAATAATTATAAGATATTAATTTTTTAATATTATTAGTATAAGAAAACTAGCTAGCCCTTTGATTATATATTATATATATTATATAATATATATATGAGCTCAATATAACTATATATATGAGCTCATAAACAAATAAAAAGCACTGTATATAATTAATTTGGTTTTAATAGTTGAATATATGGCAATAGTTTGATTAAGTGACTGTGAAAATCCCTACTTATTCCATGCGGACCTTTGCCTACATGGCACCATCAGCACCAAAAGCTACAGAAGATTTGGCTGGGGAGATTTTTATCAGCACAAATTTGCATTTTGGAAGAAGGAAAAGGGAATATATCATGTACGATAAACCTATTGAATTCTGAAACTTAAAAAAAAAAAAAAAGAATTTTAATTATTTGGATGTTCCAATGCTCGATTGCTAGGTAAATTTAAATGTACTTAAGCTAGTAGCAGTTGCTGGTAAGTGATAATTGAAAGGATTTAATTAATCCAAAACGACCACTCAAACTTACATCAACACTCTCAAAACTTCGTAACGTACACAAATACGGCTTTCAATATCTAATCTTCAATCGCATCCAGTAAAAGAAGATTGCATTACCAAATTCCTTGGAAGTAGAAATGATTGGAAACATAAACAAGCTCGTAGAAAATGGAAAGGTCAAAAGTGTAAATTCAATTTGTGTTAATGGAAAAACAACAAGACTTTGGAAGTAGAGGAAATCGATTCTTCAAGGTGTGCTGAAGGTCAAGGAGGAGTAATGAAGATTGAGGTACCTTAGAAATTGAAAGAGGGAAGATGCAAGCCTGCCTGTGCGAATAAGCGAGGCAAAATGCCCTTTCTTGTAACTCCCTTGATTTTGCAGCTTGAAGAGCTCCTCCGTCCATTTTTGTTCCTTTTTGTTCACCTTTAACTATTTGCCACTCTACCCATCTCATTTCAAATCTTATTCGTCGGACGAGAACAGCCAGCAATTCATTCTTATATCTTGCTCTTTCTTGATTGGGCTTGTAATAGATTGTCCTAGATGATTTCTGTTAAATTTCAAACCAGCTTCAAAGATGCCCTAAGTTATCATAACGTGAGCTTTAATGGCTTAACAATGTCTAATAATAAAGTAAACCGAAGAACACTGCAACGTCGATGTAGCCACAAAATCGAATTTTTTAGATTAGAGGCGGTAATTTGTAATTTTCAACCAACTTTTTTAATATTGGAGAAAAAAATTAAAATAAAAAGCTATAAAAAATATTTTCATTTTTATTATATTTACTAGTATGAGAAAATTCTTTAAATTTGAAATAGGCAAGAAATTAAATTTAAGGAAAAAATATAGTATAATCTCTATAGTAAATGTTATGTAATAATACGTTATCTATAACTCATAACTGTAATAAGTTAAATAATTAATATTTTACCTATACAAATTTATGTGCAAAGGATTGAAACTACAGTTCACAGTGGAAAATTATCTTTATTCCATAATAGTTGTGATATTTGTAATTTCACGTTCATTGAGAAAACTATTAAATATGTCTAAATTATAATAAATTATTGAGTAAATTGACTATATTACCTTTAATTTAATATTAATTCTCCAAGAAAACTATTAAATTGAAGTAATAATTAACTATATTTACCTTAAATTATTGAGTAAATTGACTATATTACCTTTAATTTAATATTAATTCTCCAAGAAAACTATTAAATTGAAGTAATAATTATTGTTCATATATAAAAGGTAAATGTAGAAAAAAAACATTTATTATTCGTTGAAACTACAAATGTAACAGGTATATTGAAACAAGTTATTTTCTAAAATGTGACAAGTATTATAAAACAGAGGTAATACTAGACTTAAAATATCATCGGATGTGAGGATATTTACAGATACTCCGATGCTTAAATTAGCAAGAGAATAACAAAGGATCGTAAAGATAATTGGGTTGATTAAATGTACTTTCAAGATAGGACTTAAAGCTCTTTACATAGAAATTTAGTGGAGTCCTTTCAAATTGTTGATTAGGAGTTCTAGTAGTTAATAGTATTTGATTATTATTTGACATTCTAGTGTAATTCCTGTTAATTGTAGAATATGACTTGTCTTAAAACTAAGACAAGCATTGAGTTGTGATTGCATAATGACTCGAGTTTGAAAGTGTTATTGATTCAGCTTGGATCATGCTAACGCTCCTAGATATATAGATTACCATTTGAAAACAATAAGAATCAAACACAGAATGTAAAATTCATATGTTAAATTTAAAACTTATTTGTTTACTAAAATATGAAATTTTATAATAGAAATGTACTAAAATTTAAATTAATTAGAATTTGAAAAAATTCTATCAACCGAAATAATAATTAATATTCGTTTAAAATTGATTTATTACTACCTCTATTCCATAATACTTGTCACATTTTAAAAAATAGTTTGTTCCAAATTAAATACTTGTCACACTTGTGGTTTCAAGAAGTAATAAATATTTTTTTCTATGTTTACCTTTTGTATATGATAATAATTATTACTTCAATTTAATGATTTTTTTTAAAAATTAATATTAAATTAAGGGTAATATAGTCAATTTACTCAATAATTTATTATAATTTAGATAAATATAATGATTTTCTTAAAAAATGTAAAATTCTAAATGTGACAAGTATTATGGAATAGAATGATTTTCTTAAAAAATGTAAAATTCTAAATGTGACAAGTATTATGGAATAGAGATAGTATAAAATTTTAATTTTAGAAATAAACTTTAAAATTGCATTAAATGTAGATAGAAAATTAGAAAATGAGACAATTATTTGAATTTTTTCTATATAGTTAATTAAAATAATTTTAATTTTTTTCAATTTGACGTTTTCTTTTTCATGTACATACATATATATACAAAGTAAATTTTTTAACTTACTCATTTTTTTAATTTCATCTTATCTTTTAAATTTTAATAAAAAAGGAGTCCGTTAAATTTTTAAGCAGGCAAATTGAGCAAGAAAAAAAAGAAATATTATTATTTATAAATTTGTCATAAACTTGTAACCTGCTAAGCAGTATGCCAGTATCCCATCAGTCACTTTCAATGACTATTGGAATTGTCTGCTTTACCCTTCCCTCTAAGGAGCCAATTACGCCTGTTACCCTTTTCATTTCTTCTACGCGGGATTCAATAAAAAATTACCATGGCCCACCGGTAAGTACAAAATATTTGCCGTGCTTGGAATGAAAATCGTTCCATGTATCACTGCTCTAAATATAAAATATCGAACTTGTGGACCATGTCCTGTTACATGTGTATTTGCTATGAACCTTGTCCACCGCCACTGCCGGGTCCAGCGACGAAACGAGAAATCGAAACTAAGAGAACTAAAAAATTTTCAAAAGCTACAGAGACAAAATTAAACAATCATTTTAAAGCGTAAAATTAAAAATTTTCATTACTTTATGATGCAAATATATTAAAAATTTTGAGTTAGAGGTGGCCAGTCCATCCCTGGGACCTCTCCCTCTATCGATGCCCGGGTCCGCTGCTCCTGGAATCATGTCCACCGCCGGCTTCCGTTTTACGTTCGCCGATGACCATCGGCTTCTCTTTGATTGCATTTGCAGCTAATACTAATAAATAAGAGATCGCAATTGTTATATCAATAAATATTATATTATGCTTAAATTCGATTAGAAGAGGGAAAAGAGAACCCTTACTGGTTTGAAGATCCTCAGCGGTTTGAGCAATAGCAATATTATAAGATGTTAACAAAATGAAGAAAAGAATAGGCATTGCATATGATGCCATTTTAACCATGCTTGCTGTGCTTTTTTTAGCTTGCTCTAATGAAAGAGAAGAGTTGTATACATTCACCAACTTCAACACCATTTTATACTGAAAAAAAGTCGGTCAATGGTTAATTTTTTTGCCTCATTTGATTAAAGAAATTGTATTAATGGAGGCTACAGGGACTAAATATTTGAGATATAAATAAAAAAAAACCTATTTTTTTGTAAAAAAAAAAAAAGTCAGTCCATGGACTAGAGGAAATGCGTGTTGAATTTCAAATATTCTGTTAAATAACAAAATTAAAATATACCAATATTTTGGTGATTGAAACTTGGAAGAAAGGAAGGAGTCAATATATATGGCGGTTGCAAGATTGTGGTAGCGTTCGACGTTCTCGTGACGTGATGCAGTTTCACGTCATTTTTGTTGTGGGTCCCTTCGACGTATGTGTCCTACACAGTTTGAAAAAGAATAAAAAGAAGGAAAACATGTTTTTTGAAGGAAAAAAAAAGTCAATAAAAGTTATCAAAATAATTCTAAACTTGGCAAAGAAACTCAACAAAAGCGGCATGACGCAATACGCCACTCATTCGCTAACCTCTCTTATAAATAGAGGTAGTGAAGCCTCAAGCAAAACACAACAGAAAGAAAAAAAAATGTAGAGAGAGAGTTATCTAGTTTTAGGAAGAGTTTTCTAAAATTAGGGAGGAAAAAATAGTGAAAAAATTATTATGGAATGCTTTTGGGAAACACTTTGAATGCCACTATTTTTTTATTGCTCTATTTATGTACCTACTATTTTTAATAATGAAAGAATTATTCGAATTTTGGGAAACACTTTGAATGCCACTATTTTTTTATTGCTTTATTTATGTACCTACTATTTTTAATAATGAAAGAATTATTCGAAGTTTGTCCCGTGGACGTAGCCCTAAACAGTTGAAGGTGAACCACGGGACGTAAGCCCTAAACAGTTGAGGGTGAACCACTAAACAGTTGAGGGTGAACCACGGGACGTAGCCCTAAACAGTTGATAAACAGTTGAGGGACGTAGCCCTAAACAGTTGATAAACAGTTGAGGGTGAACCACTAAACAGTTGAGGGTGAACCACGTAAAGTTTTATGTATCTTATTTCTATATTTTTCTGATGCGTCAATTTTCGTTTAATTGGAAGGACCCAATGAATAGTATCAGAGAAGTATTAGAAGAAGTATTAGAGCTGAGTCAAGTGGTAACTAATGCCCAACAATGAATAGTATCAGAGAAGTATTAGAAGAAGTATTAGAGCTGAGGCAAGTGGTAACTAATGCCCAACAATTTTCTCCTAGAAATCGTAGAAATTGTTTAAAGTTGTAGAGACTATATATGAAAGATGAAACAAAAAAGAAAAAGCTGGAAAAAAAAAACCCAACAATTTTCTCCTAGAAATCGTAGAAATTGTTTAAAGTTGTAGAGACTATATATGAAAGATGAAACAAAAAAGAAAAAGCTGGAAAAAAAAAAAGAATTTGTAAAGTGTTCTCTTCATTCAAGATTTTATTTTTAAATTTTTTATTCGAATGGGCTAGATATATATTCCAAATCTATTTTATTCGAACAAGAGCCACGAATAGTCCATCCATATATAAGAAAAATTTTACATACCAAACATACATTATTATCTCCGCTACTAACAAAGAGAGGAAGTGCTTGACATCTACGCAAAAACTATACAATAGTATTTCTTAGATAAGAGTGTATCATATCGTCCGGCTGAGATATATTCTAGTCGACATAGGTGAAACGTAGATATTCCTTCTTGGAAGGAAGGTCAACAGTCTTGTATCCCTGTGGAAACATCTTCTTGGCCTCTTCATTCGACACATTAGAGGATATTACCACCGGATCTCCTGGTTTCCAATCCACAGGAGTAGCAATCTTGTGCTTTTCTGCCCTCTGCAGGGAATCCAGCACCCGGATCACTTCATCCATGTTCCTTCCAGTACTTGCTGGATAAAGGAAGCTCAGCTTGATCTGATCATTAATTGCACACACGCAGGAAAGAAAAATACATATTATTATCAGCACATGATAAATTTTTCCATCAAAAAAAAAAAAAAAAAAAAAAAAAAAAAAAAAAGAAAAAAAAAAAAAAAACAAAAAAAAAAAAAAAAAAAAAAAAAAAACTGGTAACTGAAATTGCACCTTCTTATCAGCGCCCACAATATGCAGAGCTCGGGAGGGAAGACTGTTCCCTGAGGAATCTTTCTCAGTTGGATCCACCATGTTTAGTTGATTCAGGACCTGACGGTTAGGATCTGCAATAATTGGATATGTTACCTTGCTTCCGGGCTGCATATATACGTGTATAGTTATCAGCATCATTAATGGAGTAACTTCTTGATTTTAATTAAGATCGAAGAACAAAAGAGGAGGAGACAGAAGCTCACGCTGTATGCTTCAATGTCCTTAACCCACTCAACATGGGACAAAACGTCGTTGCAGGACAGACCCAATAACTTAGCCCCTCTCTTTGCGAATTCTGGAGCAATAGCAGCCATCTTGCTAAGTTCAGTGGTACACACTGGCGTGAAATCGGCTGCATATATTGAAAACACACCTCAAACACCATTAACCAATTAAAATGATTAATAAACAGCAAAAACAGAAAGTATATAATACATATGGACCTACCTGGGTGCGAGAAAAGAATGGTCCAGGTATCTATAAAGTCATGGAGCTTGATGATTCCATGAGTTGTTTCAACTTCAAGGTTTGGAACAGTGTCTCCAAGGGTGAGTCCTGGCATTTTCAATTCGAGAGAGATTTTGCTTTTCTGTTTCTTGAGTAGAAGTATGGGAGGAGGAGGGGGAAAAAAAGCAATTAAAAGAAGAGGAAAGGTCCATGCATGAAGAGAACGTGGCAAGCATCGTGGCTAATGGGCCAAGCAGTTGCGTGCATGTAATTGGTAATGGCTGATTTGTTTCCACGTGTCCCGCGTGATAACATTTGGAGACTTTCTCAACTTTTCCATGCAGACATCTAATTTAATCAAATTTACTTTTTTAAAGAAAAAGTAATAATAAACAAAGTTGATGCAGCCAAACTCTGATATTTTGTTTCTTATTTGAAACGTGCAACCAAACTCTAAAACTGAATTTTTTTTTTCCTGGAAACGGAATGCATTAGTTTTTCCCAAGTTATAAATAATTGAAAACAAAAAATATCTGACTGTAAAATGAAAAATATCCAATTGGGTACTGTTCGAGTCTAACAGAGTTGGAATTTGGTGTTTTGTTTACCTGCCTTTTAAATCATTGAGCTGTAAAACCATTCAGGAAACCGAGAATTCATAAGAATTTTCTATGCATGATTTTATAATTTATTGAATTACAAAAAAAAAAAAAAAAAAAAAAAATACAAAAAAAAAAAAAAAAAAAAAAAAGAATCAGAATGCATGAATTTAATGTATTGAATTCAGTTTCTAGCATAAGCAATCTGTCTATATATGAAATAATATAAATACAGTAAATTTGCCTGAACAGTTGAAGCGCTGATTGGTAAGAGAAATTTTTTTTTGACAAGCAAGAAGAATGGTTTTTTAAAAATAGATCTAGCTTTAAAATTTAGCTTTAAATCATTTAATTAGGATAATTTAATTATGTTGAATAAAAATTTTCAGTTTAAATAACTTTGGAGAACGTTTAACATGCTAAACTTTATAAATAAAAATACAAAGGACATCAAGTAATTAAGAATTGAATAATAGATTTATATATGCATGGGCATTCATGCACAAATCTACTCCAATACTCTCAAGAGAGAATTAGTCCCAAAGAGTATTAACCGTTGTTTCTTTCCAAAAAAAAAAAAAAAAAAAAATTCAAAAAATGCAAAAAATGCAATAATATTATCGAAGAGGCTCCCACAAATATATTAGAATTAAAGCAGATTTACTATAAACTAATGAAATATATGGTATTTAGTTTTTCCTTCTCTTACTTCATTTTATTGTGGATAACTTAATTGAATTTTTAGATTTTCCTTAATATTTAAATATTATAATACGAATGTTGACTACCGTAATATACGAGTACACGAGAGGCTTGATGTTTCAGCGTTTCGAAAATGGCTTGGAAACGTATCCGATCTGTTTCCTTAAATACTGAAAATTGGACACATGTTTCCCCTCCTCGGAAATGTTTCTTGCATTACAGGAAAAGAATTAAATTTAAAATCCAAATCAAATTTGGATGATTTGCAAATCCTATTTGGAAAATAACAAATAATCCTGCTTTTAATTTCAATATTCAAATTTTAACAGGATTTCGTTATCTTTTTCCATTTTGACATTCGAATATTTTATTTTCTTTTTTCTTTATTGAGTATGGAACTTATAAACATTTTTTCTCTCTTTTGGATATGATTTAATTATTTATTTTTATAAACTTTATCTGTGCTTGATTGTCCTTAAAAAATTATTAACGTACTCTTTCTAAATTATTTTTATATTTATTTCTATATTTTTAAATTTTATAAATAAACCTCTATATTTTTATATTTACGCATTTCCCCCACATTTCTATTTCTTATATTTTTGAAAATATAATTTCCCTTATTCGTTTCCGCATTTCTCTGTTTTCCATTTCCGTGCAACATAGGTTGACTATTTCATACGATGCTCAACTATTTGTACATTTCTCACTTTCTCAATAATTTTGCCTATTTTATGGAATTGAAATATTCACTAACAATGATTTTTCGATCATTTCTTTTTTACCAATGATTAAGAATATTACTGTTATGGATATATTATTGTTCCGACATATTCACAATTTATGTTTTTTTTTTTTTTTTTTTTTTTTTTTTTTTTCTTTTACAATGTCTTTATAGATATTCAATTGCAAGAGTTGAAACCGGATACATTATTTTTTGAAAAAATTTTCTATGCAAGTGAAAGTTTCCACGTATAAACAATGAGAGAAGGAGATACATTTAAACAAAACCCTTTATCAGACATGATAATTTGACAAAATATATTTTATTATCTTATCTCCTCTTATTTTCTCAAAATGCTTATATATAATATATATATATATATATATATATATATATATATAATATATATATATTGTCATACTATTGTCATACACAGACAAGCATAAATTCGTAATTTGGAACTTGCAAACCGTGTGCACTAATTTGGAACTTGTACACCGTGTGCACTTATTTTGAACTTGTACACTATGTGCACTTATTTTCTATATGTATGATAAAATATCACCCACCTCTACCTGGTCCGCCGCCGGGTGAACCACGATCGCCCACTCCAATTTTACTTTCTCCAATAACCCTTAGGTTCTCTTTATTTTCATCTGCAACTACCAACTAAATAAGAAATTCATGGTTCGAATATTTAGTATCTTTACATCAAAAAGTAAATATCAGTATTATTACTAGAACTCAAACTAGAAGTAGAAGAGAGAAGAGAGAGCCTTACTGATTTTGGGGACTTGAGAGTTATTCGAGCAATAGCAATATTATAAGATGCAAACAAAATGAGGAAAAGGATTGGGATAGCATAGGAAGCCATTTTAGCCATTTCAATTACTTTCTTCTATTAAAAGAGAAGAGTAATCGCGGCATATCAATTCCTTCATCACCATTATATACTTTTAATTCATTAAAGATTTTAAAGTTTTAAAATTGATAAATTTCATTATATCCTAAATTCGATTATTTTAAAAGAAAAAAATTTCACATCAAACAAACAGGGAGAATTCTCAATTCTTTCATTTTCTTTATTAACCATGGAATTTGACTACTTGATATTATTTCAAAATACATTTCAGTGCCTATGGTATTTATTTCCCAACCAATCAAATGTAAATATTATTTCAAAATACATTTCAGTGCCTATGGTATTTATTTCCCAACCAATCAAATGTAAAATTTATAAATTTTTACATTTACCCTCATCGATGCTATTAATCTCAAAGAATTTCCTTTATAATTTAAATGAAAGAAAGAAAGAAAAAAGGAAAAAGAAACAAAGAGAAATACTCACTTGTTCTGTGGAGTTGGTTTGGTCTTGCAAAGGCAATATCGGAGGTGAACAAAACGAGCAAAAGAATCATACCAGAAACCATAAGGGAGGCCTTGCGAACCATCTTTTGATACAAAGATATATAAAATTCTTTACAGCAATTGCTATATATCCTATTAATGTATATACTACAAGTTTGAAGAAATCAATTGTTGGTATGTCATGAAATTTTTTTAAATTAATTTTCCATTAAACTAAAGGAATTACATCGGAAGATGTCAATATATTATTAACTTTGAATATTTACACATAAAAATTATAGCTAATTTTATTTAAATATACAGTGAATACTCTTAACAAATAATATAATATTCCCTTATTGCATTATACCTAATTATGAAAATCAGTTTTATTATTAAAAGAGATAGGAGGCTTTTGGAATTGTATTCAAATGATATTATAATTAATTAATTAATAGAATTCATGTTTTTCTTTTTTAAGGAGCGTAAAGGCTACGCTGGTATATTTGTTGTTTATTTAAAGTAGATAAAATTTCCAAGTAAACCATGATAGACTTGAATTTTAGGTTATTTTCTTAAACAAACTGTTTAAATTTAGAAATTAATTCACTTGGCGTCAACTTTTAAAGTAAGAAAAAAAAGATAATGACTTAGAAGTCTTAACTATAAAATTTTAGTCTCCAATTAATTTAATAATAAGTGATTTAGACGCATACTTTTTTTTTAAAAAAAAAAAGTAATTGAGAATTTATTCAAATAAAGAGGAAAAAAATTCTACATAGACGAAGTAACTATGAACTTAGCGCAAAAGCGGTTACTATGAACTATAGCCAAAAAAAGACCAGCGTATTGACTCTTTCCATCCAGTTTAAATCAACAAAGGGAATATATATAGCTATATATCTAGCTATTGTCTTTTTATAACACCAACAAAACTATCGCAAACAAGAAAAATTGGCCCTAAACAAAGGCCGTCGCATCTTCATATGCCAATCCCTATCGTTTTCTCTTTTCCTGTCATTTGTTTGCATCTTACAAACATTGCTCGTTGCGTCCAAACAACTCACGCCCCAAAAAAAACCTGTTAAGTGTCTACCTCATTCTATTATTATTGATTGGAAATATTAGCTATATAAGGGGTTCTTATATATATATGGTGTTTCTTAATAATGACAAGTGCAATTCTTTATTTACTGGTTGCAGATGAAAATAAAGACAAGTTAAAGGCTTTTGAAGAACGTAAAACTCAAGTGCTTCCGCGTGATTCAAGAAAAGTTGGACCTGGTAACTATCAGGGAGGGTCGTAGATGATTTAGTCTCCTAATTATGGTTTATAATTAAGCTATTTCTTTGGTGTGTTGTAAAACTGTTTCTTACAAGGTGACTTTTTTCTGTTTGTTATTTTCACCCTAAAATAAGCTTTTCTCTATTTTATTTTGAGATTTACTTTCTTTTTTTCCCTTTAATTAGTACGTAGCAAGGTAAACTTTATTAATCATGAACAAAGAGAGATTAGACTGTGCTATGAAACTTGAATCAGATTCATAATGTAAAATAAATAAATAAATATTAAATCATGCAGAAAAAACCCGCAAAACTTATTAACTAAACATCCCACATTCTTTCAATCACAACTAAAGCAAAGAACTAAACATCCCACAGTCATTGAATGACAGCTAAAGCAAAGTATAAGTTGGAAAAATATATATTTCTCTCAAGTTTTGACAATTTCCATATTAACCATTTACACACTACTTTTAAAATTGGAAAACCAATTAATTGACAATGGCTATTTCCTATAATTTAT